AGAAGGAGAGCTTCCTGGCGCGGACGCTGCGCGCCAGCAAGCGGTCGCTGTCGGCCAGCCGGCGGAGCAGCCGCGCCTGCTCACCGGCGCCGTCACGCCCCCTCTCCCAGAGCGGATCGCTCCCCCAGCTGCAGCAGCAGGACACGGGCGAGGGCGTTGGCGGCGTCGGCGGCGTGGGCGGCGTCGAAGACCGCGGCGCCGGAGGCCCGGGCGTCCGCGCGAGCCTCACGCGCAGCGAGTCGGCCGAGGGGCCCCCGTCCCAGCCCATGTTCCCCGTGAAGCAGAGGCCACCGCTCGTGGGCCAGCGGCTGCGCCCGTCGCACACCGACGGCGGAGGCGGCGCGGGCGGCTCGGGCCCCGTCAGGGCCGACCACCGCATCTTCGGCGAGGGCGGCGGCGGCGGCAGGGCGAACGGCGTTGCACGGGGCGGCTCGGTTCCCGACAGCCCCCCGCCGATGCTGAAGCACGCCGAGTCGGTGCTGTCCTTCCACGTGGACCTGGGCCCCTCCATGCTGGGGGACGTCCTCGGCGTCATGGAGAACGAGAAGTTCTTCCACGGCGGTGGCGGCGGTAGCTGCTGCGACGACGACGACGAGCCGCCTCTTCAAATCGACGAGAACCTGGAGTTTCTCGGCACGGAAGACGACGCGGTCGTGGGGCTCGTGTCCGAGCCTTTGGCCCCACGCTGGGAGGGCAGGTTCGGGGGCGGCGGCCACGCGATCTCGGGGGCGGAAGCCGGCGCAGGGCCCAAAGAGGACGATGAGGACGACGACGACGACAGCTCATCGGCGGCCTCCGTCGACTCGGTGCTGCTGTCGCCCACCACCGTCCGCACCCAGGTGTTTGGCGACACGGATGATGAAATCCCCGTGTAGGAACGCACAAGCGGCCTCCCGCGTTCCAGCTGTAAAGGTTTACCCGGCCGAGGAAGAGAGAGAGGGAGGGAGAGCACACACTACTTGACTGTTTTCTACCAAATGCGCATATTGTCGAGGAGAGAGAGGACCGTTGAGTTTTAACGAGGGCTTTTTTTTTACACTCCCATTAATATTTGTTTTTATTCTCCACTGATTCTTTGTGATGCTGTGCACCAAGGGATCCGAGTCGTTGGTGTAAAAAAAACAACAACAAAGCGACTGAAAGGGGTGCTCGTGAGATTGGGCAGCGCCATCGCTGCACAGGACGTTGGGTGGCGGTTTGCGGCGACCATTGTTCTAAACTTGACGTTTTAAGGTTTTTGATTCGGGCCGTTAAACCAAATGAAACGAGGCGCGGTGGCAGCCAATCGGTCACAAAGCGCGCCCCCCCCTGCCCCCAGCACTCCACCCCATCCCGTTCCGTCTTTCTCGTGTGCGCGCCGTCCCCAGCGCTGCACGCTGTCCGGTCTCGTCACGCCGGGAGAGACGGGGCGGAAGACATCGCGCTGATGGTGTGTGCGTGTGTGTGGAGCGTCGTCGTCGTAGCAGTGCAAGCGCGCTCCGCGATTTGCCGTGACGCGCTGCTCCATAAATCACGCGGAGCGGAGCGGTCGGAGGCGCTCGAGCGCGTCATGACGGTGCGGGCAGGGGGGGCGATTTACGGCAGGTGCGCGAGAGATTCAAAAACCGCAGTTTGTCACTTTGCTTTTATCTGTAAGTCAACGGACGACATGTGGCAGATAAATTGCTTTCGCTCACTTAGCGGGGGACGTTTGATTTAAATGTTTCTCTTTTATTCTTTTTGTCCCCTTAAGGGGCGTGAGCTGTCTTCCGTGTCCCGTTGGGCATGATGACGGCCCGCCCTCGCCCCTTGCCTCGTGTCAATTGGCGACTCGGATACTTTTCAGCCATTCCTGCGAAATCAAAACGTAAACCGTGTGACCAGGGTACAGCTTCTCTTACGAAGTTGGGTTCCACTTAGGGCTAATTCTTTTTTAAGTACTCGGCGTGAGGAAGCTCGCCCATTGGTAGCTGCCTGACTGGGGGTTAGGCATGGGGGGGGGGGGTGTTAAGCGTTTTGTTATAAGTGCCCCCTTAAAGTGGCACCGCGTGAATGAGCGGTGCTAGAGCGGCCCACTCTTAGACGGCACAGTGCACGTCGTCAACTCAAGACGGCACAGTGCGCGTCGTGTTGATGTGCCAACCGTGGGAACGCTGTCCTGGCTTGGCGGCAGCTGGCGCTGCTCGACGGCAACAACAACAACCTCTGGGGTGTTTTGTGAGGTTTTTCTTTATACTTCCCGTGTTGTGTTCAAGTTCGTGAAATCGCCACGACAAGCCGAGTCGGGAGATGTTCATCCTGGACCTAAGACGGAACTTTAGGGTGCGGTGGCTGAGGCTCCAGTATCAGGGCCACGCTGAGACGGCTGTGCGTTGATACGTGCCGTTCAGCGAGCGCGCCTGAACATGCAGTGCTTCCTCGGTAGCCTAGAACAACGGGCGTCGGGATCGACAAGCCTGTCGACCGGCACGATGTCCCGGTGTGCGATCAAGTAGGCGTTGGTTAGTGTAGCGCTGCGCGTTGTGAACTCTTAACTACCTAGTGTTTTAAAGTGCTGACCCCGTGTGTGCAAGAGATAGGAGAGAGGGTGGAGGGGGACACCAGGGTATGGCTGGTGTTAAACTTTGCGTAAATATCTTGTGAAGAATTCTGATGTGGTCATGATGTTCTTAAGAAGTGCTGAGGCTGCTCACTCGAGTTGTTTAGCGGACCAAAACGGGACCCCCCTCCCCGCCACACCCTGCCGCATCTCCCCTTTTACACTCGAATATTTTAAACACATTTGTGCAGCGCTTTGTGAAAATCCTTGATCGTTGTAAAACTCTGCGTTTCCACGAACGCTGGAAAGAGAGGCTCACCTGGGTGCGTGAACTGTACTCTCGGGCTCGGCCCGAATTCCCACAGTGCCCCCCCCCCCTTACTAGGCCGAACCGGCCCCCTCTAGGGCTAAGGCGAGGGCTGGTTTTGGCCTTCTAAGGCCGCTGTGGAAACTCGAGCCGAGCCTAACGTCAGTGGACAGCTACCGGGCTCGAACCGGCACCTCGCGGGCTCACAAGCGAGCGAAACCCCTACCTACCGAGAGCCGCAAACTCTCGCCGACGTCACCGCGGTCAATGCAGAAGCGGGGAGGGGAGGGGTGGATAACAGGCGTCCCCCTCTCGCTCAGTTCGGCCTCAGGGCAGCTTATCGATGCCATTGAAACACACGGTGCAAATTACAGGACGAATAGGTGCTCGATTTGGAAGAGCCTAACATCCCTAGCCCTCTTTTAAATATTAAGCATTTTTATGAAGTCACGTCGGTGCTGTGGTGGGAGGGGGGGGTGAGCGTGAAGGGTTGTCCCCATGAAGCCTCGTTCCCCGTCGTTTCTGGGGACACGGATCGCCGTCGATGCCGCAATGCTCTATGAGCCATTCCTTGGCGTGGCCAAGTGGAGTGGTCATGGAAATGCAGCTCTGCGTATTGACACGAGTCTCTGAGATTTGCCAAATGGCCGTCGTGGGCAGCCAAAGCCCATCGCCGCGATGCTGCCAGGGTCACACAGCAGCAGCAGCAGCAGCGTTGCTCGTCGGAACTTTCTCGACCACCCAGTCTTCGTGCACCCCCCCGCGCCCCCCACCTCTGTGCCTTTTGCGTGTCTTACCAATCGCGTTTCAGTTGCAGTTTGAGCCGGATTGGTAAGCAGGAAAACACCTTGTACAGTACTGGCGGTGGCGAGGACTGGCGCTTGAGAAGTCTTCATCTCCCTGCGAGCTTGTCTAAGCACCACCGTGGCACGGCGCCAGCCTGATGATCGTCGTCCCTCGGTGATCGTTGCGATTGGCTGCTGGTCGCTAAGGCCGCTGTGGCCACTACGGGGGTGTGGTGGGATGGGTGAGCGAGTGGGTTTGGACGCGTTGTGTACGAGTCGCGTTTACACGAATGTTCCCGTGGAGGTTCGCTGGAGGCAGCTGTGCCTGCACTTGTTGGGCACCGACCGGTTTTGTGAAATCACTACACGGGGAACTTCCTCATGCGGCGGGGGGGGGGGGAGCATTTTGTAATTGTGCGGGCGATGGGAGCGATGATAATTCTGCCCCCGAGTGACCAACGAAACAGAAAACCTGGCTGGGAAAGAAATGGTGAAAAGCGGTCAGCCGGGATTTAATAACCCTCGCGCAGACAAACTCGGGTGGGAATTGAACTGCGCGCAACGTTTGGGTGTGATCTAACTTGACGTTTTTTTAACTCTCGTTTCATAACAATAAACCCAACACCCCCCCCCCCCCCCCAAACAACTCGTAAATTCCCACGAAGCGTTCAATCCCCTTGCGGTGCCGCGTTCTGTGGAGTCATGTTTCTGTCACCGTGGCTCGGGCTCTTCCCAGGGACCGTGGCCGCTTGGGCGAACGGACCTCGTGTTTGTGTGGCTGGCCATGAGCCACCCCCATCCCATTGTGCCTGCTTTGAACGCCTTCGTGTACGACGCTTCCCTCTGTTGAAGTGCTGTAAGTTTTTAAAGTACATTCCGCAAGATTAGTCTCGAGTTTCTTGGTGGTTTTTTGTTTTGTTTTAAAGAGTAACCTAGTATTTGAATATTGCAACAACAACAAAACTGAACAGGTACGACCAGCGGATGCCGTTTTCGCGAGACGAGACGGTGAGATAGGATGGCGCTGCTTGTGTATCAATGATTTTGACAGGTGAGGGAGGTGGGGGCGCTGTGAGGTGGAGGCGACGTCTCGGAACGCGTGACGGTCAGGCTTTGTTTGGAAGACGTGCGCGATCTCACACTGGTTGGTGACGCAGCCCATCTGTATAGTGACAGGCCGTCGACGCTAGGCCAGCATTCGGAAAGACGCGTCATGCCGAACGCTTGGCCGGGTAAATTGTCCCGTGATGGCACGTGCGTGCATATCGACGTCCCGAAGTTAAACGTGACACTTTCCTCGTCCTGGTGATAGGTTTACGTTGGCAGCAGCAGCAGCAGCGGCGGCAGAGAGGGCAATTTCGGCAAGTGACAATTGTTGCACTGTACCTGATATGCTGCCACTTTCTACGCCTCCCCCGCCAACTCGCACTGCTTGGCGAAGTCGAATGACCCTCGCGAAACCATCCCGAGTGAGGAGGAGGCCTTCATCCAGCAGTGGGTTCTGTACATGTGCGTAGATTAAAACACGTGGGGGGGGGGGGGTAGACGTGCACATGTTCCACTGTTTCTCGACTTCAGTCCACGCCACAGCTGTGCGTGTGTTTTTCCAACGAGAAAACATACGCAGCGCCATGTGTGTGTGTGAATAGAAGCGATCGGAGTGGGGGGGGAGGTTGGTGGGGTCGTGATGGATGGACTGGAGTTGAGAAGCCGCTGCTGTCGAGAGTTTGAAGAGATGGAGGGGGCCCCTTTTGAGAGCGTGTTAATACAACAACACAAACAACAAAAATAATAGAAACAGGCCACTCGAGATGTTTCGCTCAGCCGGCGAGAGGTGGTCTCAGGACTGCCTTGGGACGCGGGGGGTGCAACAGCTCCCCGCGTGTGCCCTCTGTGTCTTCACCAGAGTTGCTGTTTTAAACTTGCCCTATGCGGGACGAGCTCTCGGGAGACGCGCACAGCGGAGAGGCTGTTCTTCAATGCAAGCGATGCTGTTTTACCTACGATTATAGTGTGGGAGTTGGGGGGGGGGGGGCCTGTTTATTAATTAATTGTAAAGTTGTGGGACCCCCCCCCCTATTCCTCCATCCCCCCCCATCCCCCCTGGGCTGTTGCTGTCACTGAAGCGAGGGCACGTGGTACGACTCTTGTAAATACCCGTGTCGCGTTGTCGCATAATAAAGCGTTAGATACTAAAACTGGCTGCCTTCCCGTGTGTGTGCGCGCCGCGCGAGTGTTTCTGTTCTGCGCAACGCCGTCGTGGCCGCAAGCTCGAAGCGGCCCGTGCGGCGGCGTACGGCGCGGATCGAAGATGAACGCGCGCGCATTCGTTGAACACGGAGGCTTTCGCGACCAATATTACCCATAGAGGTTGTTTGGGTTACATCGCGTAAATATAAACGCGGTCGTTAAACCCGCCACCACTCGACGCAGCCAATTAGTATGGTTTGTCACGTAAACAACACAATCCTGCGGAGGGAGCTGGTAGGAACGTTGGGTTGCTCGGTCAATGGCCAGGGTCAACGGCGGCGTGGTGTATTCCGCAAATATGGCCGACTGTGAGGGCGGACACAAGCCGGCGTGAGTAGGTTAAACGTTGAGTTTTATAAGGGCACCACGGGGTGACCAGCCCCACCCTCCCCACCCAGCCCCTCCCCACCCAGCCCCTCCCTGCACGACGGACGGACACAATAATCTCCTGTGAACTGGTGTAACCAGGAGGTTCCTACCAGTAAAACATGCCAATGTGTAACTAGGACAGCACACTGGTGTGATGCAGAGTAAACCCACAACATTTAAAAACCTTACTATTTAGCTGTTATGGACATACAGTAGCAACATGTTTGTTACAGCCGTTTGTGCCTATCCACTGCTGATTGAAGGCCCTACCCTTTGCGCGGTGGCAATGGGTGGGGTCAAGGACTTGGTTCAGATATCCCCGATCTAGCTGTGACGAGGAATTGAACTCGGGTCACGGGGTGTATCGTGCAGTGCCCTAACCACTTTGACGCCACCACCACTGCTTCCTGCCACACTGCCAATTGCAGTCCCTTAAATATAGCTGTTTTATACCATGTTAAATTCACTGATTTGGAGAACATTTACGATGAATAATAATAGGCTTGAGAATAGGTTTTCCCCTTTTTTTCTGGCTACAAAACAGGTGTTAAGATACTCTTTGGTTCTTTCGGTAAAGTCACGTCGGTAGAAAAATAATCGATCACGACGTTTCGATCGCAACACAAGCAATCGTCATCAGGTTTGTGGTTGTCCCACCTGATGGCGATTGCTTGTGTTGCGATCGAAACGTGATCGATTATTTTTATACCTACGTGACTTTACCGAAAGAACCAAAGAGTATGAATTTCCTGCAGTCACGAAAGCTTCAAATCAAGGTGTTAAGATGTTTAAAACACCAAACTAAAACCTTTTACAAGGAATCATGTCTGCATTAACCACAATACTTGTGGTCAGAATGCAAACAAGAACATTCTCTGATAGTATATGCATTGTCTTTGAAACTGATTGGTCCACACCAGAGACAGCTTTAAATAATAATAGGCTTCCTACAAACAATTAAGGAGGATTGTTTTTTTTATTTGTCACCGAGGGGAAAAGAAACCACGACGTTTCGGCCAACTGACCTCCAGGGCAAGAGAAGGCGGCAACTCACTTGTTGGTCAGTGGCAGTTGTGTAAACTACCTCGAGTGGGGAGTTCAGTGTATGTCACTTGGAAGCGGCACGGTTTAGTACTCGACATGTGGTTTCTCTGCGCAACGCGCCACAGATCTCGCACCTTCCGGCTGGATTCAAGGAATGAAAATGACCGTGCTGGCAGTCGTGAAACAAATCGAGTGTATAAAACAAATTCGAAAATCCACCAAATTAATCGTTAACAATCACGTACGTCACAGCTTTACGTGTGGGCAATGTGCCGCATTCAGGGTGTCGAGAGAGATTTGTCAAATGACACTTTACTCTGTGGGGCCCTGATAAAAATGTTGAGTGGGTTTATTTCATTTGTCACACGGATGATGATCCCGTTGAGCCAGCTTCCCGGCTATTTTACACGGGAGATTCCGTGGTGCTGTGTGAACACAGCAGCGCCAGCAGCAACAACAAAGACAACCACGTCGATATTGCCACGAACGGGCCCAGTCAAGAGCGATTGCGTAACTAGAGCAAGCAAGGTATGTGACGGTCGTGAACGTTTTGGGCGATAGCCCTTGATCAGGCGGTGGCGAGGTGTTGACTACCTCGCCTGGTATACAGGAGGTCGTGGGTTCGATCCCGACCCTGACGCCTGCTGCTGTATATTTGGAGTTTGCGTGTCTCTGTCTCTCATCATCATCACGGTGGCTAGGAGATGTTAACTACCTCGCCTGGTGCACAGGAGGTCGTGGGTTCGATCCCGACCCTGACGCCTGCTGCTGTATATTTTGAATTTTCGTGTCTCTGTCGCTCATCATCATCACGGTGGCTAGGAGATGTGAACTACCTCGCCTGGTATACAGGAGGTCGTGGGTTCGATCCCGACCCTGACGCCTGCTGCTGTATATTTGGAGTTTGCGTGTCTCTGTCTCTCATCATCATCACGGTGGCTAGGAGATGTGAACTACCTCGCCTGGTGTACAGGAGGTCGTGGGTTCGATCCTGATCCTGACGCCTGCTGCTGTATATTTGGAATTTTCGTGTCTCTGTCGCTCATCATCATCACGGTGGCTAGGAGATGTTAACTACCTCGCCTGATGTACAGGAGGTCATGGGTTCGATCCCGAGCCTGACGCCTGCTGCTGTGTATTTGTAGTTTGCACGTTCTTCCCTTGGTCGTGTGTAGATTTTTCTCCGGGTCCTCCTGTTTTTCCCTCCACATTTAGAATCGACGTCACGCGTTTGCAGAGTAGTTGGCTGCTATAAATTTCCACTCGATGATCAGCCAACTTCGTCGAGCCGTCATTTGTGATAGCCAGGTCGCTTCTGACAAGGAGCGACAGCAGCCTTGCCGAGTAAAATAAATAAATATTCGTTTATCAGTGCACTGTGTCTCCGGGATGGCAAATTGACAAATGAAGTTTCGTATTGGAATCTGAACCAAAAATCGAAACTCTTCCATTGGTGCCCATTGACCCGCCCCCCCCCCCCCCCCCCCACTTGCCAGTCTGTTGCCATGGCAGCTGCGGTCCCCGAGTCGCCCATCATCCACAAGTGCCGGGTGTGTCTCGGGGTCCTTTTTTTCTCTTTGTGTTTTTTTTCAGTGGGGGGCCCCCCAACCCACCTCCCACCCCACCCCCCATCCCATCCCTCCACCCCCACACCCCGACACTCCACACCCCTTCGTCCCTTGGGTGCCAATCCCCGGCTGCCTCATTCATTCGCAGCTTTTGTTCCTTGGCAGCCCCGCACCGCGCCCCCTGACACAATGCGGGCGGGGGGAGGGGGCGCCCCCAGGGTGATCCCGGCCGTTGGGAAGGAGGAGAGGGAGGGGAGGGGGGAGAGGAGGATGGTTGAGGAGGGGAGGGGGGTGGGAGGCCCCAACAGATTGTGTGTGTGAGGGGTGGGGGGCCCCAACAGATTGTGTGTGTGAGTTTGAATAGGCGGGGAGTCCCCTATACACTCGGGCTGAACGATTTGGTGGAAAATATCGAATTGCGATTTTTCTTACACATTGCGATTTGATTTGCGATTACATTTTTTAAAGTCAAGCTTCAGTTCATTATTCAGTGTAATAGATTGAAAACATGTGATGGAGCACTACCACATGATACCATCAAAATATGAACTGCTCGACATATTCTAATGCAAGGATGAGAACTTAAAAGATGTGAATTGCATTCCAACATGTATTTATTAAAATGTTTTACTTGAAATAGAACAATCACACATAGAACGATTGTTAAGTTAAGTAAATAAAGTTATAATAATAAATGATAAAAACAATTGCAGATGATAATAGGGTTTTCCCCTTTCTGGCAATAAAACAGGTGTTAAGAGGTTAAAACGCCAAACTGAAACCTTTGCGAGGAATCATGTCTGCATTCACCACATATACTTGTGGTCAGAATGCAAACAAAAACACATGCTCTGACAGTATGTGCATTGTCTTTGAAACTGATTGGTCCACACCAGAGACAGCTTTCTTTAACAATTCCAATAAAAAAGTAACAGGACTTTTCAAATCGCAAAAAACGTAGCCTTTGCGATTTGCTAATCGAATTGTTTCAAATTGCGATTTCGATTTAAAATCGATTCATCGTTCAGCCCTACTATAAACCCCATGACCTACGCAAACGCGCTGAATCGGTGCAAGCGAGGGGGTATAGGGATTTCCCGCCCAGCTTGTATATCACGTGATAAAATAATAAGCAGACGGCAGGGGGACCTCATTCACAGATCTCTTGGCCGTGTATATTCGTTCGGGATTTGAAGCTTTCGTGACTGCAAAGATTCATACTCTTAGTTTAAAATAAAATAATAATAAATCACGACGTTTCGGATTTTTTATTCTTTTATTTTTATTAATTTTTATTTCCTTTTTTTACCTACGTGACTTTACCGAAAAAACTAAGAGTATATACCTGGATGTTCGACTCGCCTCAATCGGCCTTGGGGGAGTGCGTAATTCCAGCCGAATTTGGTTGAACGATCCTGGCGATGCATGTTGTATATTTGGAGTCCGCGTGTTTCTCTCTCTCACTCTCTTCCCCGTGGTGGTCGAGGTGAAATTCCGGCTTGCTCCTCCGGGTTTGCCCTCCAACTAACCGCACCGTTTTATAATTATCGAACGCGCGCTTAGGTACATGTTGGCTGCAACTATAAATTCGCACGGTCTGGTGATGATATCAGCCGCTTCGATAAGCTATCACGCTTGGCCAGGTCGCCTTCGGACAACGACCTAATCGCTCAGTTTGGCTTTATCGGGTAAATAAGAATTCGTTTTGTTTAGCAGCGTCAGGATTCTTCGAGCCGTTCGTGACAGAACACGTGGTTCTCACCGCTATCTTATCCCCCCTCCCTCGTGGGTAGATAACGATTCATTACACGCACGATACGTGCAACCGAGCCAAGGTTGTTAAACGAATGTCGATACGTCAGACTTGACGGTCTATTCCGAAAGCCGTGGGATTGCTCTTCGCATCTGGTGCGAGATTAATGACGATGCGCCGATTGGCACGCGCGAACGTCCGAAATGGATCCGTCATCGGCAGCCATGCCCAAGAAAACAGCGCGCTTCGATGAAGGGCATTGCCCGAAACGTCGCCTCTCATGTATTTTTGGTTTCCTTTAAAGGCCAGGCTGTTATCGATGTATGTGCTGAGATTTTTCGAGGACGTTTCATTTGCATTATCTGTCTGGTGTTTTTCCCGTCTCGTACGCCCTTTGTTTCATCTCGTTTGCATTGTCTGCGTTCCGTGTTGCGTCTCGTGTGTACGTACCGTGTACCCTGTGTTGAACTTCGTTCGCGCCGTACGTAGCAAACCGCGGGTGTTGTCCGTCTCCTGCGCCGTGTCTCGTTTGCATCGTCTGTGGTCGTTCCGTGTTCTGAAACGCAACATTTGCTTGCGATTTGCAAATTATTTCCCTGAATTTCAAACGATCCATTCTTACGCACACAATTCCCGGCGAGGCATCAACGAATCAAGGAATCGATCAGCTGTTGAACCCCGAGGAGTAACTTGGCCGTGGATGCTGCTTGTCATGGTTATCAGCACTCGACGATGAGATTATTTCGATTATTTTCGTGCTATTTCCACGTGATAGGCCACGTCGTAGAGTTATCACTTGTTTAACACGTCGTCTTCCGCGACGAATATTATTCATGACAAACGGTTGTTGGGTTCGATCGCGTAAGTATAAATGCTCCGTAACCCTCCGCTACCCGACACAGCCAATTAGTAAGGGATTTGTTACGTAAACAAAACGCCAATTGGCTACTACTTCAGCCCACCGGTGTGTTGGAGAGTAAATCCACAACATTTACATTTGTGATAGCCTGGTCTCTTTTGAAAAATAAGCTAATAGCTCAGTGGGCTTCATCTGGTAAGATTTTTTTTTAATAGTTTCGTTTTATTTGTATATATTTTTGTGAGTGATTTGTTTACCTTTCATATCGTGTATTTTTGAACTGTTTGTTGTTGTAACGTTCGCACCCGTCCCGACTGTGGGCATCTGCGAAAAAAAGCTTTATAGCTCATCGGATTCATCCAGAAAAAATATGATTCTGTCATTTGCGAACCGGTCGTCGTGAGTTCGTCCTCCCGGAGCGGCAGTTGAACCAACGGGTAGGCTTCCTTAAAACCCTCAGCAGTACGAGAGCGTACACGTGTGTGTACATCCACAGGTTATCGATCAGCAGAGGTCGCGTGCGGTGCGCTAAAGCGTGTGTAACTCCCACCGCTATACCATTACGTGTTGGCCAGCGTGGAAGAGTCGTCCAAGGGACTTTTTTTAAATCCCCCAGAGGAGAGACGTCACTGCGGTGCTGTAATGGCACGCGTGGACTGTAACTCTGAAGCATTATCTCGAGGACAATTCGAGCTCAAGGCGGTGTCGAGAGCCAGGAGGCACGCAGAGCCTCGCCGTTCGTGTTGATCGAGACGAACCACGAGAGGAGATGGAATCCGCGATGATCCTGGATCCTGGGGGTTATATAGGTAGGGTTACATTGATCATACGGGGTCATCCATGAGTATCCATCGATCCTCGTTGATTCCAGGAGCTCGATGGATCGTTAGCATCGCCCGGCCATGAGAGAGACTGTGACCGCATGGGGAGAGGCCTTCATCCAGCAGTGGATAGTTAATGCCCGTTGATGGTAATTCGTCTACTGTAATGTTGACAGTGGAGAATGGTGGGGGGGGAGGGGGGGGGAGCCCGGGGGCTGGTGATGTCAGGATGGTGTCGTGTTGTCGGATCGGTGTCGCTGTGTTGATTGTTTAAAATACAACACCATTCGTCTCGTTTCGTACGGCCTTTGAAAACAGCAGCAGAAGCAGGGTACAATTGTAGAGTATTGTGAATGTTGTAGGACACTCCACGGCAGCGGCTCGGGTTGGTAGCCGAGTAGAGTAGTCCGCTCGTTCTACCAAAATACAGCCGTGGATGTGTTGGGGTAGCTGAGTGGCGTGGTTGTATTGGGTAGCTGAGTGGCGTAGTTGTATTGGAGTAGCTGAGTGGGGTGGTTGTATTGGGGTAGCTGAGTGGAGTAGTTGTATTGGGGTAGCTGAGTGGAGTACTTGTATTGGGGTAGCTGAGTGGCGTGGTTGTGTTGGAGTAGCTGAGTGGCGTGGTTGTGTTGGAGTAGCTGAGTGGCGTGGTTGTGTTGGAGTAGCTGAGTGGCGTGGTTGTATTGGAGTAGCTGAGTGGGGTGGTTGTATTGGGGTAGCTGAGTGGAGTAGTTGTATTGGGGTAGCTGAGTGGAGTACTTGTATTGGGGTAGCTGAGTGGCGTGGTTGTGTTGGAGTAGCTGAGTGGCGTGGTTGTATTACCGCCCTGGTTTGTTCTAAGGGGGCAGTCATCGGTGATACGCGCCAGATGGTTTGCACCTCGCCGCATTTCGCAGTTCGGTAGTCCCTCGCATGGTCGTTCCATTCACGGAATAAAAATCGGCAGCCCCGATTTTGGGGGGAGAGTGGCAGAGAGAGACGAGGTGTCTCTTCGTCGGGTATTCAATGCAATGCTGCGCACTGTCCTGTCACCCAATACCCCCCGCAACTCATTTGTCTGTAGGCAGATTGCTCGGAATGAATGCGCACGCCAGATCTCGTCCGGGCTGGCACAGACAGAGAGAGAGAGAGCGGAGCCAGGGGAAGTGCTTGAATTGGACGGGGCTGAGACGAAATGCGAAGGCGAGCACGATTCAGAACGCCACCCGAGGTGTGGCTACTCCCCCTCCCCTCTCCTACCTACCTACGCTGCTGCGGCGGCTTCGCATTCGAGCAGCAGAGGGCAGTGCAGAATAAAAAATATATATTGTGCCGTACTGTACTTATATGCCCCCACGTCTACCCTACTCGCCCCCCCCCCCCCCCGAGGTCCCAATAATTGTTACATTTATTTATAAAGTATTTTTTTGCTGATCGCTTTTTCCCGAGTTCTGCGGTCCTATAATTCGGATGATGTTTGGCCAAGTATGTGAATGAATCTTGACTTAAAGCGTGAATGAGTATAAGAATAGGTTGTGAATGAGTATAAGAATAGGTTTTAACCTTTCTGGCAATTAAACAGTTGTGTTAAGATGTTCAAACACCAAACAGAAACCGTTTGCAAGGAATCACGTGAAACCACACATACTTGTGGTGAACAATGCGAACAGAAACATGCTCTGGTAATGTATGCGTTGTGTTTGAAACTGATTGGTCTACACCAGACACGACCTTCAAAGACAATGCATACATTACCAGAGCATGTTGATGTTTGCATGTCACCACAAGTATGTGTGCTTAATGCAGATTACGATTCCTTCAGTCCGGCGTTTGAGCATCTTAAACACCTATTCTATGGTTCTTTCGGTAAAGTCATGTAGATAGAATAGTAATAAAAATAAAATAAAGTGATTAAAATATCACGACGTTTCGATCGCAACAACCGCTTCTGTTGACATCGAAACGTCGTGATCTTTTTAATAATGTTGTTGTGATTATTTTTCTATCTACGTGACTTTACCAAAAGAACCATAGAATATGAATTCCTGCAGTCACGAAAGTTTTAAGTCAAAATCCATCTTAACACGTATTTCGTGGCCAGAAATAGTTAAACCTATTATAATTTGATACCGAGAAGAAATGTCCCTTGTTGTAGCTGTAAACCCCGAGCTATAAATGCCCTGATAGTGCATTGTCTTTGTGCTGTCTGCCTCTGGTCTAACACTGGTTGAGACGAGGCCCTAATGAAGGCTGTCTCTGGTGTAGACCAATCCGTTTCAAAGACATTACCATATACTACCAGACCATGTTTTTGTCTACATATTCACTAAGTAAGTGTGGTTAATGCAGACGTGATCCCTGGCAAGAGGTTTCTGTTTGATGTTTGAACATCTTGACGCAACTGTTTCATTGCCAGAGAGGGTAAAACCTATTCTTATACTTTGATACTGGCAAGAAATGTCCCATGTCCGTGAATGAGTGTTTATGCTTCCGGGAAGAAATCGGAGTGCCCGGATAAACCAACCCTTTTCCTCCTGACATATGTGAAAAAAAACTTCATAAGTAATCGGATCTATCCAAGGTAAGGGGCCGTCCATAAATGACGTCACGCACCGGGGGGGGGGGGTCAGACATTTGTGACGATGTGTGACGATGGGGGGGGGGGGGGGTGAGAAATGTGACGTCACATAAAAATGCGCAATTTTAAAGAAATACAGACAACACGTTCTTTTTTTTAATAAATGTTTTCTCCTACAACATCAGAGTGCAGCGGCACATTAAATACGCACTACAATGACAATAGTTTTAAGCGATTTGAAGCATGTTTTATTTGGGGGGGGGGGGGGCAGAGCTTTATAACGTCATATTTGAGGGGGGTCTGACTTTTTGTGACGCCGTGTGACGAGGGGGGGGGGGGTCAAAAATCCTCCAAAATCGCGTGACGTCATTTATGGACGGCCCCTTCGTAATTAATCTGATCTTGCCAGGGGTAATAAAGCTCCTGACGTTGAATGGAAACGGTTGCGAGATTAAATCAACTCGCTGTACTGCCACCTCCTGGCGAGCCAGGGGTTTGCCTTCGCGACGCCCACGGGAACTGAGTTTGAACAGATGGAAATTAGTCCACACTTTGATGTTGCTCCCTTGACCTGCCAAGCCAGATACGGATCCTCCTCGACGCCCATGGGCAAGGGAGCTTCACGGCGTCTGCGTGTCATCCACAAACCCCCCTCGCTGCTGCCTCCAACGCTGCTCGACGACTACAGGCCACGTGGCTTCTATGACGTCATCACGCCCGTTCAGATGACGGCACAACGCAAGTGCGTCGTTGACCACGGCACGTTAACGAGACTACTTTGTGACGTAACGTGTGCGTAATGACGACACTATACGCCTTGACGCCTTGCCACGCCGCGACTTGATTACGCGGTGACGTCACGTCCGCGCGGTGACGCAGCTCTTCCCTGCTAGTAAGTCGCGATGCGCGGTGACGTCACTGATGTCACGTCACCACGAGTCGCGTTGATGTGTGGTGAACGCGTTGACGTCACGACCGCGCGGTGACGTCACACTCTCACCCCGACGTCACGACGCCCGAAGCGCGGTGACGTATGCGGTAAACGCGCTTGCGTCACGACCGCGCGGTGACGTCCACACTCTCACCCCGACGTCACGACGCCCGAAGCGCGGTGACGTAGGCGGTAAACGCGTTGACGTCACGACCGCGCGGTGATGTCCCACTCTCACCCCGACGTCACGACGCCCGAAGCGCGGTGACGTAGACGGTAAACGCGCTTGCGTCACGCCAGCGCGGTGACGTCGGTGCCAGCGTGGCCGACAGGCGGAAGGCGGAAGCGTTGCCGAGTAAACACGCGACATGGAGGAGGCCTCGCCACGCCAGGTGAGAGGGGCAGCAGCGAGGGCAGCGCGGGGTAACGAGGGCAACATGGGCAGCACGCACGGGGGTAGGGAGTAGGAAGGGCAAGACCGGGGGAGTAGGAAGGGCAGCACGGGGGAGTAGGAAGGGCAGCACGCACGGGGGTAGGAGGAGGGCAAGACCGGGGGAGTAGGAAGGGCAAGACCGGGGGAGTAGGAAGGGCAAGACCGGGGGAGTAGGAAGGGCAGCACGGGTATAGCAGTAGGAGGGCAGCACAGGGGGCAGGCGGGCAGCACGGGCAGGAGTACGAATGCAGCACGGGTGAAGGCGGAGGGCAACCCTGGGGTTTGCACCGAGGTAGGAGCTCAGCACGGCGGTGCCAGGCAATTAGCAGGGCAGGGGGATGAGAGCAAAGTGGTGGGCAGCAGAGGGGCATTGCAGGCATGAGGGAGGGCAGCTCGGAGGCTGGAGGCGAGCAGGAGGGAAGGCCATTTGGGGGGAGGAGGTGGCAGCAGACGTAGCGACGTGGGCAGGGAGGCGAGGTCTGGCTGGGCAGGTAGGCCGAGAGGGCGTCGGCGAGGAGGTTTGCGGGCAGCAAGGTGAGCAGCGACGGGGGTGGTCGCGAACGGGTCCGAGGTGGCGGCGCTGAGGGCGGCTGGCGGGAACGGAGGTCAGCGGCGGCAGGGCTGGGAAGCAGGGCTGGGAGGCTGGGCTGGGAGATGCGGCCGCGAGTCCACGGGTTAGAGGCCCGCGTGCCGACCGAGGGTGCCCGCGAGGCCCCCTGCCCCCCCCCCTGCCCCCCCCTGCCCCCCCCCTGCCCCCCCCCTGCCCCCCCCTGCCCCCCCCCTGCCCCCCCCTGCCCCCCCCCTGCCCCCCCCTGCCCCCCCCCTGCCCCCCCCTGCCCCCCCCCTGCCCCCCCCCTGCCCCCCCCCCTGCCCCCCCCCTGCCCCCCCTGCCCCCCCCCCTGCCCCCCCTGCCCCCCCCCTGCTGCCCCCCCCGCCCCCCCCCCTGCTGCCCCCCCCCGCCCCCCCCCCTGCTGCCCCCCCCCCGCCCCCCCCCCTGCCCCCCCTGCCCCCCCCTGCCCCCAGACTCAAGGGGTTGACGGAGCGCACGTCTGCGCCATCCGGGCCCTGGTTTGGCTTTTTTTTGTTTGTTTCTACCGAGTCCGCGGTGCGTGGCCCCGAAGTCACCTTGGCTGAATGGATGGACCCCATTTTGCCCCAGTGGGTAACAACTTTGGGCAGAGTGCGCGGGTGGTGGAGGGGGTGCAGGGGGTGTAGGGGGTGTACCCCGTGGCTCTCAGAAGAGGACCCCCGTAGGGAGCCACGCACGGACCCGGGCTGCCCTCGTTACGAGCCAGGCAGGCCGCGCTCTGCGCCCCCCAGGGCTGCAGGGATGGCCAAGGGATGGCAGTGCGGTGTTATAGATTGTTGAATCAATCTGTGCGGAGCTTTGAGTGTTACTTAACCCCCCACCCCACACACCCAGCAATGCGTGTGTTAGTTTTTGTCGCTTTCTTCCCACACCAAGCCAAGAGTCTGGTTAATGGAGTTGGTTATTTAATCCCAACGTAGCATCAACCTCCTGTAAATGAGTCTTGAGCAGCGGATTTCAACCCGTGGGTTGCCACCACCACCACCATCACCACCCTTGCCGCCAGTGGGACGCAGGCTGTGGCATGGCTACCGTGCAGGATGCGTTTCAAATGTGCGCGGGGAACATCAGTGCCACGATGCGGCGACACACACCACACACACCACGCACCACACACACCACACACACCACACACACCACGCACCATACACACCACACACACCAAACACACACCACACACACCAAACACACACCACACGCACCACACACACCACACACACCACACACACCAAACACACACCACACGCACCACACACACCACACACGCACCACACGCACCACACACGCACCACACACACCACACACACCACACACACCAAACACACACCAAACACACACCACACACACCACGCACCACACACACCACACACACCAAACACACACCACACGCACCACACGCACCACACACGCACCACACACGCACCACACACGCACCACACACGCACCACACACACACCACACACACACCACACACACCACACACTTAGCATAGAACATGAAACCTGCCTTGCTTGCTAACACGCCGTCACTTCGAGGCGTTGACACGCGATCTCTCTCTCTCTGTGTGTACGTGTGTGCAATGTGACCTCGGTAACCTGGATAAATATAATGACGTTTATTAATTATTTTACACCATGACCCGATTTCGCCTCGCTCACACGATATAAGTGCGCGGCTTTATTCGAGTGAGACAATGCTCACTCGACTGTCAAATACTGGAAATATATCCGGCTCGGCTCCACGTGTGAGAGGAGAGGAGTGAATCTCCATCAGCCCCCATCCATCCCATCCACGGAACAGAGATGAATCACGTAGGCCAGCTGCAGTGGAACGGTTCCCACGATTTTCGGGCGTACGTCAGGGACACTTAAACATATTTTGGTAATCGCGAGCGGTCGTTTCGCGGGGACGGCGTTTTTGCTGGAGCGTGCTTTGTTGTTGAGCCAATTAGGACTGTAATTCTGAGACAGAAATAAAATCTGGGCCACGTATCGGGATGGGGGGGGGGGGAATTGCTCGTAAAATTCCACGGTGGTGTCACGAATGTTCTCCGATTAGCTGAATTTATTCTCCCGCCCCAGGGATGGTGATGGCACATTCAGTTTTATTTTCCGTATATCTATAATAAGTGAGTGATATTTTTTAAAAAAATTGCAGATACTGGAATTTTCTAAATGATGCCCCCATGGTATGAGCAAACAAAACATTGTCACTGACACTGCGACGTTCGAAAGGAAAAATATATAATAGGTGACGTTTCGGCAATGACCCTTCATGGTACATAAATGGTATGAGGATGATACAGACCGCGGCTTCCATGAAGCTACGTACTGTGCAAAAGAAGTTAAACATACATACAAGTACTCAATTGGGATTATATTCACAAAGCAATCAATGCCCCATACTGGCAGACTGAATCAGAATCCTTATCAGAATCAGAATCTTTATTTAAACTGGAGGAATTCTATGAGCTATGATACTCTTTTTCACAGATGTCCAGTAAGGGCAGGTCAGCAAGTTACAACAATTCCCCCAGGACACTCTTGCAAACGGAACTCATCCAGGGAATGTCACGTCACTTCCACTGCAGTCTTCACGCTTTTTCTTACGTGGCCGCGTGAGATAACCCCAAGTGAAAATCTCACTTGGTCTCTCTCCCAAACCGGCGTGGTTTGTGGGATACGTTCCCTCCAGCCCGCTGGCCCCTGCGCCTGCCCTGTGCCCGGCCCCACAGCGATCCGGTTAATCCCCGTGCAAGCGACGATCACGGGAGCCTCGATGGAGGAGGGAGGGGCATTCAGTAGGTGGCGAGATGTTAACTACCTCGCCTGGTATACAGGAGGTCGTGGGTTCGATCCCGACCCTGACGCCTGCTGTATATTTGGAGTTTGCGCGTGCATTTTTCTCCGGGTCCTCCGTTTTTTTTCCTCCACATTTAGAATCGACATGGCTGGTATAAATGTCCACGTGATGATGAGCCACTTCGTTGGGCTATCATTTGTGGCCATGTCGCTTCTGAAAAATAGTTTAATAGCTCAGCAGACGTTTCCTGGGAATATACAAAAAAAACTGTTTATAGTTTTTATAGTTTTATCTGTCATGGCGACTCCCTGCTCCTGTTCCAAGTCTAAGACCTTCCCTTCCCCCCTCCCCTGTCACTGCATGTGACTGGAAAGAGAGGAAGAGGGAGGAAACGAATCGGCCGGTGGGGATAGTGTGAGCATTTTGACGGGGAGATGGGCAGGGTTCTGTCACGTACATCAATCTTCGCTCGTGAGGATCATGCCAGATGGATACGACCGGCTTCCTCTCTTGATAAAATAAATGCTCCCTTCCGTTTTTCTGTGGAGCGTCTTGGAGAATGCGTGTTTGGTTCGAGGATTTTTTTCATTCACTTCGTGTTTTACATTTTACTCCAGGCTGGGTTCAGGACCCCCCCCCCCCCCCCCCCGTACAGCTGCTGCTACACTCCTCCAGACCCGGGAGCTCAGCTGTTGCGTCCCCCGGCACGTTCAGCGTGTTAGCCAAACCTTGGTTTATCCAGATTTATTTTGACGTAAGAACACAATTTGGATTTACAGGGCATTCTAAATGCGACAGCTTTTCCAGGTGCTTTACAAAAACTGTTAGACACAAATACAAAGGTCCCCCTGTATAGCCTAAACAGACTTGGGACAAGTGCTGTTAGCGAGCACATAAGCAGGCCAGAACAGCACGCGAAGGGGTAGGTGGCCAGCACCACGCCCGACCGCCATTCTATCACGGGTGGCGATGTTTACACACCGCACCAGGTACTCATTTGAGGCTGAGTCGACCTAGGGGAGGCCCAGGACCGATGTTGGCCGTGAGCGGGAATTGAACTCGGGTCGTCAGTTTTCATAGCGCGGGGTTGATAACCGCCGCACTACGACAGAAAGAGGCCGGCAGTCGCATGCAGGTGTTGAGGCTGAACTTGGAACAGGGGAGCAGAGTTGACGGCGCGGATTACCTGGGGAAGCGAGTGGAGATGCTTGACGAGCGTGAACGTCCTCCCACTCGGCGAAAGTTGCACGGGAGCTTTGATAGAAATCATGGAGTGGAGAGTGCATGGAAGCGCAGTCGAGTGAGATGATGAGAGGGGAGAGGTCGGAGAGTACGTGGGGGGCAGTAGAGTGAGATGAGAGGGGAGAGGTCGGAGAGTACGTGGGGGGCAGTAGAGTGAGATGAGAGGAAAGAGGCAGGCAAGGGCGGATCCAGGAGATCTTGAAGACGGTGATTGAGATCGTCAAATCCATCGGGGATTTGATTTGGGAGTCTTGGAAGCTTCGCATAGTTGAGCCCGGTTCTTGGATGGCTGACCACCAGGACTTGCTCTGTGTTGTAGGCATGGTGAGGCCATGTTGTGTCACCACCTCCGATGGACACTTTGTGTTGAGCTGTTTGTAGTCGTGTTAAGCCACGTGTAGTTGCGGTGAGTCACGTGTTGAGCTTTATGTAGTTGCAAACCCCCCCCCTTTCCCCCCCCCCGTGTGTGGCCCCGCAGGCTGCTGTGGACCCAGCGCTCGCAGCGATGGGCCGCAGCCTCAACGAGGCGATCCGCGTGCTCGGGGACAGGCAAGGGTGTGCACCACGCACGCACGCTGTGCACGCACGCTGTGCACGCACGAACGCTGGGCACACACGCACACTGTGCACGCACACACGTGTTGACGCACACCACCCGCAACAACAACAACCGCCATTCACCACTCAGTGGCGCTGACGTCACCACGGCGGTTGTGCCAGGCTATGTGCACACGCACGCTTACACACGTGTATCTGCGCAAGCGCGCACACGTGCACTTCCCCGCGGTCACCTGCGAGGAGGTGTGCGTTAACAGCCGCGCGTGTCCCCGTGTGCCAGGTCGGGAGATGAGACTGACGGAGTCAACCGGAGGTACATCCCCGGGCCGCTGCAGAGCAGGTACCCCGAGCCCTCTCAGCACCGTTGACCTTTTCCTCTCTGACCCCCTCCTGAGTCCCTTTACCCTCTGACCACCGCCCCCCCCCCACCAACCCTAGTTCCGTTTGCCCTCTGACCTCCTTCCCCCGCCCCCCGACGCTGTCCTGCGCGGCTCCAGCGGGCAGACGGTGAGCGGCATCCTGGAGCTGGTGCAGACACTCATCCACGGGGACGACGCGGAGGAGGGGGAGGAGGGCGACTCCGCTCCGGCAGGGTGAGCCGGCGCGCCGGAACGACGTCCACCTGGGAAGTGGCGACGGGGGGGGGGGGGGGGGGCGCGTGCTTGGAAAGCGGTTGAAAAGTAACGATTCATCGAATTAATAAAAAAAAAATTTATAATAATTACGTTCATGATATGTGCATATTGTCACGCGTGCAGGGTTAGATTATTTGTGTCTGATGAAAATAATCAGCGAATTGTAAGTTACATTTTTCGCGAGAACGAGGGAAAATCGGTACAAACCAGGCGGGCGCACGTCGTGACGATTCATCGAGCCGCGCGGGAAGGTGGCGGGGGGGGGGACGTGCCCGCGGATGTCGCGTCTCTGGTCGGCAGTAATCGCAACAAAATACTACAAGTGTTGCGGTGGGTGCGGTTAATGCGGTTGCTGGGCCCTCGGTATTTAAACAAGCTACGTGTAGCCTCGAGCAATGTCCGGGGTCGAGTTGGTTTGGGGTTTCTTTTTTTGAAGATCCTCCTAATTTCCCGCGTCTGTTCCGGTTAAACCTGATCGCCCCGCCGCCGCGTGGAGAGGTTGGGCCTCTTCGGCTTGGAGCGTAGTGGGGGCAGGGTGGGGGGTGACGAGTGGATGGGTGGGGGGGTGGATGGATTGGGGGGGGGCAGCCCAGTCACGTGACCTTTCGGAAAGCGTGTGCCAATTAGCGCAATTAGCGGATGCCCGCTTAATGGAGGCTTACAGAGGGGACGTGCTGTGCACGCGGTCCTCTCCCGCGGAATACTAAACGGTCGCGTTTCGTTTGCATTCATCGCCCATTCACTTGTCGCCATTGCGCGCGCGACACTTGAATGTTGGCGGCCCCGGCGGCGAGCGGGGGGCGGGGGGGGGTGGGTGCTGTTGTGGCTGCGACGACTTCTGGCCACCGCCGTGCGTTGGAGCAATCGAGATGACGCAGACAAACGGTCGGCGACGATGTGAAGGAGGAGAGGGCTCAAGATCAGACTGAATGGACGGAGTCTAAGCGAAAGGCTCTGTGTGTTGTGCAGGCGGGATTTGAGGTGTTGCTGTTTTTTTTATCTCCGTGTCGTGCCTGTCTCCATGTCCTGTCGATCTCTGTGTCGCGTCTGCACCTCCGAGTCGCGTCTGTATCTCGCGAGTCGCGCGTGCGTGCGTGCGTGCTGGCGCCGCGTCCCCGTGCCGCGTTGCGACCGTCCCCTGCCGCCGTGGCGCAGACTGGTGAGTGGCGGGGGAGACGGCGCCCACGTGGCCCTACTGGGCCACAGCCTCGCCGCCTACATGTCCGTGCTGCCCCGTGAGCGCCTGCGCCGCCTCACCACACGCATCCTCTCCGACACCATGCTGTGGTTCTGCCGCCTCTTCCGGTGAGACTCCCCTCCCTCCCCTCGGGCAAATCCTCATGCACCGCAACAACAACTACTACAACACACAGGTTGGCCCGCAAGAGTGATCTGTTGTTCTGTTGTTGCTGCCATCGGAGGGATTTTAGTTGTCTCTTGAATCCACCCCGACTTAGCCTGCCCCCTACCCTGACTGACCCCGCCCCCTACCCTGATTGACCCCGCCCCCCTACCCCGACTGACCCCGCGACACAAACCAGCCCAAGCCCCTCACCCTCCCATGTCCTCAACGTACGTCCAGTTTGAATGACCATTCACTTAAAACCATTTCTTCAACAACTCCTAGGATCCTCCAGCCTCTCTGGACCACCTTAGGGTGCACGCATGAAGGAAAGGAGGCAGACTTCAAAAAATACTCGAGATCCATTCTTAGACAAACCCCCGCACATGCCCAGGGCCCAGTGCCCCCTGGGAAGCCCACCTTGTCAATCGATTGGGATCCCCCTCAACCAACACACGCAGCTCTCCTCTCTCCTCCCATATGTTACGAGGTATATGACATGGAAAAATGTACAGCAGCCAAATGCTCTTAAACGCATGATGTTGATTCTAAATGTGGAGGGAATGACTGGAGGACCCGGAGAATAAATTCCACGCGACCATGGGGAGCGAGAACTTGCAAACTCCAGGCATACAGGTGTCAGGGTCAGGATCAAAACCACGATCTCCTGCATACTAGGCGAGGTGGTTAACATCTCGCTACTGTGGCGGTGATTTTGCAAAACCAGAGGAATGTCGAGAGTTTTTAAATACGACGTGTCGTTGTTTAGCAAGAGCTCAGCTCTCGTGTGACATAGCTCTAACAAAAAAAAATAATGACAAGAAGAATCGTCAAACGTTGCTCGGGGATTTTCAACATTCCTCGGCGCTGATGCGGTACGGGGAGGACGTGGAGCCGAGTGGAACTTTCCACGGCGTGTGTTTCTCTACCCTACCGTTCGGTTGGCATGTACGCTGAACTTCTTTCGCACCGAACGTAGCCAACTGCGCTAATCGGAGGCGCGGATTCGCGCTCGCTCGGTTCCTGCGCGCGCAGCTTCGAGAACGGCTCGGCCTACTACCACGGCGACGAGCACGACGGGCTGCTGCGCGTGTGCCGCCTGGCGCTGCACTCGCGCTACGACGACTACGCCACGGACGGCTTCCAGGCGCTCACGCGCCAGCCGCCCGTCGTCTACGTCAGCGCCGCCGCCAGCCCGGGCACTGCGCAGCACCTGTGCCGCCAGGTGAGTGTGAGCGCTCGCGGCGGGGAGGGGGGGGGGGGTCTTTCATGGGGGGGGAGGGTGGCAAGACCCCCCCGCCATGAAACCGATCTTGAGAGGCCATGGCCCTTGAGAAAGCCATGACCCCTTGGCACGTGGCGATGCGTCGACTGATGATGTGTATGATTACACGTGTGTGTGTGTGTGCGTGCGCAGCTGGGACTGCCACTGTCCTGCCTGTGCACCGTGCCGTGTAACACCGTCTTCGGCTCCCAGCACCAGATGGTGCGTACGGCACCAGCGGGGCCGCCCTGCCCTGCCCGCACAGTGTGCCCGCAACACACAACCTACCTGCACCACGCACCCTGTCCGTACCACCACACGCCTGCCCACACCACACACTCCAATTCATGCAGTGCACCGAATTGTGTGTGTGTGTGCGCAACTTTGCACGCTTTGTGGGTTTTATGTGAGCGTGGCAGTGTTTCTTCATGCGACTGTGTCTCCTGTTAAAGTGCGTGTGTGTGCGCATGCTTTGTGGTGTGTGTGCGCGTGTATTAACGTACGTGCGTGCGTGTACGAGCAGGACGTGGCCTCGCTGGAGCGTTTGGTGAAGGACGACATCTCCTCGGGGAAGCTGCCCCTGCTGCTTGTGGCCAACGCAGGTGCTGCCCCCCCCACCCTTCTTCCCTCCCTCCCCTCGTCCCCCGTCACTCCCTTCTTGCTTCCTCCCATCCGCCTTCAGCATTTGAGCTCGCTTCTAGAATTGCCCGCGTGAGTCAGGGGAATCGAACCGGGCGGCTCCGAGCGACGGAGCCTCGGTGGCGGAGTGTTTGGCAGGGGGAAGCGAACGCCGAACCCCCCCCACCACCTTTCTCTCCCCACCCCTGCCCCCCCCCGTGGCGCAGGCACACCGGTGGCGGGGCACACGGACAAGTTGGGGCGTCTCCGCGAGCTGTGCGACCAGCACGGTCTGTGGCTGCACGCACAGGGGTAACGGCTGCACTACCGCACCGCCACGCTACTGCAGCACGCACCGCCGAACCACCGAACCTCCGCAATAGCGCACAACACCGTAACCCCGCACTCGCAGCGTGCTGTCTGGCGCGTGCCACTCGCTCACTGTGCGTGCGTTTCGCAGGGTGAATCTCGCCACGCTGGTGCTGGGGTATGTCTCGTCATCCGTGCTGGTGAGCCCCCCTCCCCAGCACCTCCCCCTCCACCTAAACCCTCAGTGACCCTCTCTGTGCGTGCGTGTGTGCTTGCGTGTGTGCTCATGAGCATGTGGGTGTGTGTGGGGAGCGCTAGTGTAGCGGTGAGCGCGCTGCGCTATGAACCCGGCGACCTGAATTTGATTCCCACTCACGGCCAACACCGGTGATGATTATTTGAACCGGTCCTGGGCCTCCCTTAGGTCTCCTCAATTGAGTACCTGGTGAGGTGTGTATGCATCCCCGCTGGGGAGACAAAGGCGGCCAGGCGTGGTACTGGTCACCCACCCCCTCGTGTGCCGTGCCGACCTTCATAGGTGCTCGCTAACAGCACTTGCCCTAACAGTCTGTTAAAGGCTATATGGGGGATCTTTGTCTTTGTGCTCACGAGCGCGTGCGTGTGTGCTCGTACGACCAGGCCGCTGTCAAGTGTGACAGTCTCACGCTGACCCCGGGGCCCTGGCTGGGCCTTCCGGCGTGCCCAGCCGTCACGCTATATCGCCATGACGACCCCGCGCTGGTGAGCGCCTCACCTGCATACCTCACCACGCCCGGCACACTCATCCCAGCTCTCTCATGCCTCCGTACAATACATCGGCACTCTGTACGTGTGTCTTCATGTGCTGCGTGTCCGTGTGCCATGCGCACCTTGTGTATTCCCGCGTGTGTCCGTGTGCATTTTTCCCCGTGCGTGATGTGTGTTCCGCTTGTGTGTGTCCCACGTGTGTGTGACATATATCCTGCATGCATGTGTCTGTGCACCGTGTGTGTGTGTCCCCATGTGTGTGTGACATATCATCCGTGTGTATGCCGTGTGTGTTGTGTGCCATGTGTGTGTGTGCATGTCAGTCGCTGGCGGCGGGTCTCGCGTCGTGCCAGCCGGTGGAGAAGCTGCGGGCGCTGCCGCTGTGGCTGTCGCTGCAGCGGCTGGGCCACGACGGCGTGGTGCAGCGCGTGCGGCATGCCTCCGCGCTCGTACGACCCACACCCAACCACCGATACACCACCACCACGGCGCACCGCACCACTGTACTGCACCACCGTGTCACCGCACCTTTCTATCGCACCCTGCCACTACACCACAATATACCACACATCACACAGTACCGTGCCACACCACTGCAGCACACTACCACAGCACACTACCACACCACAACAATATACCAACCCACCGCAATATACCGCACAACACCGACACACCGACACACTTGCGCAACACCACACCCCAGCGGCACAGATTTTAGAGTCTCTTTTCTCGATGCACGGCAATCCACGCAAATCCCGTAGTGGTGGGCGGGGATTGCCCGCGGCCGACCAGCCCTCGAGTTTGGCGAACGCTGGCGCGAGGAATCGCCAACTTTAGCGAGCGCAACTCGGCGCCCCATGTCCGCGAGCGAACTCCGTCGATCGACCGTTGCTAGAAGCTAAGCGGCGGTGTGGCAGAGCCGAGGGGTTCGTGTTGACGCGGTTCTCTGCTGCCGCTGCTGCTGCTGCGTGTGTCAGAGTCAGCGGCTCATCGAGAAGCTGAAGCTCGTCCCCGGGGTGCGCACGCTGGTGGAGGACGAGCTGAGCTCTCCCGTCGTCCTCTTCAAGTACGCGGGCGACTCGTGGCAGCCAGGTGACGAGCGCGGCCGCCCCGTGTGGCCCCGCCAGTGGACCGCTGGCAGGGCCCCGCCCGCATGCACTTCACTGCGAGATTTTTCCTAATGAATGAAATATCGTGACGTGATGCCTCGAGCACGACGGGGATAGAATTGTGTGAGCTATGTGATGTCGGTTGGAAAGCCATCTCGTGTCGCTAACTCCTGCCCGCGGCACCCCTGTGCCACCCCGTGTCACCCCGTGCCACACCGTGCCACACCGTGCGCAGCGTCGGAGCGGGACCCGGCTGAGGACGTGAACCAGGACGTGATGGACGCCTTCAATCGATGGGTGAGCAGCAGCAGCGGCACCACTCGGGAAGGGGGTCAGGGTTCGGGGATGGGGTGCTCCCAGGATAAGGGATCCAGGATAACCTTCTCAGCTGCTCGGAAATCCACAGTGCAGCGTCATAACGCCGTGACGTACACGCGCGCGTGTGTGTTTGTGCGTCGTCTCCTGACCCCGGGCCAGCTGGGCGAGGAGCTGGCGCGGGCGGCGCCGGCGTGCGCCGTGGACGCTGTGGAGCTGGGAGACGTCGGAGTCTGCCTGCGCTTCAGCCCCCTCTCCTGCGCCGCCGGCAAGCACAGCAATAACCACCGCCACTACCGCACGCTAAACAACGACAACAACCACAGTCACGCAGCTACAATCGCCACGCCACAACCACGAGCGCACGGCAACAACCACAGCGTGACAACCACCGTCACGCAGCAACAACCATAATGCAGCAGTCAACACCACATGGCAATCACAACCACCACCACCACGTAGCAACAACAACCGCCACCACGTGGTACTAACCACCACCACGGCTACATGGCAACCATCCCCACATGTAGCTCCTGCTGTGTCGCCAACAGCTCTTGCCCCTTCCATCGATGAGGCCGATACAGGTTGTTGGTCACTCCCTGTGCCCGAATATGTATATGTGTACTTCTGTGTATGTTCTCATGTGGCGGTGGCGGTGGTGGCGGTGGCGAGCAGGCCTCGGCACGGCGGTGGAGCACGTGGACGCGCTGGTGGAGGCTCTCGGGGCCGCCGTGCCCGTCATGGCCGCCACGCTGCGGCTGCGGCACTTCTTCCGCAGGGAGGCCCTCGCGCAGCCCAGCCTCTCCTACCTGGAGGAGCCGGGCTGGGCGGGCCTGGGCGCCGTGCGGTGAGCAACGGCACGCGGGCATCTGCACGCGTTGGGGGTCGCACACGCACAGTGATGTGAGCGGTGTGTCAGTGTGTGTCAGTGTATGTGGAGTAGAGGGGAACTCATGTGAGCGGTGTGCCGTGCGTGTGGGTATGTTGGGAAGCGATGTGATCAGTGTGCCGTGCGTGTGTATGAATGTAGGGAAGCGCTGTGAGTGGTGTGTGTGCGTGTGTATGTGTTGAAGCGGTGTGAGTGACGTGCGTGCGTATGTGTTGAAGCGATGTCAGTGGCATGCGTGGCGTGCGTGTGTATGTAGGGAAGCGATGTGAGTGGCGTGTGTGGTCCGCGGTGTGCCACAGGTTCGAGCTGACGATGGGCGACGTGGACCCGGCGCGCAGGGGCGCCGACACGGAGCGCGTTAATGCCGAGGCGCTGCGCAAGCTCGTGGAGCTGGGCTCCGACGTCCCGTTCCGTGGCGGTGAGTCGCCACGCTGGCGAGATGTTAACTCCCTCGCCTGATATACAGGAGGTCGTCGGTTCCATCCTAACCCTGGAGTTTGTGTGTGTCTCCGCATGGTCGCGTGGGTTTTTTTCTGGGTCCTCCGGGTTTTCCCTCCACATTTAGAATCGACGTACATTCCGAGTAATTGGCTGCAATAAATTTCCACACGATGATGAAGCCACTTAATTGAGCTATCATTTGTGATGACCAGGTCGCTTCTGAAAAAGAGCTATACAGCTCAGTGGGCCTTACCTGGTAAAATAAAAATAGTTTAGCTTATAATAATAACATGAAACCCGTTGCGTTATCGTCGTCGTCGTTTCCGTCGTCGTGCTCGCAGGGGGCCAGGCGGGCGTGTACGTGGGCATGGTGGCGGATGACGTGGACGTGCGCGCGCTGGTGGAGACGATCGCCGACACGGCCCGCGAGGTCGAGGAGAGCACCAAGGTCAGGAACTGTCGCGGGGCCCACGGTACAGCAGCCGCCCGCGGCAAACGCCGGCCACCCACGCGCCTTAGCGTGACGTTTGCCTCTGCGTTAAACAGCGCGCGTCGAATGCGTCATTGTAATCCACCTGCCCCCTCCTCCGCGTTCAGGTTCAGCGGCTGTTTGTAGCGCTCTCCAAGCATGGTTTGAAAGCCTTTAGACATTAGCTTTGTTCGTCCGTTCCCGTGTGCCTGCTAAGTGTTTGTCTGTTGTTGTAACTTTGTGACGTGCCCCTGCTCGACGTCTGTGAAAAAAGAGCAAGACAGCTCAGAGGATTTCTCCAGGATAAAATCAAAGATTCCGTGATCCTCTTTGGGATAACGTCCCGTCGTGTCGCCCCCGCAGCTGCTGGAGAACATGGCGGACATGGTGCAGAAGGGAATCCACGAGGCGGAGGAGCAGCTGCGCAAGGCGAGCCAGGATAAGCTCATGCAGGAGGTGCGCTTGTAGGGAGCGCTGCAGAGGTGCCGTCGCCCAGCCCGCCCACCCGATCCCACCGGGGGGGGGGCGGGCCTTGAGCCACCGGGGACCCCGTTACAGGGCAGCGTGTTAGGCACTCGCGCCCATCGCCGATTGTGACCACGCGTGGCCATGTGTGACTGCGGGGGACAGTGTGGGACCGTGTGTGACCGTATGTTCCCGTGTGTTTCCGCGTGTAACCGCACGTGTTCCCGTGTGTGTTCCCGTGTGTGTTTCCGTGTGTGACCGGGGTGTTCCCGTGTGTGACTGTGCGTCGCCGCCTGTTCCCGTGTGTGACCGGGGTGTTCCCGTGTGTGACTGTGCGTCGCCGCCTGTTCCCGTGTGTGACCGGGGTGTTTCCGTGTGTGACCGCGCAGGGCGTGCTGAGGCAGCTGCCCGTCGTGGGCTCCGTGCTGAACTGGCTGTCGCCCTTGCACGCCTCCATGCGTGGCCAGGCCTTCAACCTGATGGCCGGTACGAGCGAGAACGCACGCAGATCATGTGTACACGCGAACGATCATGTGTACGCACGCATGGATGTGTCCGCACGCTCGCTGTCCCCGCAAGGGGCCCGTCCATTCACCGTGTGCTCCCATCCAGCGGCACTCCAGTCCATGTTTTGAACTCCCTTCGATAACTTCACTCGTCTTCTGCGCTGGAGTGCTGCTGCTGCTGCTGCCTGTGATCCTTGTTGCTGCTGTCACGGGTTTGGCCGACGGTGCTGCTGAGGCTGCCGCTGGCGTTGGTCGTGTTGGTGCCGGCCGCGGTGCCGGTTGTGCTGACTCTGGTGGTGCTCTCACTGGGTAGGGGCTCTGGAGTCGACGGAGAGCACGTACAGTTCCAAGATGCAGACTCAGCACGCAACCCCCCCGGTGACCCCAACATCGGAAAGACACTCCCACCTCTCCGGTGAGACCGCCACCCCCTGGCCCTGACACCCCCCCGTGCCCCCCACACCCCCTGATGACGCTGCAGCGATTTCGCCGCGACGTTTGGCTGAGCCGCTGTGTTTCGTGCCGGTGCCCGCTGTCCGCTCTGCCATTGTGGGCAGCGGCGATCGGAGGGACCGGTAAAATGATTGAACCCTTGCCCCCCCGCAGCTCAGAAACTCTTCAGGCACTCGTCGCACACGTCGGAGGCCGGGCAGCAGAACGAGAGCAACTCCGCTGTGGTGGAGGAGGCCCCGTCCCAAACGGTACAGCCAGCGCGCACGCGTCCTCGCGCAACCGCCGCGACCGCGGTGTCACGCTGACCGCACCACGAACCGTAACCACGATGTCGGCCACTGCACCACGGAAAGCTCCCGGCTGAGTTTAGCCCGGAGCTGCCAGGCTGCCATTTCCCCCCCCCCCCCCCCCACCGGTCCGACGTGTTTCTAGCCGGGGCCGCCCCCCCCCCACCCTGGAACCTGCGCGACGTCGTAGGGGTCAATGTGCAATCGAACCGTGCTTCGTGACGTCAACACCGCGGTTCACGGCCGCGCGTAAGACGTTAAATATACACGCGTGCACTTCTGTAGCTTTCCATAAGTCATTATCGACTACCCAACGTGACACGGTTTTCAGGCCAGTGTTTACCCAACTCCACTCCGCTCGACGCGCCCCCCTCGCCCCCCACGGTGCATTTTTCCGTGATGAGCAACCATCAGGTGCGTGCGGTGCGCGTTGCTTAATTTGCATGTGGGTATGGCTGAGTTCAGTGTCGTTGCTGTAAACTGATGGTTGACTGCGTTCAGCTTGGTAATAAAGAACCTGTTGAGATCACTTCCCCTGGCTGCGAACGCGGAGGGCAGGGGAGTGATGGGGGGGGGGGCAGCCCTAGAGATCCTCGTGATTCACGGTACAATGTCGACTGACGGCACACCCTGGTGCTGAACCGGGCCAGACCTGGGCCAGCGCAGTGAGTTTGGCATTGCTCGCAGGAACAAGGCACCATGAATCGGTGCGCGTAACGATCCATCCGTTCACCAGTTATAAATGACGCAGTTGACGTACAAGTGTTACATGTCAATGCTACATGGACGCCAAGGCGGGAAATCCAGCGTGCAAGTGGGCAGACAGATAATTGGTTCCTTGCATCGAAATCGCAAGCCCACCACGACACGGCAACTCTCCCGCCGGTGAGTAGCGACGTGCGGGAGCCGCCGCCCGCTGCCTGTAGCCACGTGACACCAAATCCCCACTCCTCCCGCCGCGCTTTCCTCACTCCAGGAACGCCCTGCCGGCTCGCCCGGTTCGCCCGCCGAGGTCGGCGCTGTCGCCCAGCGCGACGAAGGAGGGGACGACGCCGAGGACCCGGGCGGCTCGCCCGCCACGGGGAGCCCCGCCGGGACGACGCCCTCCGAGCTGAGCGGCACGGGGGGCAGCGTCGGGGCCACGAGCAGCAGCGGGGGCAGCGGCGGGGGCACCAGCAGCGGCGGGGGCACGAGCAGCAGCGGGGGGGCGAGCGGGCCGAGCGCTGGCAGCGAGTCGAGCAGCGTGGTGGGGGTGACGGAGTCCGAGTCGGGCCCGTCGCGCTCACTCTCCCAGGACCCGGCGACCGGGCTGTCCTCGGAGCTGGAATCTGAAGGGGAAAAGGGGCAGTAAAAAAAACGTCAAAGTTACACAAATAATACAAATTATATACATTTATATAAATAGTTGGATTAACATTTATAAGAAGTAAATTTTTACATGAAAGGTGTAAATTTCAATTTGCCGCCACCCACCGGGCCACGGGGTAAGTCACGTGGGTTTTTAATGTGAAGCATTTCTTTGACGGGAGAAGAGATTGGAGGGGTGGGGTGGCTTGGTAGGTAGGCTCCCGGTGTCGCCGCTGTCATGTGCCCTTGGATGTAGCCCACTCACCCTTGCTGCTTGTGAGCACTCATACCTTGGTTGTACTTGGAGCATAGGTGCAGGTTTCCCTCGCTCTGTGCGGGTTCGGTTCGTGCGATTTTGCGCACTGTATACGCGGCTAACCTATTTCAAAGAATTCGCTGGATTGTGCGGTGCGGATTCGCTCGACATGCGGCTTTGAGGTCGGACGTGGGGCAGCACTGCTTTTGTGCTGCGTGTGTACTGTATGCGCTATTCCGCTCCGATTTGCACGGCTGGCTACGTACGGTGCGAAAGAAGTTCAACACACGTACGTAGCCATCTTCCAGTGCGGGTCCGTTTTGTGTGCTCCCTTTTCTCGGAACGCATCTGCGAGAGCGAAGGGAACTTGTCTGTATGCGTGTGTGGGCAGCGGGTATGGAGGCAGTAATAACGAGACGACTTCGCAGCTGAAGAAGGCGGAAACATTCAGGAGGCAAGGAAGGTTTGAGGAGCCAATGCCTCTTGGTCAAGCCCCCCCCCCCCACTCCGTCGACGCGCCCTGTGGGTGTACACCCAAGGTTTTGGGAGCTCGCGAATGAAGGGGGCGAGCGGGCTGCAGCAACGAGCGCGTTTGATGGGTGAGTTTGGGTGCGTTTGCCCGGTCTGTCGTTCACTCCACGATGCTCGCTTCCACGTCCTTTTCCAATCGCGTGGCGAGAGAGACGGGCGTGCATCGGTCACACGCGCGGTTGTGGCAAAGCGGTTTGGGGGCGATCTTTGGAAGCAAGGATGTACATATAATGTGTAATTGCAGGATTATTTTCTTGGCAAACTGAGGCTGTTCGGAATATTACAGGGACACTTTAAAGTAATTTAAAACTTGGATCAAAATACCATATGAAGTTGTTTAGTTTTTTGGCCCGGCCAAATCCTGCTGGGTTTGACAGCCCCCCCCCCCATACCCCTCCCCTGCCCCCCCCCTGCTCGGATGATGGGTTCATCAAACCCGTGTAGTGGTGTTCGTTGACGTGTATGGGTTTTTCCTGGGGATTTTTCGAAAGGCTCATCAAAAACAAACTCGAGCTATGTTATTATTTCGTGTCACGGAATTGTTTTTGCACTTAATAGGATGTGTGTCAGCGGTGTGTGATCACTGGGGGCCCATTCCTTGTGATGCTGCAAGGCTCTTTCCTACACGTGGGTCTAATACTTGGTTTTGGGTGTCTGGGCTGATTCCGTCCTCATTGTTGATGCTGGGGATTTTTGGAAAATAAAGAATCGTTGAACAATTACGCGACGCGGGTTGTGCAGAGACTTTTGTGAAATTGACAGCACACGCTTCGATGTTGTACGCGTCGTAATTTAACGACGTTAATCGAGTGTGGTTCGCGACAGAGGGGAAAGCGGCGGCGCGCTTAGCCGAGTTCGATTCCCGTCCACGGAGTTGACGGTGGCCACGTGGTTACGACTCCATGCGTTGTGCACGCGTCATTTGCGGACAGTGCAGCCACACGGAAAGCTTTTTTTGGTCAACCGTATAAATGTACTGTCCGTATATGCGGTGCTTAATTTCAGCCAGAACAGGCGTTCTATTCCTGAATTGTTCTGCCATTCCACCGTCTAAAAATGTTTTATGCCTATTCATAGGAAGAGAAAAGCAATCATTAAACTCGTAACATGCCCGCTGTAAAGTATTCGCTCGCTCGACTCTTCGAGGGACGAGGAGGAACCACGGAGGGTGAGCCGGTGCCAACAATTGCCCAAGATCTGTCGTCCTCTATGAAAGCATTAGGAGTCTATTTAATGAATGGGGATACGTGTGGGAGGAAACCGGAGCACCTGGAGAAAACCCACGCAAGGCGAGGGGAGCCCGATGGAGTCCACCGCCTTCTGGCAAGCCAGGGTTTTGTTTGCGCCTATGATTTACCAACCATCGCTGCTTCCACAGTGCTGGATTAAGAGGCCACGTGCAACGCCACCACCAACCGCCCAGCTTAAGTATATCCGTGCAATAATATCGGATCATTGTGGATGGTTTTGAGGGTGCATTTGTGAATATTCATCTTCGTCCACTCCCGCACAGAGAGGCATGTTTGGTGTGCACTTTGAGAATAGACGCCTCGACCAATCACGCCGCACGGGGAGGCTTGTTTTGGGTGCACTTTGAGAATAGACGCCTCGACCAATCACGCCGCACCCAGAGACGTGTTTGGGGTGCACTTTGCGAATAGGGGCCGTCCATAAATGACGTCATGCACCTGGGGGGGGTTTGAGAAATGTGACGTCACATCAAAATGTGCAACTTTAAATAAATATTGAATTGCTATAACAACACTAATTGTTATAACGACACTCCTACAACATCAGAGTTCATCGCCATATTAAATACGCACTACAATGACAATAGTTTAAAGCGGTTTGAAGCATGTTTTATTTTCAAAATGTAAATATGGTTTTGGGAGGGGGTCAGAGCTTTGTGACGTCATTTGAGGGGAGGGGGGGGTCTGACTTTTTCTGACGCCGTGTGACGAGGGGGTGGGGGGGTCAAAAATCGTCCAAAATTGCGTGACGTCATTTATGGACGGCCCCATAGACGCCTTCCGGCCGGGTGGGGGCTGTGGGGGCGATGGGATTCAGAGGGGGTGGGGGCTGTGGGGGGTGGGGGCTGTGGGGGGTGGGGGCGGTGAGGGGGGTGGGGGCTGTGGGGGGTGGGGGCGGTGAGGGGGGTGGGGGCGGTGGGGTTCGGATGGGGTGGGGGGGTGGTGAGGGGGGTGGGGGGGTGGTGAGGGGGGTGGGGGCTCTGGGGGGGGTGGGGGCGGTGAGGGGGGTGGGGGCGGTGGGGAGGGGGTGGGGGCTGTGGGGGGGGGCGTGGCTTTGGGCTGCACTTTGAGAAAGTGCCCCCTCGTGGTCGGCGTCACCGCCAGGGAGGGCCGCGCTGTGCATTGTGGGTTGAGCCGCCCAGGTTGATCTACGGGGCTCTCGGGGTGGCAGCACGGAGCCAGGACCCCCCCCCGGTCCTTGGGTGACCCCCTCGCTGGAGTCCCCGTGGCGAGACCCCAGCGGTGGGTCCCCTTTGCTCGTCCCCTGCACGGCCCCGCGATGCGGTGAGTGACGCTGGTTGATGATGGTGAGGGTGAGGGTGATGGTGGTGGTGGTGAGGGTGATGATGGTGATGGTGGTGATGGTGGTGATGATGATGATGGTGGTGATGGTGGTGAGGGTGATGGTGGTGATGAGGGTGATGGTGGTGAGGGTGATGGTGGTGAGGGTGATGGTGGTGAGGGTGATGGTGGTGAGGGTGATGGTGGTGAGGGTGATGGTGGTGAGGGTGATGGTGGTGAGGGTGATGGTAGTGAGGGTGGTGAGGGTGATGGTGGTGGTGATGTGATGGTGGTGGTGGTGATGGTGGTGAGGGTGATGGTGGTGGTGGTGATGGTCGTGAGGGTGATGATGGTGGTGAGGGTGATGGTGATGGTGGTGAGGGTGATGGTGAGGATGATGGTGGTGGTGATGGTGGTGGTGATGTGATGGTGATGGTGGTGAGGGTGATGGTGGTGGTGGTGATGGTCGTGAGGGTGGTGATGGTGGTGGTGATGATGGCCGGCGCCTCTGTCATTAAAATCACGAACTCCCATCAACACCATCCGCTGCTGCAGCAACATCATCATCATCTTCATCGTTGGGGAGCGTAAACGCGTCGCCACGCACACATCATTGTGTGTACACGGCGGACACTGTTCTCATGGTGTGCACGCCAACATTGCCAATGCCGTCAATGTTATTGTGTTGTCGTGTACAGTGCGAGTGTGCGCACAATTACAATAATGGTCGCTGTAGATGCGGAATCTGACAGATGCTTTGCGATTACGTTTGTATAGCTGTACGCATCGGCATAATTATGAATAACACGAGATGATGATCATCATCTGAGGGATGCATCGGTCACCACCACCACGTATTGCCAAGCACACAAGCCGACATTGTGTGTATTCCACGTGCACTGTCCATGTATCATCCTCTTCACCATCATCACCATCAGCACCATCATCATCATCGCTGTTGTCCATCGCATCGTCAATCGGCCGATGCACAATCGTCGTCTTTGACGGCACCGTGGTCATGTTTCAGTATCCACCCCCCCCCCCCCGTGACTGCACCATCAGCAGCAGTGTGTGTGTGTGTACGTCGGGATTGTGTTGATTGCAAGGCAGCAACAACAACAACACATTTAATAACAAAGAGCACCTATGAAGGTGGTGGCCAACACCCGCGCCCGGCCGCCTTTGTCTCCCCTCGCTGCGGCGGATGTTTACACTCCCGCAGCGAGGTAGTCATTTGAGGCCGAGTCGACCTAGGGGGAGGCCGCGGGCAGGAATGGAACTTCGCGGCGCAGTGCGCTAACCGCTGCGCCACCGCTCCCCGCACAGACACACACATGGAGGGTGGAGATGTTCGCACGCTGTTGTGTTGTTGTCTTGTGTTGTTGTCTTGTGTGTATGGTTGTTGTTGTGCACACACAGCGGCATAATTATAAATGCACAAGCATCGTTATGAATAACCTTAATTACCTAACAATCATGTTGATCACCTAAAGAAGAACGCCAAGCTCGCCACCATACTTTTGAATACATCAGCATAATTATGAATTCAATATCATAATGATGATCATGTATTCATCATGATCATCATTATGGATAAAGGCATCAGTGTTGTGTTATGGTTAGCGGTGAACTCCCCCCCCCCCCCCCCCCCCCCCCCGGTAACCATAACCTCGTCTGAGGTTGTGTCCGCTGTTGTGTGTTCTTTATGAAGGGCGTCTTTCATTATGGAACTCGTTACACGAACAGAATCGTGTCATCATCATCATCACCTTGTGGTTGTGGTGTTGAGCGGTGTCGATGATGATGGTGGTGGTGGTGGATCTGTGTCCGAGTTGTTATGTCTCTCTGGTGTCCGTCGTGATGGCGTTGTCTTCGTGATCTCTTGTGTAGCGTCTGTGTATTTGCCCTGTGGTGTAGGTGGCATTGTGTGCGCTTTTGTGCCGTGCCTCTGGCAATGTCTGGGTCCACCTTTATGTATCCGGGTATTGTGTGCGTGTCGTCTCGTGTTGTGTGGTACTGTCTTTGATTTGTGTTGTGTTCCTGACATTGTGTCTGTCGTTGTCTGTTCCGTGTTGCCTCGTGTGGTGTGTGCGTGTCATTGTTTGTGTCTTGCTGTTATATAGTGGCGTGACTAGGATTGTGTCTGTGCTGTGTATCTTGTGCTTGTGCGGTTCGCTGGTGTTGTTCCTCTGTTGTGTCTGCGGTGTTGTTGTGTGTCTATGACGTGTCTGATGTCTGTTGTGTTGTCTTTGTGTGTTCTGTCGTGCATGTGTTGCGCCAGGGATGTTTTCCATCACGTTTGTGACATTGTATATACTGTATGGTCTTGTGTCCATGGTGTTATTTATAGCCGTGCTGTCCAATCATTTAAGTAGATCACCAATTATCGGATCGTTTAATTAACTAATCCCACATACCCATTGTGTGCCGCTGGACGGGAGGTGAAGGGTGGAGACCGATGGCGTAATTTGCATAATCAGCTGCTTCACATTGGGCGTGGCTTGTAGAGGCTTCCCCACCTTCGGGATGGAGGCTGCCAGGGTGGTCACCAGCTTGAATCGACTAAGTCCCAGCTCTAGCGTTATGTCATTGCCGTATCTGTGATCTCGTGTTTCAAGTACCATTGTGTTGTGTTGTCTGTGGTGTCGAGATGTATGTCTGTAATGTGTCTGTGGTTTTGTGTTGGTGTGTTATGCCGGCGTTATTGTTTATTTTATGTCTGTGTTGTGTCTGTGGGTTTGTGTGCATGTGGTGATGTTGCCTGCGGTCTTGTGTGTTATGTTGTTATTCCTGCATCGTTGCATTATCTGTGGTGTCAGTCATCTTTGTGTTACGTTGCGTCTGTTGTGGTGTTTAACTTTTGCATCTGTGTCAGCCTTGATCAGCCGATTGCCTCTGGGTCGTGTGTTGTTGTTGTTGTGCATTGCGTGCTGCCGGGTGTTGTGTTGCTCTGCGTGTAGTTTCTATGCTGCTGCTGCTGCTTGCCTCACTGCGTGCGAACACTTGAGCCTCTTTGGTGTCCTGAGGTCATCCGATGGCGGAATGTGATGTGGGCATTGTCAGTGTGAGAGCCCAGTGTGACTCATTCATCCCTGAGGACACTGATAATGTGGCAGTGGCGTATACTGCAGATGCTATAAAAGATGTGGGCGAATCATCATCGTCATCATCATTCTCATCATTTGTATAATCGGGAAGTGGCGTTTAACCGACGGGCGACTGCAATTCTCGGATAGAGAGGGGCCTCGGCGCTCGAGCTCGCAATCGGAAGGTCGCGAGTTCGAATCCTTGGTTTGTGGGGGTTAACTCGGCCCATCATCGCTTCCAAGTCGATAAAATGAGTATCACAGGAAGTCAACAATGGTTGACATGGTTTTACTCGGCACTGCCATTGGGATGTGTAATTTCCACCCTTGGCCCCAGAACTGTAAACAGGAGGTGAGTGCACCGATGCCTCAGCAGGAAATCACGTGGTGGACTTTCTGACCTTTCTCGATAAGAGAGGAAAAATGCTCGTAAAATTAAATACCAGCCGTGTCGGAGGTACTGGGGCGAACTGACTCCTTCGTCCATGCGGGGATGGTGAGAGCGCGTGCACTTTTGTGTGAATGTCGGACCTTTCAAATAATCCATAAAGTGAGCCGTCCTTGATTAAACTATAGAAATTTACCTTTAAAATGAGGCCCAATATGTTATACTCGATTATAAAAAAACTCAACACATTTGTCAACAACACTGATGAGACCTGAAAAGGAAAAAAATATATATAATATAATCGACGTTTTGAGCAATGGACCTTCTTCAAAGCACTTAAATGCTAACTCTATCTCCACGTGAGCCATGTCCTTTCTCAAAGCCTTTGGAAATCCTAGCCTTTCTTCCACGTAGCTCTCTCCATGATATTTTCTCAAGAACTCTCCATCGGATACTCTCAGTTGCATCCAGTTGTTCACTTTGCTCACCCAACGTCACTCGCCGTCTTCCCCAGCTTCTTGCTGTACCTCTACAATGTTCCCAGTCACAAACCCCTATTTATATTCATTCTCTTGTTTTTGCATTGCATGCCCAAGACATTTATAACTTTGCCTTTGCCTAATTATGCTTGTAAAAGTTATTGTTGTGTACATTGCTGCGGCCGCCAACAGAATCATGTTACTCGTCTAGTCTCTGTCCGTTGAATTTTTAGCATCCTTCTGGGAAAAAACCACACGTTTCTTGTTGCTTCCAGTTTGCTCTGCAAGTGTCTTTGTAATTGTGCAGGATCATTTGAAAGGTCAACTGTGAGGTCACCTCCTCCTCTGTGGAACTGCCCAAGCGTGACCTGTTCACCTGCGGGCTGCGCTAAGTGGTTGTGTCACGCGCGGATGCCCAGCGCGCCCTGTCTGACCAAACGCGTCAATCATCCCATCGCCAAGGAGTCCCGTTCATTATTAATTAACGCCACTGTGCCCATCGCCATCGGCAGCCGGCACTGCCCCGTTTGGTAATTGGATGTTTGTCTCCTCGAACAATTGGACGATGAACACACAGAGGCGGCACTTGCTGCCAACAAACCGCTAGCCGCGCCAGAGGCTGACGAGGTGAGGGTCAACCTTGTGACCTTGTGTCTCATGTTCCCACGTGTGTTGTTTTTGTTGTTACAACTTGTTTCCCCGTGTGTTGTGGTTGCCACTCCCCCGCCCCCCCCCCCCCCCCCATGTGTTGTGGTTGCCACTCCCCCGCCCACCCCCCCCCCATGTGTTGTGGTTGCCACAGTTCTCACATGTCCCAGGGTGGCCCCAGGGTGGCACGCTGAGGCGTGGCGGGGGAGATGGCCGCTCGGCCGGTGCCCTGGTGGGTGACGTGGCTCCACGGGTTTCCCCACCTCGACTTCAGTCTGCGGCCCGTGGACTCCACCTTCGCCCCCGACGACCCCGCCTACCAGCAGGTAGCCGCCTGCCCTTCCACGAGCATTCAACGAGCCACCCTAACTGCAGATGCTCGTCCTCGCTTGCAGGTGCCGACGTGCCTATTGCGAGCCAAAGAAATCTAACAAGAGTGATTTCTTGCTCAGATGACCATTGCGGCTGTGCTCATCACCTGTTTGCAGCCCATACATAGCCAGTGGAGGCAAATTCCACACTGGTATGGCGAGGGTGATGCTGTTCATAGAACAGCCACCGTTAACTCCCCCACAAAACTGTAGCTATTTTATTAACCCCTGGAAGGATAATGGGCCGAGTCGACCCCCCCCTAACCAAAATGTTAACTCTCTACCTTCCGATTGCCAGCCGCTATGCTCTACCGCTGAGCCAATTGGCCAGGATCACCAGTGTTTTAACGCGGCGTGACAGGCGGACGTGACGGGCCCGCCTGTCGTCCAGGGCATTGGAGACGAGGGTTGGTGGATCGCGCAGACATTCGTGAAGCTCCCAAACGCGCGCCGGGCTGTGTGGGTTCGCGGACCCGTGTGCGTGTGCGCGCATGCGCGGAGCTTTCGGGCGTCATCCGCTCGTGTAACCTGTTGGGTATTTTCCGCGTTCTCCTGTTTGCCCCAAAACGCGAAGGGATCGGTCGCACATCCCGATGTTGATATTCCAGGTATTATTGTTGTCACCTCCCGTCCAGTCAATGAAAACAGTCTTCGTCCCAGCTTAGCCACCTGCTTGTTTTCTGTCGCAAGCTCGCCTATTGGTGAGCGTTAGCTGCCAACCCTCAGCGCCAGCCCTCTGTGCCTACCTGATCATGCCAGCCCACAGGTGGGAGTTGTGTTGGATATCAACAACAATAATCACTTGTTATTGTTTCTTTAAAAACACAGACATTAAGCTTCTTTACCCAGCAAAGCCTCACTGAGTCTCAATAATTTTTCAGAGGGTGTCCTGCCAAGTTTTTCGCAGTAGGTGGTGGGGGGGGGGTGCAGTGTTGCTGCTGTGTCAACTCAATTGAGTAATTTGGAGGTAAAAATTTCAGTTCTGAAACGCCAGTTGCGTTGTAGGTTCTGGGGGTGTTTATTTTGTTTTGCTGTGGGAGGAAGCCGGAGAACCCAGAGGTAACCCATGCAAAATAGCGGGAGAACATACTAACCTGATACACTATCACTCCCAAGCTCAAGATCCGCCTTATAGCCTAAACAGACTTTGGGTGCAAGTGCTGTTAGCAAGCACCTATGAAGGCCAGCAAGGGCATGCGAGAGGGTGGGTGGGTGGCCGGCACAATACCCGGCCACCTTTGTCACCCAAGTGGCAATGTCTACACATTGCGCTAGGTACTAATTTGAGTCTGAGTCTACTTAAGGGAGGCCCAGGACCGGTTCAGATAATCGTCACTGGTGTTGGTGGCCGTGAGCAGGCATCAATCTTGGGTCGCTGGGTTCGTAGCGCAATGCGCTAACCACTGCGCCACCGCTCCCCATACCGTTGCTCGCTCGCACACTAACACTCACACTTGCAGAACAGAGAGAGAATGTGCAAACTCCACACAGAAAGGTTCCCGGAGTTGGGAGTTGAACCCAGGCCCCTTCTTGCTGTTAGGACACAAGTGTTACTTCCATGCCACCCTGCCTCTCAAAAGCAAAAACGACAGTTGTATCTTTAAACAAAAAAAGCTATTTGCTTTCACGTCGCAGATAAAATATCGTAACAATGGCTGCGCTCGATCTCCAGTCGTTGCACGGACTGTGCGTTTACTATCCCGAGGGAAGGTGTGCAGCAGTCTTGTCTCCTTTTCTCCTTTAAGCCGCTTTGTCGTTTCAAAAAAACATCCTGCTCAAGAATAAAATCGCCCGTCAGTCAGCATTCCGATGACGGTACTTTATGTCCGCGAGTTAAGAATGTAAATTTGTAATCGGTAGGAGACACAATCGGTGTCAAGTCGAGCCGATTGGGCCCCAGCGACATGACGGGCTGCTGTCCTAATGTGTGCCAAGAGTCATGCGCGTCCTTGTACAGACGGAAGCCTGTGGTCTATCACACGGAGCGCGGTGGAGGGATGCGGAAATGATGGTGGGCAATCGGTGGCAGTTTGACCAAACCGCAGCCGCCAATTTCTACTTCCTCCCGGATCGCTCGGCCGAAATGGGGGCGCGGCGTGTTTTGTGGGTATTTTTTTTCTTTGAGCCCAACTGAATCGCATCGTCGGGCTCTGAGCCAGGAGCCCGCCGGCATTCGCACAAGAGAATCGTCAATGCGGTGTCCATTAAGAAAGCGCTCCATCGCGCTTAATTTGGCCCCGGACGAGCTCACGGCAGTCACAGTTTTGTGTCCGCCGTTTCCACGGAGCTTCTGCAAAGAGATTATTTTTCCCCCCCCTCTCTCTCTTTCCTTCTCTCTGCGGAGAAGGCATCCGTCCACGCATTGATTAGAAAAAAAACGCAGCCACCGTGTGGGAGTTACTGGCGTTCCTGTTCGGCGGGCGAAAAACACTCTCCGTTGGAGTGAGTGCAGCCGTCTTGAGAGCGTCACCGCCGCCGCCACCAATCGTAAATTCTCCGCAAAGATTACAGGCCCCTGCGCCATGGTCGGTCGATGCGTGATTATCCGACCTGCGAGCTGAAGAGTTTACGCGGTTTAAGTGCGCCTGGGGGGAGGAGGAGAAGGAGAAGATGGAGGAGCCGCCGCCACCCCCCATACCACGGAGGCTGCCGTGGCGGCACGCACGCCTGTGGACGCTCGCTACAGAGTCGAGGTCGTTTCTGGGGGGTGAACCACCGTCGGCTCTCTTTCACCATCGCCTCCGGGAGGCTGAAGTCCTGGTGCGCAGTTCCACAATTGAAGCGATCTTTCTCATGCATAATGAGGTGGGGGGAGGGGTCACTTGAAGGTATTTATTGTCTCTGAACAAACGTGGCTTAGTTGGACTCATCCACCCGTCGCTGCCATCCAAGCGCTGACGAAAAAAGTCGGTTGGTCCGAGCACGTCCGACGCAACGGCATTTGTCAATGATTTCTGTACGAATTACCATCGTGGAGGGGTTAACGTACACGAGCATAACAAGTGTCACTTCATATTCATACCAATATATTGCGTGCAATCTGGGGACGGCCGGGCGCTTGGCAGCGGGGGGAGGTCTCTGCGCTGCTCTGCCGCGCACACTCCCACGGAACGTTCGTCACAGTCGTGCCCTCAAGCTGTTTAGCGGTGGTGGCGGCGGCGGCGATTGCGCCAGTTTTCTTTTCGCCAAATTACCTCGTTCACTGCCTCTCGCTGCCGGCAAGTCATTGTGCGTGCGAGCCGCGTGCGTGTTTCTACGCGAACCCGCGCGCGCAACCATCATTCCTGCTTGCCCATTGCAATTACGTAATTGCTCCAGAAACTTTTGCCGAAAAGCATCGCGACCTCATCGTGGAATAATGAGATTGGCTCCAACGCGTCCCGTTGTACCGTTTTTTTTCTTTTAACTTAAAAAAAATGCTAATCCCCCAGTACCACCGCCACTGCTGCCGTCTCCTCTGACCACTGGTCCTGCAGCCGTGGCTTTTCCCGCTCGTCTAATGGGGGTCGATTGATTTCAAGGATCGATCGGCTCGCGGCCGCACGGGGAGGAGGAAAGGAAGCCTTTCCTTTAGAGAGACTTTCGTTTTAGGGAACAACACTGGCGCTCCGTTGCACCTGTGGGAGCCACGTCCAAAACTAACGAACAGCCCCATCACCCTCGGCTCTCGCGGCAGTGGCTCTGTGCGTGCGATATTTTTTTCCGTCCGGCATGTGATTTTTTTTCCATGCCCCCACCACCAACCCCCCCTCCCCCCCCCCCCCCGTTTGACTTGTTTAATTTGTTGCCAGAGTCGTAATTTTCGTTGAACGTTGCTACGTCCTCCCCGCGTCTTCGCGTTGACGTGCTCTCGTTAAATAATTACTCTGCAGCGAATCAATATCGTAGTCACTGGAATCGTGGGTATTAACGAGGGTGGCGAGCGGGTGCGTGGGGCTGGTTAATCGACCGTGAAATCGGCGGCCCGTGTCCTCGCCAAATTGCACCGGTGGGGAGAGGGCGGCGGGGTGGGAGATGAGCTCGTGCTTTTTGCTGACTCGAGGCCTCCTGAGTGGGAGTGGGAGCTGCGGTGGCTAGGAGATGTTAACTACCTCGCCTGGTATGCAGGAGGTCGTGGGTTGAGATCGCGACCCTGACGCACGCTGCTGCATATTTGGAGTTTGCGAGTCTCGCTGTCTCCCTCCCTGTGGTCGCGTGGATTTGTTTTTATCTCCGGGGCCTTTGGTTTTTCATGCCCCATTTAGAATCGACGTGCGTGAAGAGTGTTTGGCTGCTGTGCGTTTCCACGTGAAAAGCCGTTTTGTTGAGCTGTAACTAGTGGCCAGGCCGCTTCTGAAAATTAACTGAGAGCTTAGTGGGCTTTACCTGATAAAATAAAAATGGTAAAATGTTAGTAATTTTTTTGTGATTTTCTTACTTTCCCTATAATTTTCACTCCTATCGTTGTTGTTGTATTGTTTGTTGTTGTAACTTTATGACTCACCCCTACTGGGCTTCTGTGAAAAAGAGCTTAAAAGCTCATCGGATTTCTCCAGGGTAAATAAAGATTCTGATTCTGGGCTGAAATGATCAAGCGACCTTCGCCGATTCACGTTTTTCCTGCCAATCGCTGTCGCTTCATTGCTCCGAGCGTGCGCCGTGAACTCACCGCTGCCTCCACCCTGCCTGCCTGTGCCCCCTCCTGCCCCCACCCCACCCCCTCCTCCCACAGTCCTTGGCATTCCTGGCCGGAATCGTGGGCGCCTGCCTGACCTTTAACCTCCTGGTGGTGGCCATCTACTTCCTGTGCCGCTGCTGCCGACGGTCGCTGCACCGCGATGGCGCGGAGCTCAAGCGCGGGCGCTCGCGCTGCGCCGTGTGGGTCGTCGTGTGCGCGGCGCTCATGTGCAGGTGCGGTGGGGTGGGGAGTTGGGGGGAGTGGGGGGAGGGGGGCGACGAGATTGAAGCTAACGAGGTGGGGGCAGAGCGACAAGTGGGGGGGGGGGGACAAGGTGGGGACGGAGCGACAAGGGAGAGGATAATGACGTGGGGGACAGCGATGAGGGGGAGGATAATGAGGTGGGGGCGGAGTGGTCCCCACTGTTGGCGTGACTCCTCGCCGTGGCTTGTTGCAGCGCGGCGATTGGCGTTGGTTTCTACGGCAACAGCGAGACGGACGACGGCGTGGAGCGTTGCCTCGAGGGCCTGCAGAGCACCCGCGAAACCATCGACACCGCCACCACGCTGGTGCACCGCCAGCACCAACACCACTCCACCGGCACCACCATAGGCACCACCGCCGAACTCGCCATGAGCACATGTCTCTGGTGATGTCATCGTCCTCCTATCACCACCAGCGTTATCATCGGCCCGCCATCACCACCATCAGCGCCATTGTCCTATCATCATCATCATCATCATCACCACCATCGGCCACCCAAACTGGAAGGACACCGCTCCACTCATCCTATTCCGGAACCTCTCCTGTGTCCCCAACTGTAAGGGTTCACGGGATCCCCCGCTAGCCCCAGCAACTCGTGCACCTTGACCCTTATCCCCCTTTACACCCTGACCCCCCCGCCTCGTTCCCTAGGTGGGCAACACCCTCACCTCCCTGCGGGACGAGGTCACCCCTGACCTGCTGTCCCTAGAGAAGGCGTACGCCAAGCGTGCAGAGTTCCTACGCCTCGTCAGACAGGCGCGCGTCCACCTGGGCACCCTGACGAGCCGGCTGGACGCCCTGCTGCCCCTGTGGAGGGACCCCTCGGGCCAGGGGGGCAGCACCTTGAGCTGGCTGCAGGAGCAGCTGACCATTGTCGAGTTCTACCGGTCAGTGGCCGCTGCGCCCCGGGTAAACCCAGAACACGCGGCTCTACCCTGGGCCGTGCATCTCCTGAGGGCTCTTTGACATTCGCGAGAGAGAGAGAATAAATAAATTAAACGTTCTACAGTTTTTGCACCACGTTGACCTTCCTGCATCAGGAGCGATGCAGGAAACGGATGTAGCGCCTGACCTGCGCTTTAAATGTTTGTCGTTTTGTTTTTTCTTCGCCTCGCAAAGGAACGTTAGAGCTCGCGTCAGATCGCCTCGGCGCACGCGGCCGGCGTGCGCAGCCACAAGATGATGGCCACTTCTAATCGAGACCTCTAAGACGAGGTGGTCGCCGGCGACGTGGTGCACAGCGGCAGCACGTTGGCCGCTCGTAGCCGAGGCTCGCGGTTCCAATCCGGAGGCCGCCCTGGTTATTGCTGCACGCGTAAAATAACCGTAATAATAATACTACTACCACGCCCCATCTGTGTCACTCGCAATGGACGTTAAAGATCCCCCGACGTCTATCGCAAGGGAAGGCGATCGCGGCGCGGCGCCGGGTTCCAAATTTTATCATTTCCCCCGGCAAATGACTCCCGTTTGGGATTACACACCCAGAGCAAACACCGTCGCCCCCCTCCTGGCAGGCTCATGCCAGGTCACTCTAAAGGTTTGGCGCAATTAACTTGAAACTTGAGAAGCCGCACGAGTCCTGACTCGGCCGTCGCTCTCGCTGCAGGTGGCTGGCCTACGTGCTGCTACTGTCGGTCGACCTCTTCACCTGCCTCTTGGTTCTGCTGGGGCTGGCCAAGCAGTCGCGCTGCCTCATCAACCTGTGAGTATGCAGTTGTTGGTTGCCGCTCGCTTTGGACTCCTGAACGGTTCTTCAGATCAACAAACCACAGCGGCGGCGGTGGCAACACAACATCTTTGCTAATGCCGCTCGGGTGAGCCGTGCTAAGCCTCGCTATATTTTATCAACGCAACTTTGTTAAGTCCCTTGCAATCCTATTACGCACCCGGCGTTTAGCAGCTGTAGATGTGCCGTGGGGGGGGGGGGGGTTGGGCGGGGGGTGCTGGCAGCGCGCAAAGCTGCTTGCCTCGAGGTCAGACGGTGTTACGACTCCTAGCGGCGGGGTTCGCGATTCCGGCGGTGGCACTGATGCCGGCCGTTTGTTGCCGCCGCAGGGCCGTGCTCATGGGACTGCTCATGCTCCTCGCCCACTGGTCCACGTTCGCCCTGCAGCTCGCCGGATCCGTCGTAAGTTTCGCAACCGTGGCGCGCCGCCACTTTCACCCCCGGCTCGACCGCCGCCCTGCGACGGCTCGGCAGTCGTCGTCACCGCGTGGAGCTCCGCCACGGCAGTGGGTTCGCTCGCCGACATCATTGCCGTGGCTCCGGGCAGGAAATCGTGCGGCTTATTGAACCGGTTTACCTGGCCACATCACCTGCCCAGTGGATGGGTACTCACAATTGGCGAGGTCAAATGTTACCACCACCATCATCATCATCCCCTGAACTAAGAAACAGGGATGTGGAAGGTGGTCCGAGTGACACAGCAAAAGGAAAAGCTTACTTTCCTGGACAGGGGGCAGGGGTTGGGTGGGGGGATAAGTCAGGACGCGGTGAAGCACGTGATGTGACGAGTCTGGGATCCGCTCTGCCTTGGAGATGCGTCACGCTGCGTGGGGCCGATTGTTGCTGTGGCGGCTCCACTGGGGCCCAGCCCAGGCTCCTGGTTGCCCGGGTTTACGCGTGGGCGCTGCGCGGGGGCGGCTAATTGCCACACGACCAGGACGAGCCATTCCTGCGTGAGGCTGACTCCGCCGCCGCCTTGTTATCACCGTGGGGTGTCGTTCAAACCGCGGCGACGTCGAGAGCTCCCTGGCTAGGGCGGGGATTATAAATATAAAGCGAGCACAGCGATGGTGTCGCCGGGGGTTCTATAACGGTTCACACACAACGTTGACTCGGCTTAGTGATGCACGAGAGGGCCGTGCCACGGAGAGCTGCCCGCACTGTGCTGCCTCCGCTGTCACCGCTACGCCAACCGTACTGCCCAGCGTCTGGGCACGATGACCGGGTCAAGTCCTCACGCCGATTCCATTTCCGCGTTTCTGCCCACGACGAGCGGTGGCGCCCTGTGTCTCCGCTCACGGAGGGAAGCCTTCGCGTCCGGAGCTAGCCGGTCGCTCCCGACTCCCCGTCTCGTGGCGGTGCCGGCCCCCGCGGTCGCGTGCAACGCTCCGGCAACCGCTGCGGGGCGGCAGGTTTTACAAATCGCCGCGAGGAGTCGCTCGTCACGGCCGGCAGGGCGGGGCGACGTGCTAGCCCGCGACGCCGCCCGGCAGATGTCCATTGGCGCCCACGGTCGCCGAGCGGAAGGGTTTCTTCACGCCGGCTCAAGTTAATTACCAAAGGGGGGTGGGGGCGGGAGTCCCGTCATCTGCCGTCTCCTCATCCTCGTTGCTGGGCCCGGAGGCAGGGGGGCGGCGGGGGGTGAATTCGCCTGCCGTTCAACGCCTCCTCGCACAGCGGCCGTGCGAGGAAGCTGGCCAGGGGGGAGAGAGGGAGGTGCACGAGGGAGGAGGAGCAGCAGCAGGAGAAGGATGAGGAGGAGGGGTTAATCCAAGCGAGCCACAGCTCGCGGCTTGCGAGGACGCTGCCACAATGTGACTTTGTCGTGACGGATTAGGTCAGGCGGCGGGGGTAGGTGGGCGGGTGCACGATCTTAGCCTTTCTGCAAAAGGCAAACTTCCCTTGCCCCTCTCCCCCACCACTCACCACTCGCTTCTTCCCACTCCTCAACTCCCCCACCCCCCGACCACGCTCACCACTCTTAGTTCCTAGCTCCCAACACTGGTTTCTGGCTCCTCAAGCAACACGCACTAATCCCCACTCACTCGCCACTCACTCACCACTCACTACACCCCACTTGCCACTCTCTACTCAACACTACCTTGTCCTCACTCACTCATTCACCACTCCCCATTCACTCCCCAGTCCCTGCTCGTGAGCGTTTTGCCGTGCGTTGCTGTTGTCATCTTTGTGATCGTCGTTGTTGCAGTGACCGCCAGTGCTCACACACATGCCCCCCCGTGTCACCCCCCCCCTGCCCGCCCCACCCCCCCCCCACCACCCCCAGAGCGCAAGCGACTTCTGCTTTGCACCGCGACAGTTCCTCGCCAACGTGACGCAGGCGCTCGGCACGGTGGAGCGAGGTGCGGCGACCGGGAGCCGCTCGCTCCGCACCGACGCGCAGTGACATGATCGCACAACACAGCCTTGGGCGCCAGCGTGGCAGCGCTGCGGCAACACCTGTGGCCTCGCAGCAAGAAGGGCCCGGGTTCAATCTCCTAGTCGGGCGCCTTTCTTTGTTTAGTTTGTATGTTATATATTACCCCTGCTGTTCTTCAGTGTGCGAGGTGAGCGAGTCTTGAGAGTGAGTTTGAGTGACGTGTGTGCGAGTGAGCAAGTCTTGAGAGTGAGTTTGAGTGACGAGTGTGCGAGTGAGCAAGTCTTGAGAGTGAGTTTGAGTGACGATGTGTGCGAGTGAGCAAGTCTTGAGAGTGAGTTTGAGTGACGTGTGTGCGAGTGAGCAAGTCTTGAGAGTGAGTTTGAGTGACGTGTGTGCGAGTGAGCAAGTCTTGAGAGTGAGTTTGAGTGACGTGTGTGCGAGTGAGCGAGTCTTGAGAGTGAGTTTGAGTGACGAGTGTGCGAGTGAGCGAGTCTTGAGAGTGAGTTTGAGTGACGTGTGTGCGAGTGAGCAAGTCTTGAGAGTGAGTTGAGTGACGGGTGCGAGTGGCGAGTCTGAGAGTGGTTTGAGTGACTGATGTGTGCGAGTGAGCAAGTCTTGAGAGTGAGTTTGAGTGACGGTGTGCGATGAGCGAGTCTTGAGAGTGAGTTTGAGTGACGTGTGTGCGAAGTGGCAAGTCTTGAGAGTGAGTTGAGTGACGTAGTGTGCGAGTGAGCAAGTCTTGAGAGTGAGTTTGAGTGACGTGGTTTGCGAGTGAGCGAGTCTTGAGAGTGAGTTTGAGTGACGTGTGTGCGAGTGAGCAGGTCTTGAGAGTGAGTTTGAGTGACGGGTGTGCGAGTGAGCAGTCTTGAGAGTGAGTTGAGTGACGAGTGTGCGAGTGGCAGTAGTGAGAGTGAGTCTTGATGACGAGTTGAGGGACGAGTCTTGAGAGTGAGTTTGAGTGACGTGTGTGCGAGTGAGCAGTCTTGAGAGTGAGTTTGAAGTGACGAGTGTGCGAGTGAGCAAGTCTTGAGAGTGAGTTTGAGTGACGGTGTGGCGAGTGAGCGAGTCCTTGAGAGTGAGTTGAGTGAACGTTGTGTGCGAGTGAGCAAGTCTTGAGAGTGAGTTGAGTGACGATGTGTGCGAGTTGAGCAAGTCTTGAGAGTGAGTTTGAGTGACGTGTGGTGCGAGTGAGCGAGTCTTGAGAGTGAGTTTGAGTGACGAGTGTGCGAGTGAGCGAGTCTTGAGAGTGAGTTTGAGTGACGTGTGTGCGAGTGAGCAAGTCTTGAGAGTGAGTTTGAGTGACGTGTGGCGAGGGAGCGAGTCTTGAGAGTGAGTTTGAGTGACGATGTGGGTGCGAGGGAGCAAGTCTTGAGAGTGAGTTTGAGTGACGTGTGTGCGAGTGAGCGAGTCTTGAGAGTGAGTTTGAGTGACGTGTGTGCGAGTGAGCAAGTCTTGAGAGTGAGTTTGAGTGACCGAGTGTGCGAGTGAGCAAGTCTTGAGAGTGAGTTGAGTGACTAGTGGTGCGAGTGAGCGAGTCTTGAGAGTGAGTTTGAGTGACGGTGTGCGAGTGAGCGAGTCTTGAGAGTGAGTTTGAGTGACGTGTGCGTTGAGCAAGTCTTGAGAGTGAGTTTGAGTGACGTGTGTGCGATGTGAGCGAGTCTTGAGAGGAGTTTGAGTGACGTGTGTGCGAAGTGAGCAAGTCTTGAGAGTGAGTTTGAGTGACGAGTGTGCGAGTGAGCGAGTCTTGAGAGTGAGTTTGAGTGACGTGTGTGCGAGTGAGCAAGTCTTGAGAGTGAGTTTGAGTGACGAGTGTGCGAGTGAGCAAGTCTTGAGAGTGAGTTTGAGTGACGAGTGTGCGAGTGAGCAAGTCTTGAGAGTGAGTTTGAGTGACGTGTGTGCGAGTGAGCGAGTCTTGAGAGTGAGTTTGAGTGACGATGTGTGCGAGTGAGCGAGTCTTGAGAGTGAGTTTGAGTGACGTGTGTGCGAGTGAGCAAGTCTTGAGAGTGAGTTTGAGTGACGTGTGTGCGAGTGAGCGAGTCTTGAGAGTGAGTTTGAGTGACGAGTGTGCGAGTGAGCGAGTCTTGAGAGTGAGTTTGAGTGACGTGTGTGCGAGTGTGCGAGCGAGTTGATATGTTCCAGACGTCGGTGGGTCGCTACCCCCACCACGTTCGCCGCGTTCACCTCGCCGTGTGACCACGGTTTTTAACGCCGCTCGTGCCGCGTCCGTTGCAGACACGCTGAGCTACTACCTCGAGTGCCGCCCGTCCTCCGTCAGCCCGTTCCAGACGGTGAGTTTCACGGGGGGTGGGGGGGGTGGGCGGTGGGCTGCGCGGGCAGGATGGACCACTGTTCAGAATAAGAATCTGTATTTATCCTGAATAAATCCGATGAGCTGTGAAGCTCTTTTTCACGTGGAGGCAGTGTTCATATCCCGTTAACAGCCCTGAGCCAGTCAATTCCACATGCCTATGGTGGCAGCGAGTCTATCCGTAGTTCTTGCCCGTTGAGCTTTGTGCGGGAGGTCGCTCGCCGCATACAACAACCCAAAAGCGACAACAACACAACACGGTGTGGGCTTCGAAATGCAGGCGCGCGTATCAAGGCCCCCCGCGCAGCCTGAATCTTTGGGAGATGAGCGTGGAGTCGGAACTTGGAACAGGGGATGGGGCGGGGAGCCGACAGCACGGACGACCGAAGGCGGCAGCAGCGGGCGGGGTGGGGAATTGACGAGAGCGGTGTGGCCGTGGCGTGCAGGGCCTGACAGGCAGCGTGCGCGCCGTCTCCGATCTCCAGTCGCTCGCGCTGGAGCTGCTGCTCTTCGGGGCCGTGGAGGTGCCAAGGACACGGGTACGTGCGCATGTGTGCACGCACGTGTGTGCGTGTGTGCACGCGCGCGTGTCCCTACGTACCTGTGTGTTTGTGTGTATATGCCTGTGCGTGTCTGTACACGTGTGTATGTCCGCACATGCCTGTGTGTGACTACGTTCCTGTGCGCGCCTATTTGTGTCTTTACATTGTCTGTGCGTGCCTTTTTGTCTGTGTGCCTGTGTGTGTGTGTACGTTGTCTGTGCATGCCTGTGCGTGCGTGCAGAAGGACCTGGGCAAGGTGCAGGCGGAACTGAACGTGACGGAGACGGCCGTGCACCAGCTCACGGCGCTGCTCGACTGCCGGGCCCTCAACAAGGTCCGTCCCGAGCGGCTGCCTGCCGCGCCGGTCGAAATCAAATGAGGCCTCATCCTATGATCTGTTTGACTTCTCAACTGATTTAACAAAACAAACTTGAAGGTTATTTCTCGTCAAATGAAGAAAAAATACCAACAAACATTTTTGTTAAGGCCAAGGTGTCTCTGACCTTGTCCTTCCGCCGCACCTCCGATTAGCACGGTTGGCTGCGCGTACGCTGTGAAAGAAGTTCAACATGCATACGAAACGAAAAAGTGCCGGATGCCATAACGGCGGTGGTCTGAATGTCAACGGTGGTAGGTTGATATTGGTACGACGATCGTACGATGGTGATGGTTGTGGCTGCCCCGCTCCCCATGCCCCCCGCCCCCCCACCGCCGTGCAGGATGTGCTGGCAGGGCTGACTGGCATGTGCTGGGACGGCCTCAAGGGGCAGCTCCTGCTGTCGCTGTTCTCGCTCACGGGGGCCATCGCCATGAGCTGCATCGTCTGCGCCATCCCCACTGCCTGCGCGCGCTTCCGCAAGAGGTGCCGCCCCCACACGGGCACCAACTCCCAGTCCCGCACTCCTGCGGGAGTGCGGATCGTCCGTGCGCGCATGCATGCGGATCGTGCGTGCGTGTGCATTTAAAGTGCTCTTGGCCTGGCACAGACGCCGGAGCGATGTCACCGTCACTTGGTGGCGAATGGCGGTTATTGGTGTGTGTATGCGGGTGTTCGTGTGTGTGGAGCGGTGGGTGCAGCGGTTAGCGCACCGAGTTACGAACCCGGCAACCAGATTTCGATTGCCGCCAACGTACATGATGGTTATCTAAACAATTCCTCGGCGTCTCCCCTAGGTTTACTCGGCGTCAAACGAGCGCCCGGTGCGGTGTGTAAACACAGAGCAGCGAGTGACATCCCACGGTTGTGACCTCCAGTTGTCTCGCGCGCGTCAACCGCAGGGAGCGTTGCCGCGAGGACAACGAGGACCCGTTTGGGCCGCGCGCCAGCGGCGCCGCGTACCGCCACGCAGGCCGCATGGCCTTCTCCAGCCTCTACAGCTACGGCAGCAGCTTCGGCAGCGAAGGCAGCCTCCCCGCTCTGGCGCACTGCCCGCCCTCGCACGGACTCGGCGCCACCGTGCCCTCCGCCTCCTCCAATGCCGCCGCCGCCAACCTCGCCAACGCCGGGGGGGGCGGTAGTTACACGTGAGCGAGCCGGGGGCGGTGGGCCACGGGGGGGGGCGGCTGGTTGCTCATTCCGTGACTTTTATACATCAAGTCAGACGCAAGTCGGATCACAAGCGGTTTCTTTCTTTAAACAACCCTCTCCTCAATGCGTTTTGAATTTGGGGGGTGCCGGGGTGGCGAGATGTTAACTACCTCACCTGCTATACAGGAAGTCGTGGGTGTGATCTCGACCCTGACGCCTGTGTTTTTGGAGTTTACATGTGCGTTTAGTATATTTGGCTGCTATAAATGTCCACGTGATAAGCCACTTCGTTGAGCTGTCATTTGTAGCCAGGTCCCTTCTGAAAAAGAGCTATACAGCTCAGTGGGCATTATCTGGTATAATAAAATAAAAATAATTTAAGTTGAGTTTATTATGATAACAATGATAATCATTTAGAGATCTGTGTCAGTCCGCTGCTGCGCAGACCTCCCGAGTGGCATCTTCAATATCGTCCGGGTCGCTTGTAGACTGGCGTAGGCAATGTATACTGGATGCGGTGTGCCGAGCACGGAAATTAGAACCCGCATATATATATACACGCGTCCGTAAGACCATCCCCAACCCCTTTGCCCTCTCTGCCCGTTTCAGCGAGGAGGTGGGTCCCTTCAACAACAACCCCATCTACGAGGAGGCCACCTTCTCGCGACGCCAGTCCCCGCCGCCCTCCGTGAGTAACCGCGGCGGCCAGCAGTTGCAGGGGTCACGCGGGGGGTCGTGCGTTGCCACGGCTCGGGATCTGTTTGGGGGGGATGGGGGGAGGTGCGGCCTTACGGCGCACGGTGCCACGGCCGCCCCGTCGCGTCCCAGGGAGCGGTGAGGCCCGTGTGAGCCGGCGCTCGCCGAGGGCGCCAGCCGCAGGCGCCCCTGGGTTACACCCCCGATCGGGGGACCTACCACTCAGGGCGGCCGACACGGAAGCGTAATTCTGGCGCGGGCCTTGCCGCGCGGGTCTCGCCCGGCCCTCGACGCCGCAGCTAAAGCGCTTCACGGCCAATGCGACGTTTTCTCCATAACGCTTTCATATTCATCTGAATAGTCACGTCCATCCATATCCGACTCATTCTCTCTCTCTCCTGCTCTCCTCCTCCCCCCCCCCACTCTGCGTGACTAATACTGCGCACCCCTTGTCTCTCTCTCTGTCTCTCTCTGTCTCCTGCCCACCTCTCGCTGTCTCTGTCTCTCCGTACCGCCCGCCCGTGGTGCTAGCTGTTTTTGGCTGCTAGCAACGGGGCCAATGGCCTCCTGTGGCAACCAAACACGCGGGACGGCGCAAGGTAAAGGGACAGGCCCACCCCACCACCCCCCCCCCCACCACCTCCTCCCACTTGTCCCCCTCGCCCGTTCAACCTGAACCCGTGACCCTCGAACCCTGACCCGTCTCAGCGGCTGCGGTGGTGGAAGTGAGAGTGAGGCGGAGGTGCGGTACCGGTGTAAACGGATATTGGTTCCCCCCTCCCCCCCGCCGACTATTGTTCCCACCTGCGAACATCTGTTTCTCCTCGACTAATTTGGCTATGGTCGTGTATTTTGGGTAAGGCGCTACGTAGAAACTTTTTTTCATGAACACATTTGGAAAAGTGCTCTTAAGATTAAGGGTTTAAGTTGACAATGCATGAATATAGATGTACAAGCATATAACGATTTCTCCGTTACATAAAATCAGGGGATACAAGAATTTGGAAGGAGAGCCAATCATCTCGAATATTGTTTCCAAAAGGGAATAAATATATTTTGATAAGTTGTACGTACAGGAAGTTTTACTTGGGAGGGAGCCATGTGTGTTTTCTGGCGCTGGGAATGAGGGCGTGGGGGCGCATTGGCAAAAGCCTCGGCCTAAACCGTGTGTCCCCTCTCACTCCCAGCCAGCCGTGGCAGCAGCCTCGGGGGCAGGGCCTGCTGTCCACGTGCTGCCCCCTGCTGTCGCTGCTCCCTCACCGCCGCGTGCCGTATTTCCAGGTCAAAATTTTACGTGGAAAATTAACTCCCAATTTACAGCTGTTCCCCGGAGCGTCATTGCCAAGCCGCTGCCGATTCCCAATGTCGTCTACACGTGGTCCTATCGGCAGTTGCAAAGGCGACTGATTGGATACGCATCCTGGGTGTTGTTTCTTCAGGTGGATTGCTAAGAGGGGAGGTGGTTGTGGGCAGCTCATTCCCGTCCAACATGACGGCGACACGAGGTCGTGCAGTCTGCTCCCTCGACCGTTTGCACCGACCACAGGGAACCGCCCTCCACTATGAGGCCGCGATGATCGCCGGCAGGCCGCGGCTAAGAATCATGGCCCGTTGGTGACCACCGTGACCACACCACCACCACCCCCTGCCTGCCAAACAACTCTTTGTGACCCCTGTCATTAAAGTTGTTCACCCCAGTTCTCAGGGGCCTGACCGTACAAGCGCTCAGACGTGCAGCAGCAGCGTGCACAGGGCAGCTCCCTGTCTGTAAATATACACGCCGGTGGTAACGACCCCGCTTACCTTGACCGTCCCCCCCCCCTCCTCCTCACCTTCTCCCACGGGTCCTTCCCTTGAACCTTGTCCCGCGGAGGAGCCTCGGTAACCTTTTACCTGTCGCCCTTCCACGGCGACGGGCGACGCAATCAGACTCCAGGTGACCGCCCTGAGCACTGAGCCCGTCAGGACGCGGTGGCTCTCGATGTTTTGGTATCGGACGGAACCCGGAGACGAGGAATATCTTAAAGGATCAGCGTCTCCGAGGCGCAGTTCAAAGGGCGGTGTCCCGAGTCGCCCCTCGCCGTGAGCACCTCCATGCCTCTTCTGCTTATTCCATAAACTCTGCCCCGTGTCCCTCGCAATGGTCCTGCCCAGGTTTTCCGGGATCCACGTCAGGTGTAAAATCTGGGCAGCAGGTTTGCTGCGATCCGCTTTTACAAAGTTGTTTGCAATAATTGGCGTGGGTTTTCTGGAAAACCTGAACCGCATCACCCCTGATAGTGTGGAATGTCATCTGTGCTGATCCCACCTGCTCCAGCCTCCTCCTCCTTCTCCACCACCTCCTCCTCCTCGCTGTGTCCCTCTCCTAATGTCACGTTGACTCCCCCCACGTGTGAGTGGAATGAGCCAGGCGGGTGAGCCCAAGCGGATCGTGGGGGGGCATATCGGCATTGCGTGTGGGGAGATGCTGCACACAGGAGGCGTGCCGACTGCACCGCGTGTGTGCTTGTGCACTCATGTGCATCTGTGCGTATGAGTGGGAAGCAGTGGTGCAGTGGTTAGCGTGCTGCACTACGAACCCAGTGACCCGAGTTTGTTTCGCGCTCACGGCCAACACCAGTGACGATTGTCTGAACCGGTCCTGGGCCTCTCCTGGGTCGACTCCGCCTCTAATGAGTACCCGGTGCGGTGTTTAAACATCGCCACTGGGGAGACAACGGCAACCGGGCGTGATGCTGGCCACCCACCCCCTCGTGTGCCATTCCGGCCTTCATAGGTGCTCGCTAACAGCACTTTCCCCAACAGTTTGTTAAAGCTCCACGGGGGATCTCTGTGTTTTAGTGTCTCTGTTGGTGTGTGTGTGAATGGACCTGTGTGAGAGGTCGTCAATCCCCTCCACCTTAAATTACTCGGTAAAGAACCAGAGTGTGAGAGGCCCTGCCGCCACTAGTGTTGAAAAATCGGCAGAAATGTATGTACTCATGCAATTAGCACTTACATTATTTATTCATTTGTATTCGTTTATTTTCAGTGACTTTCTTACCTTTTCTCTATTTTGCACACCTACAGGGGATTTTTGTAGTTGTTTGTCCATGTAACTCGCCGACCCCGTGCCCCAACTGGACATCTGTGAGAAAGAGCTTCATAGCTCATCGGATTCCTCCTTCAGTCTAAATAAAGAATTCTGATTCTGAAATATTCTGATGCCCCCTGCAGCAGCCAAATCCCGTCTGGTGGAGCCAGGCAACCAAACCTCCCCTCCCCCCACTCCCCTCCCAGGGAGCTTCCAAAAATGACCATCGCTATGGTGACTGCGCTTGTTCATAAAGGAAAGTCTTGCCGTGTCTCAAGACTCATTTTAAAGAGGGTCCTGCCAAGTTGTTGCAGTATAGAAAAATAAAATAGCACTAGAAATAAGTAACTTTTTTTTCTTATCTATATTTACAAATGCATTAAAAAAAACGTTTTAAAATGATCAAAACGCAGTTGCAGCATGTGGCCACGTGGAATGTTCGAGCGCTCGCTGGGAATGAGACTGCCCCTTCCTGTGTCGGACAGCTGGACTGGTACCAGCTGAGTTTCCATGAACTACATGAGGTCCTGGGGACCGGTTTTGGCTCCCGTCACCGTGAGCGGTGGACAGCAGGCTTGTCGCGATATGGCGATACCTCGACACGTGTATCGAACAATATGAGATCCACGATAATCGTACCGTCCGTTGTGAAAAATATCGTCACATCGTTAAGATTTCTTGCTCATTTAATTTTGTCAGGAGTTTGCAGATTCTTAAAAAATCTGGAGATTGTTTTATTTATTTTGGCAGGCGAGAATGCCTTGGCTGGGTCTTGTAGCAACGCTCACGTGCCCAGCCACCACTTATCCAAACAGCTGTTTGTGAGGCCGGATAGAGGGTGGGTAAACGGGCATTGCATGGGCAAGAGAGAAGGTCTGCACTGGTGCAGGAGGATCTGGAGATGTGAGGGCTTGCCGATGGCTGGTACAAGAAATTTCAAGATCGGCCTCAGTGGAGGAGGCTCATAAAGGACGCTACTTGGCAGTTGGAGGCAGTCACCCGCCAACAACAATAGGGTGGAGGAACGACGCTCACAACGATGAGCGGTGCGCAGGGCGGCTAAAATACAGCGAGGTGGCACGGTAGGGGAACCTTAGTTAATCCATAACACCTGAGCCTTCCCTGTGACCAGGGAAGGCCAGCGAGCTTGTGACCCTTCACATGGCGTTAAGGTGCACGTAGCGCCGTGTTGGCGTCACCGCCACCTAGTGGCGGTTGTTGTTGTTTGCTGTTGTGTGCGTTTTGTGTGTATGTCATGCCCGTCGTGAGCTCGTTGCTATGCTCGGGCTCCTGCGTAGTCGTGTGCCGTGCGGGGAAACCTGACCACATTGTGTCTCCCCCCCACCCAACTCTCCCTCCATCCCCACCTCCCCCCACTCCCTCCCTCCCACTCCCCGTCCGTCCCCTCTGCAGTACGCGACGGCTATGAGGCACCATGGCACACGCGAGCCACGAGGAAGCCCCGCCCGGTTGGCATGACAACCGGCCTCCTGGTACCACGCAGATGCTGGCAGTGTCTGACGCCAGCCCCTGGCCCCCCCCCCCCCCCCCCACTTCATCCCTCCCCCTCTTCCTCGCTCCCTCCCTCCCTAACTACCCTCTCTAATTTGCTCCAGTCCCTCGCATCCATCCTCCTACTTGTTTATCTCCACTGTCCTCTTGCCATTTCCCCCTCTCAATGCTCTTCCGCGCATAACAGGTTGCTATAGGCAGCTGCGGGACCATGCGGTGGGCAGCAGAGAGCAGCGCAGAACAATCCACCGTTGTACTGTATTTCTGTGCTCCAGCTTCTATGTCCCCACTTTTACCAACGTGGTCAATTATGGCCAGGTGAGATAACCGCCCCCGCCACCCCGCGGCGCACAGAGCACGGGGGAGTCCGTCATCATCCAGCAGTGGATTGACAAAAGGGGGGGGCGCGTGCACACGCTCGTATGTCCCGGAATCTCTGCCTCTCACCCTGCCTCCTGTGTCTCACCTCTACCTTTAACCGTCCATGCTCCCCCCTCCTCCTCCTTGACCGCTCCGTTCCCGCATGACACTTTCTGTTTTAATATCGGCAACGACGAGAAGGGGACCACTCATGCGTTTCCCGCGCCTGCACGCGGCGCCGCGGCTCGCGTCGCCATGGCGATGGGAAATGAAACCGAGTGGTCGCCACGCCACGCCACACGTGGTGCACTTGAGTTCAACGGCACCGGGCGCTCCGCTGAGTCCATGGGCCCAGGGCGGAGATGGCCACCGCTCCGAGGGTGGCACGCACTTCTCTAGCCGTTCCCATCTCAACAGCGTCGGCTTGCGTAGTGACGTGCCAACCACGACACGCAGCGTTCGCAACTGATACGGTTAAATACGAGGGGGACTCTTTGATCACCCCGCTCGCTTCAAACGGCTTTCGCCGATGGTACGTTTGATTCGAATTAACGGGGTCCATTCTGTCCCGATGACGGAATCGGTCGCGTTTTAAGTTCAAGTTCATTTATTATTAAGTGAACACGCGGAAAGCCGCGCGGCTGGCATGGCCCCCGCCAAGGAGGCTACTGGCGTCTCCCACCCATTGTTGCCATTTAGCTCCTGAACGTGTCGCTGCCATGAGAAAAGAATGGAGTAGAATCAAGCGGTCGACGCATAATGCGCTGCTGTTGGCCACGCACAGAGACGTAGGAATCGCCCAAAGTGCTGCTCACCCTCAGGTGGTAGCGCCCAGCGAAACATCTGGCCTTGGCCCATGGACTCGTGAGGTCACGTGCCGATTCGACCGAGCGTCTCGCTCTCCCTAGCGTCACGCGCACAGCAATGGATCAGTGGCTCCCGACGTCTCTGCAACCCCCCCCCATCTACTCCGGGACGACTTGGTCATGGTGCCCACTGAGCTATATATCTCTTCTTAAGAAGCGACCGGGCCACAAACGATAGCACAACGAAGTGGCTTATGCGCGTGGACATTTACAGCAGCTGAATAATCTAAACACGTGATGTTGATTCGAAATGTGGGGCGGGGTGGGGGGAAACCGGAGGACCCGGAGAAAAATCAACGTGACCACGGGGAGAGAGACACCGCGAACTCCACATACGTAGCGGGCGTCAGGGTTGGGATGGAACCCACGACCTCCTGCATACCAGGCGAGGGAGATGACGTCTCGCCACTGCGGCGGCTCCGCTGTTCGCTCGCGGGACCACCAGCTGCGCCAAGTGGCAGCGTCCGTAGACAGTTTCCGCGGGCCACTGCCCACACGCAGTCCGCAGGTTAGGGAACCACTACACTCTTGAAGGGTGCATTTTGTTTCGTTGTAAGCAGGGCTTGTGATTTTCGGTTGATAAATGTGATTTATTCGGTGTTGATCGGCACATTTTCTTTTAGCAGTTTTAAAGTTATTTTGTAGATATTCGAGGTTTCTCAATGCTTTTGCGTATTGATTTGTTTTATACACCGTGATGAGTTGCTCAACGTTAGTTTCTGCAGTGTTGCCTACTTTTTAACATGCAGGCCAAGCTCGTATTTAATAATAATCATAACAATGATTAAACAATGTTTGAGAAAATAAACATAACAGTTTTCTCACCGCTAGTGGTGACCTGGCGCTTTCGTACTCGGACAGTCGTTGTCTAAATAAATTAAACTAATTTAGTTTTTTTTATCACATAAGTAAGGTTTTTTTGTACAAATTGCGTACATTTTTGTAACATGAATGGAGCGACCATTTAATATGGGAGGGTGGGGTGTGTGTGTGTGGTGTTTATTTGACAAACACTGATTTAAGTTTGTATCAGAGGTGCAATGATCAGGGTCACAACCAAAACTCACAAGCCCTCGTTAACACATTAAAGTGCGGTCGCTATCGTACGGCCATGGGGGGGGGGGATGGGGAGGGGGGCGGGTTGGAGCGGAGAAACCACAACAACGGGGATTACAATTTAATACCGCGATGAAGCACAAAGGCATTGCACACCTGTGGTGGGGTCACGATGGGGTCACGTGCAGTGCCCGAGGCATTCTGTGCACAATGATCAATCGGGTAGGACAGGGAAGTCTCGGGGAGACGGCGAGTGGCCACTCCGGGGACGCTGCTGGCCACCAAAGCCCCCCGGGGGAGGCCCACGGCACTGGATGCATTACACAGAGGCCTTGATCCAGCAGTGGACGGGTCATGGCTGACGATGAATTGGGTGAGACTTAACCGTTTGTGCGAGCAAAGGAACGGATTAGGACGTGTGGCAGTGAGGGACGAGACTAGGGGAGTGGACGAGGTTAGCGTAAGCTGTGAGGTTAGGGGTTGGGATCGGGATAGGGATGAGGTTAGGGGTAGAGATGAGATTGCGGTAAGCTGTGAGGCTCAGCATATAGTGTTTGACGCGAGGGTTAGATATGGGGTTGAGGTTAGGGTTAGCTATGAGGTTGAGCCTACGGTTTGCGATGGGGTTGAGGCTAGGGTTGGGAACTATGGGGTTGAGGCTAGGGTTGGCTATGGGTTTTGGGCTATGGGGTTGGGAACTATGGGGTTGAGGCTAGGGTTGGCTATGGGGTTGAGGCTACGGTTAGCTATGGGGTTGAGGCTAGGGTTGAGAACTATGGGGTTGAGGCTATGGGGTTTGTTTCCTGCTACAGTTCGCCTGCAGCACCGTCTTTCAGAGAGCCACAGCGCTTCCCGCTCTCGCGCCCGCAAGCACAACGATCATCAATGCAATGCGTGCAAAGCGGTGATTGATGCAACTCAGGAGCTCGCTTGCTATGGCAAAATATCAAAATATATCCGTGGGTATAAACGCCACCGCCTGTGGTGAACTGGCACCGCCCACAATGTAGCGGCCAAGGTGAGTCTTCCATGCTCCGTCCGACTTTGTGCCACTGTTAAGGCCCCGGGGGTGGTCATGTGGGGTGTGTAGGGGGGGGGGGGAGTTGGCGGTCGGTGTGCAGGAGGGAACGGAGGGTGACTACCTTCCGCTCGCCCCCTGCCTCCCGCCCGGTGGTGAGAGGTGGGAAGGGGGTCAAACAAACGGCAGCTAAAAATTGTGGAGAATCGGCTCCGTGCTGTGAAAAGGCTCCCGAGCCGATATTTGCACGACACGTGCCCCCGCTCCGGAGTTCGGCTCAAATTTCCAGCCACTCTTCCTGGGCCGAAAGCTTCCGCCGTCGCCCGCCACGGTGCTGGGGCTCCGAATCGCCCCGAGCCCATGGGGCTGGCCACTTCGCCCCATGTCCCATGGCTTGTCGGGGTGTGGTCCATATTTGCCGCCACTCGCTGCTCTGGTGTGCTCCTGGCCGCCCAGATGCGCTTGCGCTGCGCTCCCACCTGTGAACGCGTGTTCCTGGCTAGTCACGCCGGATTCGTTGTCGGTCAGCGGTGCAGGTTGTGCTCATCCGCACATCCGATTAGCACGGTTGGCTACGTACGCTGCGAAAGAAGTTCAACATACAGGAGTTTCTCCACAGGCATCCCTCTCCCGTGCCGCATGCGCAGGTTGCGGTAGAGAGTGGCGTTGCGCGGTCACCACTGGCGCGCACGCACACGCGCGTTTCCCTGTGGACTGCCCCCTGTTGGTGCTAAAATTCATGCCGCCGGTCACCCCTGCGGGTGACGAGCAAGCACTGAAAAAATATAAGCACAGTCGCGACCGCAGGCAGACAACAGAAGCACCCCCCTCCCCCCCCCCTAGCATGGGGGAGCACGGGGGATCTGGGGAACCTGGGTTAATGGTGCTGAAAGACTGGGCCTGGGGTTTGGTGCTAGAATTACCCGGGTTGAAGGGGGCTTGGAGAGACCTGGGATTGTAGTGGGTAGGAGATCCGGAGAGAGGATCTGGGATCTCCTGTTCATCGCCCCCGGCTGCTTTTCTCACAGACGAGGCCGAGCGGCGCAAACTCCCAAAGCGCCGCCGCTCCCTCCCCCGCGTCGCGAGCCACCGGCGGTGGACGTGGCAAGCGCGGGGGCTTGGGTCGCAAGTCGGAGTCGGAACGTCGCTCTCCCGTGTGCTGGCTGGTGGAGGGGGGGTGCGCGCTGCTAATCCGCACGGCATCGCTCTTGCATGCAACCGAGTCCCCCGTAGTCGCCCCGTAGTCGTTGCACTTTAGTCGCCCTTGTAGTCATCGCGTAGCCGCCCCTCCCTGGATGTTCATATCTTTTGCCGTTTCGGTGACCGTACTAATCGCGAGGCCTGTGACGATTTCACCGATGAGGGACGGTTCCTGACCGCTCGCGAAAGGGTTCGCCCGAATGGCACGCGCGCGCGGTCCCAAGTGGCGGACGACGTTTGGACGTGTGCGTACGCGCATGCACCGTCCGGATCATGGAACGGGTGACGAAACGAAACCTAATGTACGGGACGGTCAATTGCATGGAGACCGATCACATGAGATTAACAATACGGACACGTTTGTTGTCCTAGCACCGCACCTCCGATTAGCACGGTTGGCTACGTACAGCGCGAAAGAAGTTCAACGTACATACGAGACGTACGCGGCATAACGTGTGAAACTAAACGCCCGAAGTTCAAGACAATGCAAATGAGACGGGACACGCGAGAGAGATTACATGACGTTGGCAGTGCAAACATGACCGACACGGCATACGAGACGAAAAGTCTTAACAGCAAGAGAATGCAAATGAGACGGGACATACGCGCACAGCTATCAACCCACATGGAAATCTCACCGAGTCTCATGACACCTTTTTCAAGAGGGTCCTGCAAAGACTCGGTAGGAGGAGTCTCCATCAGCTGCCGTGCAGAGGGAAACCTTTTGCCAACGCGGATTTACGGAGCGCGAGTGTCGCCAATACCATACCGTGTGAACCCTTACGGGTTATACCCCGTATTCCTGTACAGGGAAATTGAGTGTTTCATGTCCATACCGCGTACAGCCGTTTCAATACGGGCAATTTTTGGTTGAACACGTCGGCTTTCGCGGCCAATATCATCTAACCCAAAAAAAATTCTTGTGAACGAGCAATTTTCTTTTCTGTGTTTCTTTCTTCCTTGTAATGGGACTTTGTAGCATGAATGTTGAGGTCTATAAGGACACGGGGTAATCAATAAGGTCTGAATTGGTCTGTAGTAATATTGACAGGTATGCAAACGAGATGGACAGGACAAGACGGTACAGAATGCAGGACACATAAACGACAACACGAACAAGATATGGTACAGACGAGTCCGCAAAGAAACATCGCGAAACAAGTGATCTGGTGATGCGGCTGCTGCTGCTGCGTTGTCAGTGATGTTCAAGCACAAGTGGGTGAACAACACTCAACACGTTTGTCAATAACACTGGCATTCAACGTTTCGGGCAATGGCCTTTCATATCGCGTCATTTGAAGGGCCATTTATCCCAAAACATCACCTATTTTATATATATCTTTTTTCCATTTTAAAGCCAAACGGTGTTCTTGACGAACGTGTTGACATTTTTGGGGGTTTTTTTTTCTTTAAAAAAACACAGATTAACAGTAACGATGTTGATGGTTTTGTGGAATCGAATCGTGGCGCCGGAATCGTGGGAGGTTGTTGGGAATCGTTGCGGGCCTCGCCAAATGATGCCGCACATTGGGGCCGCAGCTGCTGCTGCTGCTGTTGGGGCCCCGCTAGTCGTGTGAGTTTGCACAATGATAGCGGCACATACGAGGCCGCAGCCACCGTTAAATATCGGATGCGTAGCCTCGCCCTTTTAGCGTTGGGACGTGTACATTGATTTTTAATTGTCATGGTATTCTCGTTTCTAATGTTCTTCCCCCCCCCAACTGTCATTGACGAATTAAAAAACACAGTATTCGACATCGTCTCCCTTTGCTCACCACGCGTGCTGCTGCCGCTGCCGCTGCTGCAGCCTCGACACGGACACGACACTTCACGCAGAGCCCACCAACCCCTGAGCATCTTCGAGGGCAGTTGTCATTCTATAGGGGGGGGGTGGACATAAGGGGGACCCACGCCCGCCTTGGCAGTTGTCATTCTATGGGGTGGGGGGACATAAGGGGCACCCACGCCCGTCTTGTCAGTTGTCATTCTATAGGGGGGGGGGGGGTGTGGGGGGACATAAGGGGGACCCACGCCCGTCTTGTCAGTTGTCATTCTATAGGGGGGGTGTGGGGGGACATAAGGGGGACCCACGCCCGTCTTGTCAGTTGTCATTCTATAGGGGGGGGTGTGGGGGGACATAAGGGGGACCCACGCCCGTCTTGTCAGTTGTCATTCTATAGGGGGGCGTGTGGGGGGACATAAGGGGGACCCACGCCCGTCTTGTCAGTTGTCATTCTATAGGGGGGGGTGTGGGGGGACATAAGGGGGACCCACGCCCGTCTTGTCAGTTGTCATTCTATAGGGGGGCGTGTGGGGGGACATAAGGGGGACCCACGCCCGTCTTGTCAGTTGTCATTCTATAGGGGGGGGTGTGGGGGGACATAAGGGGGACCCACGCCCGTCTTGTCAGTTGTCATTCTAAGGGGGGGGGGGGCATGAGGGGACCCCCGCCCCCCTTGGCAGTTGTCATTCTATGGGGGGGGGGGCATGAGGGGGACCCACGCCCGCCTTGGCAGTTGTCATTCTATAGGGGGGGTGTGGGGGGACATAAGGGGGACCCACGCCCGCCTTGTCAGTTGTCATTCTATGGGGTGGGGGGACATGAGGGGGACTCACGTCTCCCTTGGCAGTTGTCATTCTATAGGAGGGGGGACATGAGGGGGACTCACTTCTCACTTGTCAGTTGTCATTCTATAGGAGGGGGGGCATGAGGAGGACCCACGCCCGCCTTGTCAGTTGTCATTCGAAGGGGGGGGACAGTTTTAATGGCGCGTGTGGCTTTGGGTGCCCCCACCGCACAGTATTAGGTGAAGCCGCCCCTCGAAGCCCCCCTGTTTTTCTGTCAGAATCGCCTCTGTTGGTGTTTGTCCGTGGCTGTCTCTCCAATCTTCACACGGCCCAGTCGTTTCAGCGCGTTCGCCCGCTTGTTGTATTGGGGTGCACGTTTCGAATGGAGGAGCCGCCCTGGTTAATACTGTGGGTGTGGTTACCATTAAAATATACGCCCCGTTTGTTTCTCCGCGGTCGTTAAAGATCTCGTGGCGTCATTCGCAACGCTATTATGTTGGAAATTACCAAAAACGTACACCGCCAATTACCCAATTGGATTCTACGCCACAGCAATCATCGCCCACGTACTGCGAATACTTGACAGGAGACCTGAGAGGAAAAAATTAACCCGTAAAAACAAAGTTTTTCACTATAAATCCTTTATATGCGTGGCGGCTAGAGTCCTCTCGTCCTCTGGCTTGAGATGGCTGCCACCTATGGGTCAGATGATTGCATGGCAGCATTAAGCAATTGGTAATTAAATATAATTTTTTAAAAATTCCTAAAAAGTGTAAAATTTTGGGGAAAAAATTTCACGAAAATAAATTGTCACGCACAACGAGTCTGTGTGAAAAATGTCAGCTCGATTGGATCACGGAAAGTGGGTTAAAAAACGACCGAAAGATTTACACGGTCGAAAGCGCGCAAGCAAGCAAGTGAACTTAATATAAAGGATTTTAAAAAAAGCTGCCTTCCCCTGGCGAAACAAGCGGCGACGAGCTAATCCGAGTCGCGAGTGGCGGTGCGGCCTCGGCCCGTGGCGCCAGATGGCAGCACCACCCCGTGGCTCGCGCGGCCACCGATATTGGCGGCCTCTTTGCCACACACACACACGCGTCGTCTGGGCTGCTTGGTAGGCAACGGCGAGAGCGGGATTCCTCGAACAAGAGAAGTTCTAAGAATATGGTCCGCTGGGTTGGGATCATTTGTTTTCCCCGCCGGTGTGAAGCTGGTGCCGACAGGTGGCGCTACGGGAACGCTGATCCATTGCCATCCATTGCCACGCCGTCTGTGGACCCTGCTGGACACAGGGCGAGGTCTCAATGTGTGCGGCCAAACTCCGCCGTTTGTGGTCAACGTGACAACCCAGGAGAGTGCAGCGGTGGCATCGTAACAAACGGCGTCGCGTATTATGTTGTCGCCTCTCCACTGCGTGTGGGCCACCGAGGGTGCTACCGCACGGCTCAGCGATGACGCCCTCGTTGAAATGAATCACCACGTGCAGCGGACAGAAACCCGCATCGCCCTTCTCGCCATGAACCCGCCCCGGGACGGGTTTTCGTGGCACCTTAAAACGCAACTGAACGCCGGCATCTTGGCGCAATGCACATCCTTAATCGAACGCAGATTAGATCTGAACACGCTATTTGAGACCCAAACACAATCCCACCACGTTGGCGAGATGTTAACTACCTCGCCTGATATACAGGAGGGCGTGGGTTCGATCCCGACCCTGATGCCTGCTGCATATTTGCGTGTCTCTTTCCCCGTGGTCGCGTGGATTTTTCTCCGGGTTCCCCAGGTTTTCCCTCCACATTTAGTATTTCCCTGCTATAAATGTCCGTAAATAAGTCACTTCGTTGAGCTATCATTTGTGGCCAGGTCGCTTCTGAAAAAGAGCTATGTAGCTCATTCGGCCTTACCTGGTAAAAAAATAAATAATGTAATTGTTAAGTAATAAAATACAATTTTAAGACAAGCCTCAGTGCTGCGAATGGGGCCATGCAACCCAAATTACGAGCCATCTCTCACTGCGGAAGAAGCCCTCTCTCGTCGTGGCCAGCAGCAGACATCGGCATTCGGCTCCTAAACACATCGCTGGCATCGCACGCGGAGAACGGAGCGTTCTTCGTCTGACGCCTCCTGGAGGAGCGGCGTCTTCGTGTGAAGAATCTCGCCAGCGCCACAGATCGGGCCCATATCTATTCTAGATTTGAAGCTTTCGTGACTGCAAGGATTCATATTCTTAGGTTTTTTTCGGTAAAGTCACGTAGGTAAAAAATTAATAAAAGTAAAATAAAATAAAAATCACGACGTTTCGGAGGCAACACAAGCTTCCGTCTTCAGGTGGAACCGTCACAGCACGATAGCTGTATCAAGTCAAGCGAGACGTTAACTATCGTGCTGTTACCTACGTGACTTTACCGAAAAAACCTAAGAATACGGGTCCATATCATCGCGAGCCTCTGGTATATCCACTGCTGGCCAAATCATCACGTGCCCGATACACACGAATAGCTTTTCGGTGGCAGCACGCGAGAAGCAGACGAATATAAGCGCCTTCCAACCAGTCTGTGTAAGTATACCGAGTGGTTTTCCGCATCTCCACTGAGCACGTTTGGCTGCGTACGTTGCGAAAGAAGTTCAACGTACAGACGTATATATGCGTGCGTGCGTGCGTGGGACAGGGTGAGCCTACTCTGGGTGTGTTGTGTGTGGAAAGCGGTGGCGCAGAAATTAGCGCGCTGCACTTCGAACCTGGCGACCCCAGAGATCGATTCCCGCTCACGACCAACACAAGTGACGATTATCTGAACCGATCCTGGGCCTCCCGTTGGTCGACTCGGCCTCAAATGAGTAGCAAGTACGATGTGTAAACATCGCCACTGGGAAGACGAAGGCGGCCGGGCGTGGGTGCTGTCCCCACACCCACTCGTATGCCGTGCCGGCATTCATAGGTGCTCGCTGACAGCACTTGCCCCAAAGTCTGTTAAGGCTACACGAGGGGATCTACTGCCTTTTGTCTTGTGTGTGTGTGTGTGCGCTGTGTGTGTGTGCGTGAATCTGTGTGCACGCTGTGTGTGCGTGAATCTGTGTGTGTGTGTGCCGTTGTGACTGTTTGCAGATCCCAGGCTCAGAGCTCGTGTCCGGAATGTGCGAAGCTCCAAGCTGGTGGAATGCCCCGTGCCCCCATTCTGCCCCCATGCCCTCCCCTCCCCCCCGTGCCCCGCGTCTCTGTTTGACGGATTTAACCCTTTCTGGGAGCTCTTGTTCGTGTCCTGGGGGTCCATGTCTCACCCCCTCGGCCGGGGTACGTCCCTCTCTCCGCTCGTTCTGATTCGACAACAGAGGCCCATATGGTGGCTCGCACACCCGTTCACTCGCACAGAGGAACCCACGAACTCGCGTACTCGCACAGAAGGGCCCATGAACTCAGAGACGCGTCCTGTTCCGTTCCCTTATTGCCAGTTCCTCCCGACGATGGCATTGTTCTTGAGCTGCCCGTTTGAGTGCGGAGTCGGCATCGAAGTGTGGAGGGTCACTGGAAAATAATTCACCAGCAGCTCTGTGACATCTGCTTCCACGGGCCGTTCGGTCTTTAACACGGAGTGATGCCAGTGCCTGATTACGCTAGTGTGGGGCCTGTAGCACATGTTATAAAGGGGCCCTAAATAAATAAAAAATATTAAAAATACATTTTTTAATAATATGTGGGTCTTTTGGTAAAGTCACGTAGATGAGTTCAAATAAAAGAACAAAAAATAACGTCTTCCTGATGACGAACGCTTGTGTTGCGATCGAAACGTCGTAGTTTTTTCGTTATTTTTGTTATTTTCTTTGAACCTATCAACGTGACTTTACCGAAAGACCCAAAGAATATGAATTCCTGCAGTCACGAAAGCTTTAAGTCAACACATGTTTAACTTGCATAGTAAAGTAATTGTATTTTTTCATTTGCTTTATAGCCAGATAATACGACAAATCGCTAACCTTAAACACCCGGTCGTTCGTAAAAGTTGAAGGCAGTATAGTACTATAATAATAGAGCAAGTGCAGAATCACTGAACCCGAATTGATAGCTTGAAATCATTTAGAACGGGGCCCTTGAAAGTGCGGGGCCCGTAGCTACATATGTAGTAGCTACTATATATGTAGCTACTACATGTGTCGCTACTTTTGCTTCTAGGATAATCCAGCACTGGGTGATGCCACTCCTCACTGCGGGACCCCGATGCCACCGTCCCGGAATTGAAAAAAATGAAATAAAACCAACCTGGAGAGAAGTGTCTGTTCGAGAAAACCACGTGCACGACCACCCGTCCCACACATCATCACCAGTGGCCACCACAACCGCCAGCGCCGCTGTCACCATCAACTCAAGCAGCAGCCATCAGCGATCAGATGGGGAATGCGGGGGAGACACCCGGGATCCGGGAGCAGCCATCGGTCGCCACTGACGTGAGCCGTGGCCGGGGAATCGAGCCGATGATCGGCGCGCTCTCAGCGTCGTACGCTAATCACTGCGCCACCGCTCCCCTGTCATCCCTCGTCGTGGCGGTGAAAATGACCCCCCTCGGCTGTTGCGAGTGGGGGTCGTGAAATCCCCCGTATGCTCACGTGTACACCACGTGTCCTCTCACGTGTGCTCACGTGTACACCACGTGTCCTCTCACGTGTGCTCACGTGTACACCACGTGTCCTCTCACGTGTGCTCACGTGTACACCACGTGTCCTCTCACGTGTGCTCACGTGTACACCACGTGTCCTCTCACGTGTGCTCACGTGTACCCACGTGTCCTCTCACGTGTGGTCACGTGTACCCCCGTGTACTCACGGGAACCCTCGTATATTCACGTGTTCTCGTGTACCCCCGTGTACTCAAGGAGCAGGGGGGGTGGCGTGGGCGGTTGTTGTGTTAAAGAAAGACTCGGTTGTTGGGGAGGTAAATGGGGGCCAAGGGAGAGGGGGGCTCTGGGTTTGGGGGATGAGGGGGATAATGGCTGCGCTGCTCCAACTTTAATTAATTTGCCACTTGGAGTTGAGCTCCGAGTGCGGCGCTCATCAAGACCGCAGCCCCCCCCCTGCCCCCCCTCTCCCCTTTCATCCCCCCGCCCCACCGCTCTACGGATTAAGCGCCCCTCTCGATGCTTGAGAGCGCGTGTTCGTGTATTGGTTAATTAATTTACTAATTTGCTTTAAACCTCCCCGCACAACCAGCGCACTCCACCCGCCCCAAACCCCCACTCCCAATGAAAGCCAGGCGAGGCGTGAGGCCCCAGGTGTGAGTTCGTCTCCCCTGTCACGTGATGCGTGATGCCCCAGGTGTGAGTTCGTCTCCCCTGTCACGTGATGCGTGAAGCCTCAGGTGTGAGTTCGTCTCCCCTGTCACGTGATGCGACGTGGCCTCAGGTGTGAGTTCGTCTCCCCTGTCACGTGATGCACGAGGCCCCAGGTGTGAGTTTGTCTCTCGTCACGTGATGCGTGAAGCCTCAGGTGTGAGTTCGTCTCCCCTGTCACGTGATGCGTGAGGCCCCAGGTGTGAGTTCGTCTCCCCTGTCACGTGATGCGTGAGGCCCCAGGTGTGAGTTCGTCTCCCCTGTCACGTGATGCGTGTGGCCCCAGGTGTGAGTTCGTCTCCCCTGTCACGTGATGCGTGTGGCCCCAGGTGTGAGTTTGTCTCTCGTCACGTGATGCGTGAAGCCTCAGGTGTGAGTTCGTCTCCCCTGTCACGTGATGCGACGTGGCCTCAGGTGTGAGTTCGTCTCCCCTGTCACGTGATGCACGAGGCCCCAGGTGTGAGTTCGTCTCCCCTCGTCACGTGATGCACGAGGCCCCAGGTGTGAGTTCGTCTCCCCTGTCACGTGATGCGTGAGGCCTCAGGTGTGAGTTCGTCTCCCCTGTCACGTGATGCGTGAGGCCTCAGGTGTGAGTTCGTCTCCCCTGTCACGTGATGCGTGAGGCCTCAGGTGTGAGTTCGTCTCCCCTGTCACGTGATGTGTGAGGCCTCAGGTGTGAGTGCGTCTCCCCTGTCACGTGATGCGTGTGGCCCCAGGTGTGAATTCGACTCCCGGTTGTGGGGGGGTGAGGGTGGCGGTGGGATTGACTCAGCCCCATCATCGTTGCAGAGGTCGATAAAATAGGTTACGACTTTGTGTGTGTGGGGAGGCGGAGGGAGGGTCCTGTGAATAGACTCGCTCCCCGCCGTAGGAACGTGGAATTTCCGCCGCCGGCTCTGCAGGGCTTGTAAACGGAGCAAGTGTACCGCAATGCTCATTCTATCGGGAAACCGCTTTCGACTTTACAGGCGAATGTTGTGTTCTCTCTACACAGACTGCTATATGCTGCTCTGCAATTAATTAATTTCGCAACTGTGCGCGTGAGAGGCCAGGGTGGGTGGATCACGCCGGGATCGATGACGACTCGAAGCCGCGAGGTGGCCAGAAGATGGCGGCGCGGCAATTCGGATTCGTGAATCCATCTGTGCGGATCACAGAGGTGCCGTTATTCCGTCGAATGTGATGCGTCGGTGTGGTGTTTTCTCTAGGGTTGTCTGGTTCCCCGCCACGTGAAGCCAAGTAAAAAGGATAAAAATTTACATTGGCCAAACATCCCTCTTGAAACGTAGTCTTGAGACTCCGCAAGGCTTTTTGTAGATAGTTAATTAAATTGCTTAATTAACGGGGTGGACGAGTTGGGGGGGGGGGCAGTGGGTGTCCCCACCGTTCTAGGCAACCCCCACCTCTGCCTCTCTCATCCCCACTACTTCATCCCCTTGAAGGGATTTAAAATCCTGTGAGGTCCCTTACACACACACACACACTTGTGTACACACACACTTGCACACACACTTGTACACACACACACACACTTCTACACACACACACTTGTACACACACACTTGTGCACACAGACACTTCTACACACACACTTGCGCACACTTGTGCACACACACACACTTGCACACACACTTGTGCACACACACTTGGGGTAGAGGAGGGGGTTGAGTGAGTGTGGCTGCTTTGTTTATGTCTGTGTGTGTGCGTGTGTGTGTACAAGTGGGGAGCGGTGGTGTAGCAGTTAGCGCGCTGCGCTACGAACCTGGCGACCCGGGTTCGATTCCCGCTCACGGCCAACACCGGTGACGATTATCTGAACCGGTCCTGGGCTTCCCCTAGGTCGACTCAGCCTCAAATGAGTACCTGGTGCGATGTGTAAACATCGCCACTTGGGAGACAAAGGCGGCCGGGCGTGGTGTTGGCCACCCACCTCCTCGTGTGCCGTGCCGGCCTTTATAGGTGCTCGCTAACAGCACTTGCCCCTACAGTATGTGAAGGCTATACGGGAGATCTTTGTGTACAAGTGCGCGTAGAGGAGAGCGGTGGCGCAGCGGTGAGCGCGCTGCACTCCGTCACTCGGGCGACCCGAGTTCGATTCCCGCTCACGGCCATCAAACACCGGTGACGATTATCCGAACTGGTCCTGGGGTCTCTCCCTAGGTAGTTCCACGATGGGGAAAAATCTAAATACCCCTGGTTGTGACGCCACTCTCACTTTGGTTGTGACTCTGGGGTTGTGACTCAACCGTGGCTGTTACTCGGCAGCTGTGAATCCACTGTGGTTGTGACTGTGTGGTTGTGAGTCCACCGTGGATGTAACTTCACCGTGGATGTGACTGTAGTTGCGAGTCCACCGTTTGTGACTGTGGTGGGGAAGCAGAGTTCAGGATGCGTACTCCCAGGCAGGAAGGAACCCATCTTTATTCAGGCAAGGCGTTAGTAGTTGTCGGCGTTAATTACCGCGTAGTCACGGCGCGCTAACAGATCCTACGCAAAACTTCGCAATGCGATATCTTAAAAGTTATTAAATAACTCGTTTTGTTTACCCCCCCCCCCCTCCACCGCCATCACCACCCCCCAAACACTCCTTCCATTGAATTACACACGTGTATATATATATTTTTAGTAAGAGATAATAAAAAAAAAACTGTGCGTATTTGCACCGTGAATCGTCAACGTTTAACCCCCCCCCCCGAACTTCCGAAAGACGCCGCTGCCAACCCCTCTGCGTTGATCATCGACGCCACCGGCCCCCCCTTCACCCTCCCCCTTCACCCCCCCCCCTTCACCCCCCCATTTCCCCCGGTAGCTTCGCTCGGCCGCCGATCCACACGGATTGTTCCCTCCGCTTCACGTTCAGCAACCCTCGGCTTCTCCCTTCACCCTCCCCCCTTCACCCCCCCCCCCTCTCACCCCCCCCCCCCTTCACCCCCCAGCAACCCTCGGCTTCTTCTCCCATTAAAACGCACGCGAGAAACGCCTAACGCGCAACTTCTTTTCAAAGGATTTATGCCAAACGAAAACTAAGCCTCTCTTAAAAATAGACAATGTACAAAATGATCTCGAACGATGCGGTGATGGCGATGACGACGACAATGTTGATCGGAGGTCCCTGGAGTGATGCGGAGCGAGAACTGCGGGACATCGGATCACCCCCCCCCCTCACCCCCCGTTGACCCCGTGACCCAGGGATACCTACGCATCACCTGCAGCGATTCGCAGCAACTGATTGAAGCTCACCGCTGTTTGCCGTTCAACGTTGTCGCTTCCGGAAGAAAAAACGAACGGAACGGGAGGGGGCTGGTGGGGGGGGGGTCTCGTTTAGGGGGCAGCGGAGATTCGAGCTCGATTACCAGCCACAGCTAACGTCAGTGGCAAGACGATGTCAGAACCGACCCTAGCCCCCTCTCCACTCAACCCCCTCTCCCACCCACCCCCCCCCCGGACGTTCAGCTTCAACAACCCACACTGACCAGCGTGGTGAAGTATGGTCAAACAATTCCCATGAACAACACGGCGTGGCGAGGCCTTCCATTCAGGCGGTGGCTTGACCAAATAAATGTGACATTTTGGGTCGTCACGCCGTGGTCGTGTGACGTACCGCTGTAACGTCGCGGTAATGTATCAACGTGTCGACAAGCGGCGGTGGGGGGCACGTGGGGGGCAGAGGGGGGGGGCAGAGGGGGAGGGGGGGCCACCCTGCCGCTAGTACTCCTTGCGGCACTTGCCCTTCTTCTCGCGGCGCTGCAGCTTTCTGAGCCGGCGCGCCCACACGTCCTGCCACGGCGCGGCCAGGCTGTCCTTGTCGGCCACGAGGCCGCCCCCCGCCGCCGAGGGGGCGCCGTGCTCGGGGTGCCCCCCGCCCAGCAGCAGGTACTTCTTGCCGGCGCGGAAACGCGGGGGGCAGTGGCAGGCGAGGTCACGGGAGCGCGCCCACAGAGCCTGGCGCAGCTGGGCCCGGCGAGGTGCCATGCCGCCGCCGCCGGTGCCGCCGCCGCCGGTGCCGATGCCGGTGCCGGCACCGCTCACGCCGCCGCGCTTGAAGACGGAGATGATGTTGACCGTGTAGCGCGTCCACTCGCCCGCCGCGGACTCGTCCAGCACGTGCAGCTGCAGGGCTGCGCGCGGGAGGGAGGGAGGGCCAGGCGGGTGGGTGGTGGGGAGTTCGCTTGAGTCTCGAGTCATCCACCGCGTGCGACGTTCACAATGGGGGGCGACGCGGTTTTGGTTCAGTCCGGCCCGGCCGAAGGTCGCGAGTTCAAATCGCAGTCTGGGTGGGGTGGGGTGGGGTGGGATTGACTCTACCCCGTCAACCCCCTTTGGGGTCGACAAATTGAGTCGCGCTCGCTGCGTCTCGTCTCGGGGTGTGGAGGTGAGACGTACCGTGCTCCGAGACGTCCCCGGAGGGTGCCAACATCGAAAGCGCAAATCGTTCGCGTTCGCCACAAAAAAATCCAGACGGATCGAACGTTATTGTTTTTCGTCGTTTGTTTGCACGTGGCCCGACTGCAATGCGCGCTTGTGAAACGTGGACGGTCGACGCGGCAGACAGGTGCAACTCCGAGCAAGAGAAATGTTCCACCGAGAGCCACGCTGATGGAGGTGGCCGCTCCTCGGCGTTAAAGTCTCGGGGGTGGCCGGGCGGCTCAGAGCTATCTGAGCCATCGCCACTCAACAGCCTGGGTTCGAATCCGGGCATTTGGCCACCCGTTATTAAACTGGAGCCTCGGGAGTAGTGGCGTGTTGATGCGCTGGGTGGTGAGGCTGGGTGGTGAGGCTGGGTGGTGAGGCTGGGTGGTGAGGCTGGGTGGTGAGGCTGGGTGGTGAGGCTGGGTGGTGAGGCTGGGTGGTGAGGCTAGTTGTCCGGGTTGGTGGTGCGGCCGGGGTAGTGAGCCTGGGTGGTGAGGTTGATTGGTGAGGCCGCGGCGGTGAGGCTGAGTGGTGAGGCCGTCTAGGGGAGACCCAAATAAAGGAAGGCAAACTTTGTTCTCGTCGGTATTGCTCTTTCAGCTGCCGCGGCACCAGAGCCCAGTCAACAAAGAGGCCTGAAATCTCCTCCCCGCTCTCTCCCCCTCTCTCCACCCTCTCTCTCCACCCTCTCTCCACCCTCTCTCTCCACCGTCTCTCCCCCTCTCTCCACCCTCTTTCCCCACGCTCCCCTCTCTCCCCGCTCGCACCTCTCTCCCCACTCTCATCTTTAGCCTCTCTCCCCTCTCCCACATATCCCACCCTCCCCCCACCCCAACTCTCTCTTTCCTGCGTCTCCTCCCAAATTTGTGAAATTCGAAAAACTGCCCCTCAAGTCGCTCGAATGGGATCGTGCTCAGCAGAAGAGGCAGCAGAGGCAATCATCGCCCCCCGTGCCGGCAGCAGACTGATGCCCCTTTGCAGGCCCCGCTGCTGGGTCACCTTGTGCTGCACAGAGACAGCTGAAACGCGTTGGGATGAGATGCGACGTGAACGATGCGACGACACGCTGCAGCGTCAGGAAGAAGGAGGGCACTAACATCAACCACAGCTCGTTATGTTTACCTTTCCTATACTTTGTGCTACTGTCGTATTTGTGTACTGGTTGGTGTTGATGTTGTAAAGTTCTGAGCCGCCCCTACTGGACATTTGCGAGAGAAGAGCTTTATAGCTCATCGGATTCCTCCAGTATAAATACATCGTCTTATTCCCATCCTGCCACTCCTGTCATTATCTCTCTCCCCTCTCTGGTCCCGTCTCTCTCTCTCTCTCCCCACTCCCGAATTTATTTACCTTTCCCTGCCGGATATCATCTTGGCCGAGCTGGGGGAGGGGAGGGGGGGGGAAAGGGGGGGGGGGGAGATGGTAGCCCCCCCTCCCATCCCTCCCCCCTCCCATCCCCCCCCCCCCCGTGCGTGGCTCAGCAACGGTCGCCAGAGAGACGCGGCGCAATGCGGGCGGCACAAAGCGGCGTGTTTAAAATACGGAGGCCCTTCGCTGCTCTCCTTTCTTTAATTCTCATGGTGTTGGAGGGGCTGGTGGTGGGGGTGGCGGTGGGGGTGGCGGTGTGAGCCACGGCCGCTCTATTTCTCGGCGGCGGGGCTTTGGGACTCGAGAGACAACAATGACTGATGAAAATTCTGTGCAAAGGCCAGCCTCGCGTGCAGCCATAGTGACCGTTACTGACAGAACAACTTGTTTTGTTTGTTTCTTCTTCCTCCTCCTCCTAAGGTTCTGAGGAATTAAATTAAATCTCAGCACCCCCCCGCCCTCCCCCCACACTGCCCCCCCCCCCCGGCACCCCCCCCCCCCCCCCAATGCACCGCCGGGCGAGAGAAGCAGCAGCAGCAGGAGGAGGGATCGGACACGCGGTGCCGCGAGGCGTCGCGCTCCCCTTTTGTTTCCCCTAAAAAGGCACAAATTATTTGGCCTCCCAAATTACTCTCCCGCCGCCCGCGGCCCTCCGTCGTACCCCCCCCCCCCCCCCCGAACAAACAGGCGGTCGTGGGAAAATCTAACAGCGTGGGGGCCCCTTCGGCGAGCTCTCTGGACAACCTCTCCAGACCGTTCGCTGTGAGCGGCGCCGATTCACCACCGCCTCCGTGCGGCACATGGGCACGAGTCTGTCCGCCGCTGCCACACCAGGGGCGGTGTGTGTGGCTCTGGGCGGTGTGTGGTGGCTCTGGGCGGTGTGTGGTGGTTCTGGGAAGCGTGTGTGTGTCTCTAGGCGGCGTGCGTGGTTCCAGACGGCGTGTGTGTGTAGCTTACCGTAGTCCTTCTTGCAGTACTTCCGTATGTTGAGCTTGAGTTTCCCCTTGGAGGGTTTGCAGTGGGAGTCACAGTCAGCTGCACAACGACAAAGACAAAGATCCCCCGTACAACCTTCACAGACTTTTGGGCGGCACGGCACACGAAGGGGTGGGTGGATAGCACCACGCCCGGCCGCCTTTGTCTTCCCAGTGGTGATGTTTACACATCGCACCAGGACTAATGTGCAAAGCCACATCAGTCATTGGCACGCTGCAACGGTTGGCACGATGCACTCTAAATCCGCCAACCCGAGTTTGATTCACGGCCAAGGTTAACATGAGCAGGGAGCAATATCTAAACCAGTCCTGGGCCTCTTATCTTCACCAACCCGCATTGACCAGCGCGGTAAAATATGACCAAATAATTCACCACGACTTACACGGTGCCAGGTCTTCATCCAGTAGTGGATTGACAAAGGGTTGTGTATTATTTATCCGTATTATTGTTATTATTGTAGTTAATCTGCCCAGACCCACGATGCATTTCAGGAGGGGGGGGGGGGGTCCTGCGCTGGGAAGTTCGCCCAATTAAAATGTTAACGAGACCAGGATGCCCCAAGGGGAACCCACCTCACATGTGGCGAGATGCCACGCGGAGGTCTGCGCAGCCGTGGTCTGGCAAAGATCTAAAAATTATAAAATTATTAAAATATTAATAAACTCAACTGAATCTATTTTTTTTATTTTGCCAGGTAATTGCCCACTGATCTGTATAGCTCTTTTTACGGAAGCGACCTGGCCACAAATGATAAGCTCAACGAAGTTGGCTTATCATCATGTGGACATTTATAGCAGCCAAATAATCTAAACGCGTGATGTTGATTCTAAATGTGGAGGGGAAAACCGGAGGACCCAGCAAGAAAATCAAAGCGACCACGGGGAGAGAGACACGAAAACTCCAAATATACAGCAGGCCTCACGGTCAGAATCGAACCCACGACCTCCTGTAGACCAGGCGAGGTAGTTAACATCTCCTCGCCACCGTGATGATGATGATGAGAGACACGCAAACTCCAAATATACAGCAGACGTTATGGTCGGGATTGAACCCACGACCTCCTGCATACCAGGCGAGGTAGTTAACATCTCATAGCCACCGTGATGATGATGAGAGACACGCAAACTCCAAATATACAGCCGGCGTCATGGTCGGGATCGAACCTATGACCTCCTGCATACCAGGCGAGGGAATTAACATCTCCTAGCCACAGTGGCACCCCAGCCCACCGAGTTATTCACTTATTTTTTTCTTCAGAAAGCCACCTGGCCACCACAAATGATAGCCCAAACAAAGCGACCTATAATCGCGTGGGGACACAGTCAGAGCGGCAAAATAATCTCAATGCACGTCTCCATGATGTGCATCGAGAACGATGAAGAAAAAAAACCGGGGAGGGCCCGGAGAAATAAATAACGCACGACCGCTAAAGGTGGCAGCGGCGCGCGAGCGTGGTGGGGGGGGCGGGGCGGAGGGGGGGCGGGGGGTGGGTTGGGGGGGGCACGGGTGGAGGGGGGTGGGGTTGGGGGGGGCACGGGTGGAGGGGGGTGGGGTTGGGGGGGGCACGGGTGGAGGGGGGTGGGGTTGGGGGGGCGGCTCCCCTAATCGCGGTCAAATGGAGCGCGAAATTCAATTGAGCTGCTTTTGTGGGCACCTCCCTCTGGGGCGCACGTGTCAACACCCCCCACTGCTCCCCCCCCCCCCCCCCACATCGCTCTCCCATTCTCCATCCCTCTCTCCCTTCATCCCCCTCTCTCTCTCTTCCTCCATAAACTGATCAGTTTAATATCTTCCTCCATGTCTCTCCATCTCTTTCGCTCCCTCCATCTCTCGCTCCATCTCTTCCTTTTTTACGATCGGAGGAAACAAGAAGACGCTCGGTGTCGTCGGCACTTTGCTTCGTTCATCATTTCAGTTTTTTTTTTCAATGCTTTGCTTTATGTACCCCCCCCCCCCCCCCCCCCCGTTTAAATGAAAGATTTCACGAAAGATTTCACGCTCTACTCTCCTCCTTCTTACCCCTTCCCTCTCTCTCTACCCCCTCTCTCTACCCCCTCTCTCTACCCCCTCTCTCTACCCCTCTCTCTACCCCCTCTCTCTACCCCCTCTCTCTAACCCCTCTCTCTAACCCCTCTCTCTAACCCCTCTCTCTACCCCTCTCTCTAACCCCTCTCTCTACCCCTCTCTCTAACCCCTCTCTCTAACCCCTCTCTCTAACCCCTCTCTCTAACCCCTCTCTCTAACCCCTCTCTCTACCCCCTCTCTCTACCCCCCCCCCCGTCTCTCTATCCCCTCTCTCTACCCCCCCCCCCCCGTCTCTCTACCCCCTCTCTCTTCCCTCTCTCTCTACCCCCTCTCTCTACCCCCTCTCTCTACCCCCTCTCTCTACCCCCCCCCCCCCGTCTCTCTACCCCCTCTCTCTACCCCCTCTCTCTACCCCCTCTCTCTACCCCCTCTCTCTACCCCCTCTCTCTACCCCCTCTCTCTACCCCCTCTCTCTACCCCCTCTCTCTACCCCCTCTCTCTACCCCCCCCCCCCCGTCTCTCTACCCCCTCTCTCTACCCCCTCTCTCTACCCCCTCTCTCTACCCCCTCTCTCTACCCCCTCTCTCTACCCCCCTCTCTCTACCCCCTCTCTCTACCCCCTCTCTCTAACCCCTCTCTCTAACCCCTCTCTCTACCCCCTCTCTCTAACCCCTCTCTCTAACCCCTCTCTCTACCCCCCCCCGTCTCTCTACCCCCCTCTCTCTACCCCCTCTCTCTACCCCCTCTCTCTACCCCCTCTCTCTAACCCCTCTCTCTAACCCCTCTCTCTAACCCCTCTCTCTACCCCCCCCCCGTCTCTCTACCCCCTCCGTCTACCCCCTCTCTCTACCCCCTCTCTCTACCCTCTCTCTCTACCCCCTCTCTCTACCCCCCCCCCCGTCTCTCTACCCCTCTCTCTACCCCCTCTCTCTACCCCCTCTCTCTACCCCCTCTCTCTAACCCCTCTCTCTAACCCCTCTCTCTACCCCCCCCCCCCGTCTCTCTACCCCCTCCGTCTACCCCTCTCTCTACCCCCTCTCTCTACCCTCTCTCTCTACCCCCTCTCTCTACCCCCCCCCGTCTCTCTACCCCCTCTCTCTACCCCCTCTCTCTACCCCCTCTCTCTAACCCCTCTCTCTAACCCCTCTCTCTACCCCCCCCCCCGTCTCTCTACCCCCTCCGTCTACCCCCTCTCTCTACCCCCTCTCTCTACCCTCTCTCTCTACCCCCTCTCTCTACCCCCCCCCGTCTCTCTACCCCCTCTCTCCCTACTCTATGTCCCCCCTGTTTTACTACCACAAGTGCCGCATCTGCACCCAGCCATCTCCCTCCATCTCTCTCGGGGTACTCGGAACAAAAAAACTTGCCAATGCAGGATCCATGCAGAGTCTCGTGGGGTAACGTGTGTGAGGTAACGTGAGGTAACGTGAGGTAACGTGTGTGGGGTAACGTGATGTAACGTGAGGTAACATGAGGTAACGTGTGGTAACGTGATGTAAGGTGTGCGGGGTAACGTGTTGTAACACGTTATAACGTGATGTAACGTGATGTATCCTGAGGTAACGTGATGTAACGTGAGTTAACGTGGGGTAACGTGTGTGAGGTAACGTGATGTAACGTGTGTGAGGTAACGTGTGTGGAATAACGTGATGTAACGTGGGGTAACGTGAGGTAACGTGATGTAAGGTGTGCGGGGTAACGTGTTGTAATGTGATGTAACGTGATGTATCGTGAGGTAACGTGATGTAACTTGAGGTAACTTGAGGTAACGTGATGTATGGTGAGGTAACGTGATGTTACGTGAGGTAACGTGGGGTAACTTGAGGTAACGTGGGGTAACTTGAGGTAACGTGTCGCCGTGAGATGGAGCTGGGGACTCCACCTGAGGGCTTCTCTGGGTTGCCGACGCCATTTTCTGTGTGGACGGCGGTCACGACCGGGATCCCTGCCAGAGGAGACACGGAGACACACAGAGACACAGACACACATAGACATGGAGACACAGAGAGACACAGAGACACGGAGACATGGAGACACAGAGAGACACAGAGACACATAGACACGGAGACACAGAGACACAGAGACACAGAGACACAGAGACACACAGAGACACACAGAGACACACAGAGACACACAGAGACACACATAGACACACATAGACACACATAGACACAGAGACACAGAGACACGGAGACACGGAGACACGGAGACACGGAGACACACAGACACAGAGACACACAGACACACAGACACAGAGACACAGAGACACAGACACACAGAGACACAGACACACAGACACACAGAGACACAGACACACAGAGACACGGAGACACAGGGCAACAGTAAGGTGTGCACGCGGTGTGTGTATGTGTGCCTTTGTCTGGTGTGTGTGTGGTGTGGTGTGTGGGTGGTGTGTGTGTGGTGTGTGTGGTGTGTGTGTGGTGTGCGCGTGTGTGGTGTGTGCCTGTGTCTGGTGTGTGTGGTGTGTGTGGTGTGTGCCTGTGTCTGGTGTGTGTGGTGTGTGCATGTGTCTGGTGTGTGTGGTGTGTGTGTGGTGTGTGTGGTGTGTGCCTGTGTCTGGTGTGTGTGTGGTGTGTGCCTGTGTCTGGTGTGTGTGGTGTGTGCATGTGTCTGGTGTGTGTGGTGTGTGTGTGGTGTGTGTGGTGTGCGCGTGTGTGGTGTGTGCCTGTGTCTGGTGTGTGTGGTGTGTGTGGTGTGTGCCTGTGTCTGGTGTGTGTAGTGTGTGTGTGGTGTGTGTGGTGTGTGCCTGTGTCTGGTGTGTGTGGTGTGTGTGTGGTGTGTGTGGTGTGCGCGTGTGTGGTGTGTGTCTGTGTCTGGTGTGTGTGCTGTGTGTGGTGTGTGCCTGTGTCTGGTGTGTGTGGTGTGTGTGTGGTGTGTGCCTGTGTCTGGTGTGTGTGTGGTTTGTGTGTGTGGCGTGTGCAATGTGTGGTGTGGTGTGTGTGTGGTGTGTGCAATGTGTGTGGTGTGTGTGGTATGGTGTGTGTGTGGTGTGTGTGTGTGTAGTGTGTGTGGTGTGGTGTGTGTGTGGTGTGTGCGTGCACGTGCGTGCGCGTGGCGCGCGCGTCTGTACGTATGCAGGGCGCGACGGGCGAGCGGCTCTGCTGGAAGCCCTTGGCACAGCGGTTGCAGGTGACCCCCGTGACCCCGTCCTTGCAGGGGCACTGCCCCGTCGTCTGGTTGCACGTCTTGCCCGCGGCCCCCACCGGGTGACAGTCACACGCTGGGCCCCCCCCCCCCCCCAACGCGGACAGGACAGACACAAGAGGGGTCACGCGTCACGCTCCCGAGTCGCGGGCAACTCCCGGGGGTAAACTTGTGGTTGACCGCGATGGAGGGGTTCGCTTCCGAAGAAAGCGGTGCTCATTTCGCGAGCCCTGGGTTCGAACTCGCGACGTTTTTATTGCGGGCCGCACCGGCTCTGCCGATGGCCGTTTAGGGAAGCAGAGGGGCTTTGTTAGGCCTCTGAATAAAACGTTGACTCGGCACTGCACGGTTATTTATCAAGATTGAATGAAACAAAATCGATACCTGCCAAATCCATACGGTTTACCACTTAAATTTGTACAGAAAATTGAGTTTTCATGTCCATGCAGCGTACAGCCGTTTCACAATACAACAAATAATTGTTTGTGTGTGTCTCCCTTGTGATGGTATTTTGTAGGATGAACGTTGAGATGTATAAGGGGCACGGGGTGACCAATAAGGTCTTAATTGGTATGTAATAAGTTAGGGCACTGATAAGGGGTTGACGAGTATGAAAATCTGAGCACAATTTAAATTAAATTGTAATTTAGCTGATAAATTGTAATTTAGCTTGGGGTTTTTAACTTACCTCAAAACCATGATATTGGGATAAAAACAATTCACCGCCTGTTGGAATTCCTTTTATCGTGGCGACGACGCGTCTGCATCCACAGCCAATGGGAGCGCGAGTTGCTTGGTGCAACAAAACCAATTTGAAATGAGGTCGCACAAACTTTGCAGAGCCACGTTCAACTCCATTGCGACTCCGTGCCGCGTTGAGACGGAGCGAGACGCAATATCAACACATTTATAAGAAACGCGCAACTCTTACAACCTAGGTGACCACGAGGCAAGTTCACTAGACACGTGACAATAGACATCCTCAGACACCCTTGCAAACTAAAAGCTATTTTTATTTTATCAGGTAAGGCCCACTGAGCGATATAGCTCTTTTTTAGAAGCGACCTGGTCATCATAATTTATAAGTGCAATTTGCGTGTCTCTCTCTCTCCCCGTGGTCGCGTGGATTTTTCTCCGGGTCCTCCTCTGAGTGTTTTTTTTACCCTCCACATTTAGAACTAACAACGCGCTTAGAGTATTTGGCTGCTATAAATGTCCGCGTGATGATGACGAAGCCACTTCGTCGGGCAATCATTTGTGGTGGCCTGGTCGCTTCTAAAAACAAATAGAGCCGCATAGCTCAGTGGAGCCTTACCTCGTTAAATAAAAATAAAAACTTTATATTCTTGGTTCTTTCGGTAAAGTCACGTAGAAGGGAAATAATAAAATAAATAAAACGTTTCTGATGACGTTTTTTCAAATGTTCTTGCTGTAGTTTTCACACCTGATGATAATTGCTTGTGTTCTAATCGAAACGTCGTGAGAATGTTATTGTTTTATTTTTATTATTTCCCTTCTACGTGACTTTACCGAAAGAACCAAGAATATGAATCCCTGCAGTCACGAAAGCTTTAAATCGAAATAATAACTTTCTATTTCGATAATAAATAAATAAAACATTTCTGATGACGTTTTTTTCAGATTCATCTTCTTGGTTCTTTCGGTAAAGTCACGTTAGAAGGGAAATAATACAATAATAAAATAAAACATAATACAATAATTCTCACGACGTTTCGGCCACAACGCAAGCAGCCGTCCTCAGGTGAAGACCAGGTCTGTCGGGGAGACAACGTCTGACGCGTCCCCGACAGACCTGGTCTTCACCTGAGGACGGCTGCTTGCGTTGTGGCCGAAACGTCGTGAGAATTATTTTATTATGTTTTATTTTTTATTTTTTTATTTCCCTTCTTCGTGACTTTACCGAAAGAACCAAGAAGATAAAAACTTTCTAGTTTTCTTTTTTAAAATCGCCCCTTAGAGGATCGTGGACCCCCTTTGAGGGCTCAGTTCCCGCGGGGGGCGGGCCTTTGGGGCACACGCGGTGCGTGATTTACGCTTGCAGGCCTTGCGGTGCGCGATGGGCTTGCCGAGGTCACGGTAGTAGCCCTCCTTGCAGTAGTGGCAATGCCGCCCGGCGGTGTTGTGCCGGCAGTTGAGGCAAACGCCGCCGCTCTTGCGCCCCGACAGCTTGAAGAGCTCCATGTTGAAGCGGCACTTGCGGGCGTGCAGGTTGCAGTTGCAGGCTCGGGGACGCGGTGGGGGGGGGGGGGGGGCGAGAGTTTGGCGTTACGCAGGCAGGGTAAGCGGGCGCGCAAGCGGTACCGCTGCGATCTGCGCGCTGAAAAGGCTCACGCCCGCTGACACATTGGCACACGCATGCCAAGGCAAGAGAGGGGATGATGGCCCCCCGTGTAGCCTGTAACAGACTCTGGGGGGCAAATGCCGATGGCGAGAGGCACCTACGAAGGCCGGCACAGCACACGAAGGAGTGGGTGGGCCAGCACCACGCCCGGCCGCCTTTGTCTCCCGAGTGGCGATGTTTACGGCACGCCGCTCCAAAGGTACTCATTTGAGGTTGAGTCGACCTAGGGGAGGCCAGGACCTGGTTCAGACATTCGCCACCGGTGTTGACGCCGGTGGTCGTGTCGAGTGCGAATCGAGCTCGGCTCGCCGCCGTGTTCGTAGCGCGGCGGCGTGCTAACTGCTGTGCCGCCAATCCCCACAACACTCACACACACACACACCACACACAGGTGACACACGCGGGTGACACACGGGGGTGACACACGGGGGTGACACACTCAGTGATGACACTCAGTGGTGACTGACACCCTCAGTGGTGACTGACACACTCGGTGATGACACACGTTGTGACGACACACACGTGACGACACACTCAGTGGTGACACACGTTGTGATGACGCACACGATGATGACAAACTAAGTGGTGACGTCACACACGTGACGACACACACGTGCCGTCCACACACGTTGTGCCGTTCACACACGTTGTGACGACACACACGTTGTGACGTCACACACATTGTGACGTCACACACATTGTGACGTCACACACGCGCGGTGGCGACGCACTCACCCACGCACTCGTTGGCCTCGCGGGCCGTGCTGCGCTGCCAGGGCCGGTCGTAGTGGAAGGGCCGGCAGCGCTCGCACTCGGCGCCCGCCGTGTTGTGCCGGCAGTCGCACACGAGGCCCCCGTCGCGGTCGCGCACGCAGCGCGACGCGTGGCCGTTGCACTTGCAGCGCCCTCCCACCTGCGATGATGGGGGGGGGAGTGGAGGGAGGTAGGGAGGTGTGGAGTGGAGGGAGTGAAGGGAGAGAGGGAGTGGAGGGAGGTGTGGAGTGGAGGGAGTGGAGGGAATGGAGGTGTGGAGTGGAGGGAGTGAGTGGAGGGAGTGAGTGGAGGGAGGTGGGGAGGTGTGGAGTGGAGGGAGTGAAGGGAGAGAGGGAGTGGAGGTGCGGTGGGGAGTGGAGGGAGGGAGGTGTGGAGTGGAAGGAGTAGAGGGAATGGAGGTGTGGAGTGGAGGGAGTGAGTGGAGGGAGTGAGTGGAGGGAGGTGGGGAGGTGTGGAGTGGAGGGAGTGAAGGGAGAGAGGGAGTGGAGGTGCGGTGGGGAGTGGAGGGAGGGAGGTGTGGAGTGGAAGGAGTAGAGGGAATGGAGGTGTGGAGTGGAGGGAGTGAGTGGAGGGAGTGAGTGGAGGGAGGTGGGGAGGTGTGGAGTGGAGGGAGTGAAGGGAGTGGAGGGAGTGGAGGGAGGTGGGGAGTGGAGGGAGGTGGGGAGTGGAGGGAGTGGAGGGAATGGAGGTGTGGAGTGGAGGGAGTGAGTGGAGGGAGTGAGTGGAGGGAGGTGTGGAGTGGAGGTGTGGAGTGGAGGGAGTGAGTGGAGGGAGATGTGGAGTGGAGGGAGGGAGTGGAGGGAGGGAGGGAGGTGTGGAGTGGAGGGAAGGGAGGGAGGGAAGAGAGGCAGTGGAGGGAGGGAGTGAAGGGAGGGAGTGGAGGGAGGGAGGTTACTCGTGGTTACGAACTAAATACTCGTTCGCCGGGACTGAGACACGTCGCTTATCGTCGCCAAGTCGACCGATGCGTGCTCGACGTCGGCCTTGAGCAGGCCACGCGCTGCCTGACGGGAAGAGCGTGGCCAGGACGACGTCCATGGAGTCTGAGCGAGAGGAGAAAAAGTGCACGGATCGTTACTTCGCAGCGTGTTGGTTGCCTGGCGGCGGCTTTGGAAAGGCCTTCATCCAGCAGTGGATTGAGTCGTAGCTCGCTCAGGAGTCGAGCGAGACGAGAGGGGGGGGGAGGAGAGTGCGTGGAGGGGAGTAGAGTAAGATGAGAGGGGAGAGGTAGGAGAGTGCGTGGATGGGAGTCGCGTGAGATGAGAGGGGAGAGGTAGGCAGGGATCAGGAAGACTGCGAGCACGATCTTGACGTTTATCCAGGACTAGTTTGGGATACCGGTGGAGGGAGTGAATCATTGGGGTGGTGGTCTCGTTGCGTGTGGCCAGCAAGGTTGATGTGGTGGAGGCCGCAGAGAGAGGAGGGAGTTGCAATCGTAGAGCCGGGATGCGGCCGAAGGCATGGACGAGGTTCCCAGCTGCGGCTGCTGCCAGCGAATGGTTGAGGAGGAGGGAGGAGGAGGAGGAGGGAGGCGAAGGTGCACAGATTTTAAATGAAGACGCTGACACGAAGAGACCCGCCGTGGTGTTGGGGACGCGTCCCGGTCAAACTCTGTCGGGTGCTCGACTCCGGTCATCGTGACCGACAGCTGTGATCCCTCTCCGTTTTTTTTCCCAATCGCTTCCAATTCAAATGCCACGTTGGCGTGCACAACGTGGCTATTTTGGATCGCTGGCCAGGTTTACATTGTACAGAGTGCCGGATGTTTATTTGACCATGTGTATAAATATCCCTGCTTTTGTTCTATGCAGCCCCTTGAGTATAAACCATCCCTAGCCCATGGAACATGCCCAGCTACTTGTGTATCAGCCGTGCTTTGCAGTCCCTGTAAACGCTCCCTTCCCGTGGGGTCAAGTTATCGAGGTCATCATGGCCAATGACCTTCAGGGCCACCACCACCGCCACTGCACGGCGTCATCGCCTCCTCCCTCTCGCCGGATCTCGTCTCTGCTTTCACATAGTCTCAGCTCACTCATCGAGTTGCGCCATTGAGGTTGTAGATGCGGGTGGCATGTGGGTGACCCCCAAATGAGGCGGTGCCCCCCCCCCCCCTTAAGTCTCCCGTTTGTTGACTCTTAGAATCAACAATGCGTGTTGCCCGTAGCTCCCGGGTCATTCATTCGCCTGCAACACAATCACCCTGCACGCGTCCGATCTCCCGGGAGACGTCGCAAGCTAAGCAGGGGGCTTGAGCCTGGCAAGTCCTCGCTTATAGTGGCCGCGGTGGTGGGGACACAGCGGTGCAGCAATTGATTACTAAATACATCTCTGCCGGGCTTTGAACGTCTCCCCCTCGTATTACGGAGTGGTGGTTTTTTTTTCCGGGTTCTCCCACACGAAGCCGCAACTCTCATTTTTTGAATTGCATAATAATCTCAGTCTCGTAGCAGGACCCTCCTAGGCGCCACGGTGGCTAGGAGATGTTAATTACCTCGCCTGGTATACAGGAGGTCGTGGGTTCGTTCCAAACCCTGACGCCTGCTGCTTATTTGGAGTTTGCGGTGTCTCTCTCCCCGTGGTCGCGTGGTATTTTTTTCTGGGTCCTCCGGTTTTTCCCTCCACATTTAGAGTCAACGTGCGTTTAGAGTGTTTGGCTGCTTCAAATTCCCACATGATAAGCCCACTTCGCTGAGCTATCATTTGTGACGGCCAGGTCGCTTCTGAAAGAGAACGATGTAGCTCAGTGGACCTTTACCTGGTAAAATAAAAGCCATCGTTACAGTTGATAGTTTTAGTAAACATAGCCTTGAGACTCAGCGAGGCTTCCCTGGGTAAATAAATAAATAAAGGGCATCGTTGTTATTCTTTCGCAGTCTCGGCTCTCCCACCCGATCTGCCGATGTGCACCATCATTTAATTATTCACAGTTACGTGCGATGCCTTTGACTGCGTGCGATATTCGTTGCACGAATGCATAGGTAATGTGTAGGTAATGTATAGGTAAGGTTACATATTTTAAACATTCGCGTCGCTTACCCCCCCCCCTCCTCCCGCGCCCCCCTTGCGACACCGTTGCAAACGAGACGGAACTATGCAGGTGGTAAACATCCATCTCAATACTGTACACACAATATAGAATACAGTCAACGAACGCAACAACAAACAAACAAACAACAACCTTTCATCCCGCCACGCACCTGAAAGTCCGACACGGCGTAGTACTGCGAGAGGGCCTCGACCGCCGCCGAGTCGGCGCCGCTCGAGTTCGACTCCTGCCCGGTCACGTCCGCGGCGGGTCCCGCTGCCGAGTGCAGGCGGCTGAACACAACTCGCACGTCGGTCGCGGTCACCCAGTCCTGCAGCACGGGGCTGTTCTCGAAGTCGTGAGCCGACGGGCGGCTGTCCAGGGTGCTGAAAGCCACCAGACCTCCCGGTCCCGAGCCATCGCCGCCGCCGCCGCCGGCCGCCAGGTGAGCGTCAGTGCAGAGGGCCTCCTGCTCGTTCTGCTTGGTGACGGCGGCGCGGCTCGGCTTGCCGTACACGTGGCGGCACTGCGTCGAGTAGAACTGGAAGGGGGTCCACGTGCGGCCATAGTCGGACGACTTGAAGATGGCCATAGACTCGGGCCGCGGCGAGCAGAACTGGAGGCTCACGTAGGTGACCTCGAACTTCTTGCCGAGGGACAGCGTGAGCGAGACGTTGCGCGGGTGCTGCACGCCGCTCGCCGACTGCCAGCACGTCAGGTTGTGCGGGTTGTTGAGGTCGGTGAGGAAGGCGGGCGCGTGGGAGCGCCGGGGGTCGCCGGCGTCGCAAACGAAGCACGGCCCCGTGACGGCCACCGCCGCCGCTCCTCCAGGCGAGCCCTGCTGCTGGGAGGAACCCTGGAAGCCCGACGCCACGGGCTCGGGACCCTGCGCGGCGTTGGCTGGAGCGGGCAGGCAGTAGCGCGACGCCGACTTCCCGCAGGTGCTGGAGGCGAGCACCTCCCTGCCGAACGCCGCGTTCACGAAGTCGGGGATGCAGCGGCGCGGGTTGCGGTGCTCGTCGTAGCACGGGTCCGGTGGGTTCTGCTGCGACGCGAACATGAGCCCCGTGCGCGCGGGAGCCGCGGCGACGACCCCCGCGGCGGCGGCCCCCGTGGAGTGGGCCTCGACCCGTGGGGTCCGCGGCCCCCCCACGGCCAGCAGAGTCAGGCACAGCAACAGCGCGGCCATGGGACTCGCTCGCTCGCACGCACGCGCAGCACGCGCAGCTCGGCTCGGCCTCGACTCTGCGCGACGTGGGGTTTGTGGGAGCGTGGGGAGACACGGGGGGGGGGGGTGGTGGTGGTGGTGGCGAGGTTGTGGTGGTGGTGGGGGGGGGAGAGACGAGAGCGACGGGAAGAGAGGAGGGGATACGGTATCAGTGGAGGGTTCACAGGGAGACGCGTGCGAGGGGACACGGAGATGAGCGATAGGTAGCTTGCACGGTGGGGGGTGGGGGAGACACGGAGATGAGGGGAGGGATCAGTGGAGTCTGCGGATCCGCGCGTCGCGAGACCACCGGGGGGGGGGGGGGGGGGAACAAAAGGGGACCGCGTGGCCCGGGGCGGCTCTGTTTGTAAACGGGGCCGGGGGCGGTGACCGTGGCCGGGGCCGCCCTGAGAGGCCAGGCGGGCGAGGGGGACCCAACCCAAGCCCAGCCCAAATAACTCCAACCCCAACATGGGTACAGCTCTAACCCCAACATGGGTACAGCTCTAACCCCAACATGGGTACAGCTCCAACCCCAACATGGGTACAGCTCTAACCCCAACATGGGTACAGCTCTAACCCCAACATGGGTACAGCTCCAACCCCAACATGGGTACAGCTCTAACCCCAACATGGGTACAGCTCCAACCCCAACATGGGTACAGCTCTAACCCCAACATGGGTACAGCTCCAACCCCAACATGGGTACAGCTCCAAGCCCAACATGGGTACAGCTCCAACCCCAACATGGGTACAGCTCCAACCCCAACATGGGTACAGCTCCAACCCCAACATGGGTACAGCTCCAACCCCAACATGGGTACAGCTCCAACCCCAACATGGGTACAGCTCCAACCCCAACATGGGTACAGCTCCAACCCCAACATGGGTACAGCTCCAACCCCAACATGGGTACAGCTCCAACCCCAACATGGGTACAGCTCCAACCCCAACATGGGTACAGCTCCAACCCCAACATGGGTACAGCTCCAACCCCAACATGGGTACAGCTCCAACCCCTACATGGGTACAGCTCCAACCCCAACATGGGTACAGCTCCAACCCCAACATGGGTACAGCTCCAACCCCAACATGGGTACAGCTCCAACCCCAACATAGGTACAGCTCTAACCCCAACATGGGTACAGCTCTAACCCCAACATGGGTACAGCTTCAACCCCAACATGGGAACAGCTCTAACTCCAACATGGGAACAGCTCTAACCCCAACATGGGTACAGCTCTAACCCCAACATGGGTACAGCTCTAACCCCAACATGGGTACAGCTCCAACCCCAACATGGATACAGCTCTAACCCCAACATGGGTACAGCTCCAACCCCAACATGGGTACAGCTACAACCCCAACATGGGTACAGCTCCAACCCCAACATGGGTACAGCTCCAACCCCAACATGGATACAGCTCCAACCCCAACATGGGTACAGCTCCAACCCCAACATGGGTACAGCTCTAACCCCAACATGGGTACAGCTCTAACCCCAACATGGGTACAGCTCTAACACCAACATGGGTACAGCTCTAACACCAACATGGGTACAGCTCCAACCCCAACATGGGTACAGCTCTAACCCCAACATGGGTACAGCCCTAACTCCAACATGGGTACAGCTCTAACCCCAACATGGGTACAGCTCCAATCCCAACATGGGTACAGCTCCAACCCCAACATGGGTACAGCTCTAACCCCAACATGGGTACAGCTCCAACCCCAACATGGGTACAGCTCTAACCCCAACATGGGTACAGCTCTAACCCCAACATGGGTACAGCTCTAAGCCCAACATGGGTACAGCTCCAACCCCAACATGGGTACAGCTCCAACCCCAACATGGGTACAGCTCTAACCCCAACATGGGTACAGCTCCAACCCCAACATGGGTACAGCTCTAAGCCCAACATGGGTACAGCTCTAAGCCCAACATGGGTACAGCTCCAACCCCAACATGGGTACAGCTCCAATCCCAACATCGGTAAAGTTCAACCCCCAAGCACAGCACGGGTATAGTTCAACCCCTAACCCCAACATAGAAAAAGTTCAACCCCTAACCCCAACACGGGTATAGTTTTACACCTAACCCCAACACGCGTACCGCTCTACCCATAACCCAAACATGGGTATAGATTTAACCCTAACATGGGTACAGCTCTAACCCCAACATGTGAATGGCTCTACCCTAACCCCAATGCTGGTACCGCTCTATCTCTAACCCCACAATAGGTACAGCGTTACCCTTAACTCTAACGTGGGTACAGCTCTTCCCCTAACTTGTGAATAGCTATGACCGCAATGCGGGTACCGCTCTAACCACAACGACATACAACCGGGGAGTCGAACTTCACCGTCAGTCGCTGCTACCGCTGCGAGGCGCGCAGTGCCCAGGGGCAGTGGTGACCGGAGCCGCGCGTGGAAAGTTCAACTCCGATGCGCAGAGCCGACCGCGTGCGGCGGCTGTCGCGTGGCCACCAATGTCTGAGCTGCCAACGACCAATCAGCCCGGGTGCTCGACGAGGGCCGATAAAGTGAAGCCGCTGTGCTGGAGTGTAACTGAGTGGGACTAACAGCCCCGCCTCCCCCCCCCCCCCCCACCTTTTTCATTCCACCCCCCACCCTGCCCCCCTCTCACTCCGCCTCCCCCCTCTCTGACCCCCCCCCCCCCACCGTGTCCCCGTCCTATTCTGTTGACGAGGCAATCGGTGATGATTTCTGTGACTTGAGTTTCAAGGAATTTACTCATTGCTATATCTACGGCTGCATTTGGTTGTGAGAATTGTTCTTCAACTTATTGGTGAACTGGTACCATAATCCCTTCATAGAAAATACGATGTGAATAATATGCGAGGTTTCGGGTAACGGCCCTTCTTCATGGTACATACAAATAATTATGCTTCTGCACCACTGCCAACGCATCACCCAAGAATGTGAATACTAAATGAGAGCGTTAAACGCGTGTAGCGCGTGGCAAGTTAAACGCGTGTAGCACGTGCCAATCTAAACGCGTGGAGCACGTGGCAATGTAAACGCGTGTAGCACGTGGCAATTTCAACGCGTGTAGCACGTGGCAATGTAAACACGTGGAGCACGTGGCAATTTCAACGCGTGTACCACGTGGCAATTTCAACGCGTGTAACACGTGGCAATTTAAACGCGTGTACCAAGTGGTAATTTATTTGTCGGTTGGTCGGGTGGTGGAGGGTTCTTAAAGTCACACATGTGTTCAGATCATTACGTGGCCTCATCCAAATTTTTAATTATTCATCGGAAATCGACCAGCGAATTTAATCGGCCAAGAGAAATCAAAGATAAGCAAATCAAATAAATAATTAATCGGATAATTACGTCAACAAATTGAGATATTTCAAGTCACAATACAGTTCATACCTTTTATTAGCGAATTCAGATCCTTCAAACAGATCATGTACAAACAGGTGATCAGTAAATTCTAAAGTCAGTGATATCCATGCATCAGAGACCAGTCGAATACTTCATACATATCAGATGTTGCATTTCAGCCAAACTTAACTGAATCAAATACAGTACTGTGCATTCTATATTTGAAGTTTTCGTGACTGCAAGGATTCATACTCTTTGGTTTTTCGGTAAAGTCACGTAGGTAAAACATAAAAATAAATTCAATCACGTGGTTTCGGGCGCAACACACACTTAAGCGGTGTGCTTTCTCTAAGTTGTCCCCACCTGAAGAAGGACGCTTGTGTTGCGCCCGAAACGTCGTGATTTAATTTATTTTAATTTTTTACCTACGTGACTTTACCGAAAAAATCAAAGATTACAGTACTGTGCAGTGCTTCAATCAGAAACGCACCGAACTTGTGTGTGCGTGTAGCGGTTAGCGTGCTGCGCTACGAACCCGGCGTCCCAAGTTCAATTCCCGCTCACGGTCACACCAGTCCTGGGCCTCCTCTAGGTCGACTCAGCCTCAAATTAGTACCTGGTGCGGTTTCTAAACATCGCCACTAGTGGTGCTGGCCGCTCGCCCACTTGCTCGTGTGCCGTGCCGGCCTTCATAGGTGCTCGCAAACAGCACTTGCCCCAGCAGTCTGTTAAGGCTACACGGGGGATCTTTGTCTTTGTGTGTTATTGTTCGTAGGGGGTCACCGTGTCCCTTGAGTGCGTGTGGTTTGTACGAGCGGAATGCACTGGAGACTTATTCCCGATTGTCGCAATTTACACCTCGGAATTTCTGGCCGTGGTACAGATGCAACATTCATTTCGGACGACTCCGAATATATGACGTCACGGGGTGGAAAAATGACATCACTTGGATCAAATGACACGAATAATCCGCGTCGTTGTGGAGTCTATTAATGGCTAAATTAATTAAGCAATGCGTCTCCCTCACTCACGTATCCGTCTATCCACGTTGATAAGTAAAATTCAGATTTAATTTTGAATGTCCCCGGATATTGCGTCGACTATTGCCGATTTATTTTGATCACTCACATCACGTGTCACGTGGTGTCGAGCGACGTCACTTTTGTTCGCACGAAGTCGCGCAAAGCGACCACACGTGGATAGTGATGTGCTGAGTGAGTGAGTGGGGTGTACAGTGATGATTGCGGTGAGTTGTGAGTGCCTGAGTGTTATGGTGAATGAGTGGTATGTTGAGTGGTGAGCGTGGTGATTGAGTGATGATTGAGTGAGTGGTGTGTATGGTGATTGGGTGGCATGGTGAATGCGCGGTATGGTGAGTGGTGTGTATGGTGAGTAGTGTGTGTTGGAGGGAGTCGCCCTCCAGCAACAACGGAGGGCAGAGGAGCGACGCTCACAACAACGAGCTGAGCGCTGGGCGGATAAAACAGCAAGTTGGCATAGTAGTGTGCACAGGTGGTGAATCTGCCAGTCGTCTCAGTCAGTCAACCCATGGCACCTGGGTCTGCCCCCACACCTACTGATACTCCCGATATTGATAACAAAGAGAGACATATCACAGATATCACATGTACTCATATCACAGAAGACACATCTGTCACACCCAGTGATATCAGCGACACGACATATGCCGTTGACACTCGCCACAGAAGATACTGGAGAGACGGGGAGAGTCGGGGCTGTGTCGCCCTCTCCTGGCGAGATGGAGAAGCTGCGGCTCACGAAAGGCTCCACGCTCCGTCGCGGACACAAAGCGACCCCATACATCAGAATAGAGGTCTTTTTGGGGTAGATCGCGTAAATGTGTCGTTAAAACCGCCACCACCCGACACAGACAACTAGTAAGGGTTGTCACGTAAACAGAACGTGGCCAATTCGTCACTAGTACAGCACACCGGTGTGTTGGAGAGCCAAGCCACAACAGTAATTACAACTAGCTTCATCAGCGGACAGCCAGATTTGTGGAAACCGTTTGTGGAGAAATCCTATTTTGGAACAGAAGGATTTCTCCACAAATCACCAGCCCACAGGGGATTATTGTGTCCGTCCGTCGTGCAGGGAGGGGCTGGGTGGGGAGGTAGGGGCTGGGTGGGGGGTGGGAGGGGTGGGGCTGGGTGGGGAGGGGCTGGTCACCCCGTGGTGCCCTTATAAAACTCAACGTTTAACCTACTCACGCCGGCTTGTGCCCGCCCTCACAGTCGGGCATATTTGCAGAATACACCACGCCGCCGTTGACCCTGCAGGCCATTGACCGAGCAACCCAACGTTCCTACCAGCTCCCTCCGCAGGAGGAATGTGTTCATTAGGAGCAGGAAACCGTGGAAATTGTGCGGTAAAAAGGGTGGCGAATATATGTACGTTCAATCGACACTTGCGCCTCACCAATGTCGCGTGACGTCATACCACCTCGCGCGTCTCTTGACGTCATCACTCCCTGTCGCCCACCTCACCAATGTCGCGTGACGTCATACCACCTCGCGCGTCTCTTGACGTCATTACTCCCTGTCGCCCACCTCACCAATGTCGCGTGACGTCATACCACCTCGCGCGTCTCTTGACGTCATCACTCCCTGTCGCCCACCTCACCAATGTCGCGTGACGTCATACCACCTCGCGCGTCTCTTGACGTCATCACTCCCTGTCGCCCACCTCACCAATGTCGCGTGACGTCATACCACCTCGCGCGTCTCTTGACGTCATCACTCCCTGTCGCCCACCTCACCCGTGTCGCGTGACGTACGTCGACCACTCTGCTCACCGCCCCCTGCCTCTGGGGCGCGTCACCCCCTCTCCTCACCAAAAATGAACCTCGATCCGGCGTGACGTCATCACCTCCTCATCTCACCAGTGTCGCGTGACGTCATCGCCTCTCCAGCTTCTTGTGTCCCGTGACGTCATTTTCTCCCCATTACCGACAATATTGCGTGACGTCAGTGCTGCTCTCCCCAACAGCCCGGTGTCTCTGAGGTCATCAGCCTCTCACCCCCCCCCCCCCTAGCCCCTCCCCCTCCACCCCCTCCCTCCCCACTCCCCACCCGGTCAAAGCTGTCACGAATTCCTCTCTTCCTGTGTGTCCCCGGTACGTTACAGACAGACAAACAATTATATTATTATAAAATAGATTATTATTAAACAGACGAGGATGAAACCTGTTCATGCCCTAATCCTCCTGTACTCGGAGCGCTCAGAGAGAACATTCTGCCTTTTTTAGGTATTCATAGCATGTCGAGATAATATGGAGGATTTTCTTTCATATTCTTTCATATTTACTGAATATTCTTGCGAAATACTTACATTAATAGGAGCACACATTGACGAGCGCGGTTTTAAATGAGCCGTGTCTCTCTTCCGTATTTGTTACTCCCACCTCTTGGGTATCTCTGATTATGATCATGAAATATCATGAAATATCATGAAATGTCTTCCGAGCGTATTCCGCCGTTTCAGCTCAACTGATTGTGTGCTCCACGGGAAGTCCCGTGTAGCCAGTTACCCAGCTAGCTTCGGTGGCAACGGCCCGCAGGAGCCACAAACAACAGAGTTAATTCATATTCTTTGGGTCTTTCGGTAAAGTTACGTAGATAGAAAAAATAATACCAACATTTTTATAAATTAATAAAAAATAATAATAAATATCACGACATACTCTTTGGGTCACGTAGGTGACTCCCACCTGAAAACGATTGCTTGTGCGGCGATCGAAACGTCGTGATCTCTTGTTTTTATCTACCTACGTGACGTTACCGAATAAACCAAAGAGTATGGATTCCTGGATTTCCTGCTGTCACGAAAGCTTCAAATCAAAATATCGTGACGTTTCGATCCCTGACTGTTTGCTGAGTCAGCCGGGGGAACTCGAGACGTCGATGATTTTTAACAGCACTATGGGGCCATCCCTTGGGGGTGGAAACACCACAATCGCACAACTGCGGCTTGCCTTTTCATTCACCGTTCATGAAGGTGTTGCTCATCGGCCTGCTCGCTGTCGAATGTTCTGATGCCCTTGATGGTCACTCCCGTGTCTTGGAAGGGAGGATGAATGTCAAAGCTTGGAGGTTGGTGCAAAGATGTTTTGGATCTCGAATGATGAGGCATTCTGCTCAGTTCGCCAGCAGCGTTCTTCCCGGACCCGGGCGAGGCTGATGCGTAGCTCATCTTCTTGGTGCTTTCGGTAAAGTCACGTAGAATGGAAATAATAAAATAATAACAATAAAACATAATAAAATATTTCTCACGACGTTTCGGCCACAACGCAAGCAGCCGTCCTCAGGTGGAGAACAGGTCTGTCGAGAAGACAGCGTCTGAAAAATTGATGCGTAGCTATCAACCCATATTGTTTATCCGTGTCCTTGTGCAGGGACATTGAGTTTCCAGGTCCATACGGCGTACAGCCGTTTCGATAAGAGCAAAAACAAATAGTTTTGTCTATTTGTGTTTCTCCCTTGTGATTGGGATCTTTGTAGGATGAACGTTGAGATTTTTAAGGGGCACGGGGTGACCAATGAGGTCTGAATTGGTCTGTAATAAGGTCGGCACTGATAAGGTGTTGATTGGTATGCTAATTAGTATTGTTGAACTGTGTACAAAATAATAGCGTAAATATGGGAGCTTACGCGTGCGTTTTATTGGGGTGAGGGGGTGAGGCGTCGTTCTGTAGCAATCAAGGGGAACACGTGCCCGTGCCCTTACCTGCTGCTATGCCCTGCTCTAAATTATAAATTATGTTAATTTGTCAGGCCCAAATAAGGACCGATAGGTCGTGGCTTTGCCCAAATAATGTTTTTTTTTTTAAGGGAGGTGTTCCGAGTTGGAGAAATATAGGAATACTGGAACGGGAATCGTCAGACACGATACTGCTTTTTCTGAGCAGCAACACGATCCAAAGCTCGATCACAGCTCGATCACACATGTACCGGGACGAAATGACACGAATTTATGCCGAGTATTAATGCAGTAGTAGTCTTACAGCGCTTCCGAGTTGGTGTATGCAGTGCCGCATTATCCGAGTAGCAAAAGTAGCTACATATGCTACGGGTCCCGCACTTTCAAGGGCCCCGTGCCAAATGCTTTCAAGCTATGAATTCCGGTTGAGTGATTCTGCACTTGCTCTATTACTGTAGTACTATACTGCCTTGAACTTTTATGAACGACTGGGTGTTTAAGGTTAACGATTTGTCGTATTATCTTGCTGTATAGCAAATGAAAAAATACAATTACTTTACTATACAAGTAAAAAAATGTTTTAATATTTACGTGTTTATGTATTTAGTAATGGCCCCTTTATAACATATGCTACAAGCCCCGCACCAGCTTAATAGGGCACTGTTTCTATGCGACTAATGACCAATGCAACCGACACATCCCCTCTTCCCGCTCTCCCAGTGCGCCCTGACCAACCCTTTATGTCACCACGGCTCACCAGTCTCGATTGTCCCTTGACCGTGACCCGATGGCGATGTCTGCTGTAGGATGGACTTTCAAACATCGTCGTCAATTCACGATTCGCACACCAATCACAGAGGCGCGGGGTCCGGTCAACACGGCATTGTTGTCTTTTATTGAACCAGGTGACAACTGCGGATTCATCATCACCGACAGGTTGTTTTTTCTTAAATAATGTCCCCCAATTCAACGCCGGGGTATAAACCCCCTATTAGACGGCTCTTTTACTTGAGATTCCACCAACACGGGTTGAATTCCCGTCGTTCAGAGAGACATTCGCCTTTTGAAATGCGCCCGCAAGTTCACATGCTCTGACGAGTGAATCGTTCATTCTGGACATTGTGCAGCCTCTGTAACCGCCCGCTAGACTTGCAGTCATTCAAATGCATGCCACTGCTGGTAAAAATGTGTTTAGGTTACACACACACGTAATATATTTTTGCAAAGTTATCTTCAGCGGAGTGTCTTTCCCCCCCCCCCCCACCTCCGCCTCTCTTTGTTCGTCCGAGGCTGACAAGATGCTGCCGAACGCAGCCCACGTGGCGCTGCAAGGTGTGATTGACAGGAATAACATTTACACTTGCCATGCTTTGGCCTCACACTGCACCGTCTCCTGGGCGTCACGTTTACCTTTTGTTGCGTGTGTAAAACGTGTTCGCGTTGTCTGTGCACAGCATGTAAATGTACATCCACTCGCGCGTGCCTAGTGGTTAGCGCACTGCGCCATGGAATCCTGCGACCCGAGTTCATCTTCCACCAATAACAGTGGCGAATATCTGAACCGGTCCTGGACCTCACCTAGGTCGACTTAGCCTTAAATGAGTACGTGGTGCGGTGCGTAAACGTCAGCACTGGATAGGCGCAAGGAGGCCGGGCGTGGTCCTGGCCACCCAACAACCCTGGTGCGTCGTTAGGGGCCATCCATTTAGTAGGTACACAAACATCTGTCAAAACTTGACCCCTACACCCCTCCCTGTACGCACGCGGACTTTTTACACCCCCCCCCCCCACCTGCGTACGTACGCCTGACGCACCCCCCCCCCCCCCCCCGAATCCTATAGAACGGCCGATATTGAATCCACGCAGAAACGATCAAGGATTAAGAATATTAACGTGTTTAAGCAAACATAGTCCACCGCCGGCTGCATTATTATCGAGGCTTCACCCCCCCCCCCCACCCCGCGTACGCACATTGTCAGTAGAGCCCCCATACGCAGGCGTACGCATTTGGGTTAACCCCCCTCCATGCGTACGTATTAAATGGATGGACCCTGAGTTACTCGCCAACAGCATGTGCCCCAAAAGCTAAAAGCTATACCGGGGGCTAGTTGTCTTCTTTGTATGTGCAAGTATTTACGTCCGAATGTGTGTGTGTGTATGTGTGCATGAGTGCTTGTGCGCTTAGTGTACATGCCTGGGTGTGTATACCTATGCGTGTAGTTTTGTGCAGCTGGTTGTGTAAGTGACCCTGGCAGACGTTGTCACGGGACGTGTCGGTGCGAAGTGAGACCCAGAGTCCTGAACCCAGGAAAACTCCGGGGACGGATGACCTCCCAAAGAAAACTGCAGATGGATGGTGGCGACTGTGTGCAGGCAACCTGACATCGTGTCTATAGTTGATCGCATTTTAAACCATTATTTAGTGTTTTCGTTTGAGTGTGGTTTGTGTTTACTATTGTTAAAACGACCACAAACCCCCCCCCAAAAAATACGTACATCTATGTTCCAGATACTGGGGCTACCAGATGTCCCAATATCCGATGAGAAAATATGAATTGTGAATTCCACACTCGTCTTCACGTCTGTGTGTGTATGTAGTCGAATCCACACTGAAATGGGGCTATCTGGGCCAAAACCACCACGATACTCAATGCGTAGCCATATATATATAGACATCGTCAAAAAAGCTTGAGAACGTGATATCAAAACATATGCACGACTTGTGTAAATGTTTACAATCCCCTGCTAATGCATTGTCTGCCCGACCTTCGCAGATAAACAAGGCCTGCAAGCAAGCCTGCCACTCAGCTCGATGCACATATTTGGGTTTTCCGTTCTCAAGGTTTTTGACCGCCGACAACCCGCCGATCACAAAACAACACGTGGAGTCACCCCCCTCCCCCAACCCTCCCCCGTCTTGCGCTCCGGCGGTGCCAGTGGGCACCGCGTGGCACGTTCACGTGGCGGCTCAAATCCCGACGCCGCCGCCTTGATCCACGTGGCTCCGCTTGTTCTCACGGCGCTTGCGCTGAAGAAGCTGAAATCCCCCACCGTCCGGTTGGGGGTGGTGGGGCGGGAGGGTAGCGATGGGAGAGTAAAGTAAAATGCCGTTTTCTCAGAAGCCTCCAGGCCACGTGGCCCGGGCCGCCGCCCTTGACATCACGCGGCGGTTCAGCAACGGAGAGATCGGGCCGAGTAGCGTGGCAGAAGTTGTCTGCCGAATGTCGCCGACCCCGCTGCTTGGCTCGCCGTCACAAACGGGCAACGGCCCCCCGAGACGGCAGGGTCGCGCGCACGCCGACAGGCGGCACAGGCAGCGACGTCAAGACGTAGGTGGAAGGCACCTGCAGCAGCAGCAGTCCTCCCAGGCAGACGCATGCCCACCCCCCCGCGGAGTACTGCGGTCGGTAAAGTGTAGTGGTTTAGTCGCGTATACTTCGCAAGTGTTCCAGTGTGTCTCCTACAGGCGTTACACGGGAAGCCATGCGCTCCGCCGTCACGCAGGGTCGCGTTTGCCCTCGTTCGGCGGCGATTTGGGTTAACGAGGGCCGGGAGTGGCCTCGCCCGGGGGAACCCTGCGTCCGACCTCGGGTGCCGGGCATCGGCGCGGCGATCGGCGGTCGAGGTCGCTCGGGGGTGGGCGCGGGGGGAAGGGGTCGCGCAGCGAAGACGAGGACGGGAGGAGAGGTTTCGATGATGCAAACGAGGCTTTCAGAAGCAACTCTGTCACAGCACGGCCACGCACGCACGCCGCTCACGCCAACAGCACTTGGACGTTTCGTGTAAAAAATAAAACTTAAGCTGCACTTTTGAAAAACGTGACCGTGAGGAAAACCGTAACGACCGCTTGTGCATTTGTGCGTGTGCGCACGCACGAGTACGCGCACACATTAAAGGCAGCCTTTATAAACGACGCACGCTTTGTTGGTCGGATATCCAGGTAGCGATTTACTTTCCCATTTCGTCCCCTTTAAATAAAGCGTGGATGCATAAACAAACGGCAGCACGAGCACGCCCAAGCACACGCGCAGTCCGCGGCGCGCCGGGCCGGGTGGGCCCGAGCGCCGCTCCCCAAACGCAATGGCGAGGCGCCGACCGCCAGCAAACTCACGCTCACCACCGCCGCCGCCGCCGCCATCGCCGTCTTGAGAACAACGAAAAACCGCACGGGCACGGGGGCGGGAGTCGCGTCGAGCGGTCAAACTCCCGACATCGACGCGGTGGTTGGTCGTTGTGGGGGTGGTTGGTCGTGTTGTCGCATCGACCTCTTGTCAGGACATTTTTTTTGGGTTGCCCCCAACAGCCCCACCCAACGCCCGCCACCCCCGTCCCGCGGCTCGGAACGTCACTCGACGATGACGCAGCGCGGCAGCCGCTGGTTCAGGTAGCGGAAGAGCTCCTGCGACGCGCCGGGGCAGTTGGTGAGCTCCAGCTCCTCGAGCGAGGCCAGGCGAGCCAGGCCCGACAGGCCGGCCATGGTGAGCAGGGGGCAGCCTGGCACACCGCACGTCCCACACACCGCACACACCGCACGACGCACACACCGCACACACCGCATGACGCACACACCGCCACCGCCACGACGCGCACCGCTCACGCAGGCGCCACAGAAAAGTCGCAGCGGGCACCCCGAGCACCGCAGCGCTCGCTCGCTCGTGCGTGCGCTGTGCGCTGGCGTCGGTTTGTAAGCGAGGGTTGCGGTGATGCCCCAGCTCGACATTTGCTCGAAATTGTTTTGATATAAAAATGCAATTTACAAATTGTCACTTTTTTTTTTACTCCGAAAGTTCAAGAAACAACTTTTAAATAGTGGCGGATGTAAGTCGTATCCTTAAATAGTTTTGGCATTTTTCGTTGATTCGAGGGGGACAAGGGGAGCAGCAATCAGAGGTGCTCCTAGTCAATCATAAACTACTATTTGAAGACTATTTGCATATGGTCCACCCTATACAACAGACTGCTACCTCCCACCAACACACACACTCCCCCACCACCCCCACCGTTTGGGTTGTTACGCTATTATAAATATAAAACAATATTTTTATATTTATATTATTTTATTATTTCCTTCTACGTGACTTTACCGAAAGAACCAAGAATATGAATCCCTGCGGTCACGAAAGCTTTAAATCAAAATGTTACGCTATTCTCGATATATCTCTCATCGCATCCAGACTTCAGCATCCATTCATCAGCAAAGAATCAAATTCGGTTAAATTTAAGTGACGATCATCAATCCACTGCCTTCCCACGCCGTGTCAATCATGGGAGCTGTTTCACCATTCCAAGCTGGTCGTTGCTCGTTGGTTGAATGGGTGGGAGCCGGACGAGATGAGATCACGAGCTACTGTTCTATTAGCGCACCCCCCCAACTCACCGCAGCCCCGCCACGGAAACAACGGCGGCTCACCTGCCAACGAGAGGACCCGGAGGCTCCGCATTCCGTACAAGTGCTGCAGCCCGAAATCCTGGATCTGGGGAAACAAAACGGAGAAAATAACCGCTCCGCAGGGATCGACAATCACACCGTGGCGATGCGGACCTGTGCCTCGTCTGTTTTGGAACCCGAATCGTCCATTCCTGGGCCGTTATTTTCCTTGGGCCATTTCTGGGCCATTTCCCGGACCGTTTTCAGTGGTCTGGAGGAAACGGAGCATTAGTGAGGCTCATCTCTAATCCCTCATCTCCCCGCATCCAAATCTCCGGATGATGAAAAGAAGCGTGCCGCTCACACTCGCGCGCATAAATTGGACCCAGAGCCTCGAATCCTCGACGGGCTCGCAGAGCGATCCCAGGCCAACGCCAAGGGATCATCACACTCACCGTGGACCAGAGGTCGCAAACGGGTTTTTATTCCTTACCCGTACCCGGCCGCACCAGGGTCGCAAACGGGAAACCGTACCCGGCCGTACCCGTACCTTACCCGTACCCAGCTGGGTATGGGTAGGGTACGGGTATCGGGTACCTGATTGCGACCTCTGGGATGAAGCCATGTTGCAGGCGTGAGTAGGTTGATTCTAGGAACTTGAATTGTGAGAAGAGACAATACGTTGGGAAATGAGTGACAAACAGTTACTCACCAGTGACTCACGGTCTACCCGTACCCGTACCCGGCCGCACCAGGGTCGCAAACGGGTACCCGTACCCGGCCGGATACGGGTAGCCGGGTATCGGGTAGGGTACGGGTATCGGGTACCCAGTTGCGACCTCTGCCGTGGACTCTCCGCTGCCCACCTCGCCCCTCTCACATCACTCTACTCCCCCCTCCTCCGAACCTTCCACTCCAGCCATCGCCGACTTCTGTCCGAGCCCCTGAGTTGAGCCATCACTTCGTGGGAGGTCACTCATTTTAACACGTAGTCGTAGTAGGCTTTCGCAAACAATATCATCCATAATGCAGGGTTTTTGTTGGGGTTAGGTCGCGTAAATAAATGTGTCGTTAAACCCGCCACTACCCGACACAGCCAATTAGTAAGGTTTGTCACGTAAACAGAACGTGCACACCGGCGTGTTGGAGAGCTCCATTTATATATTTACACGATCTAACCCAAAAAAAAACCTGTTTTATGGAGGTCACTCATTATCCGATTATCCCATGAATCAAGAGGGGATGGTCGGTATTATCTGGGGTTGCATATGGCACTAGTATTCACCGTTTACAGAAAGCTTTGCATATATATACACTGTTTGTTTAACATACTCACTTGTGTATTTTATTTTTATGTTCTGTTATTCCCTCCTTTTTGCTCGTGACAAGCTACCCCGATGACCTTGCCACGGGGCATATTTGTAAGCTAGATATGACGTTCTTCGAGAAGACAACTGCAAGCAATCGCCAGCCTCGGCGGTAGCGATAAGCCAGGTTTTGGACTCGGACTGCAGGCTGCCCCCATCGTCTGGAACTGCCTTCCCACAGCCCTCCGTGCTGTCAACTCCAGACTCAAGGCCGTCCTTCCCACCCTCTGCCTTTGACTCCGTCCCAATAAATAAAACACGCCCACTGTTTCTGTACAGCGCTTTGAGATATGTTTGCGTGCAGGTCCCACGTAAATCCTCCGATCAGCACGGTTGGCTGTGTACGGTGCAAAAGAAGTTATCCACATTGTGAGCGTACTGTCGGGCATCGGTGTTACAGAGTGAGGGCAGTGGCGTGACCAGCAGGCTCCCACCTGGCAGCACCAGCGCAGGTTGAGGGAGCGCAGAGAGGGCATGGTGGACAGGTATCCCAGGCCAAGGTCAGTCACGCGGACACACCTGTAGGGGGGAGGGAGGCGGGGTGATAAGGGGGGGGGGCAGTGAAACCCATGTCACCGAGCGATGCGAGTGGGGTGAGTGACAACTGCCATGGCCACAACCACCACCACAAGTACAATTACAACCACCACCCATGGCAATAACTACCACCACGGTTACAACCACAGCTACAACCACCTCCACAGCTACCACCACCACCACAGCTACCACCAGCAGCAGCACCACAAGGTGATCTGCAAGCCTCCAACCTGCATTCTCCGCTCCTTCCTCATCACAGCTTCTCGAGTTAATCTCAAGACGTCGGTTTGCACTGCTGGTACCAAACGCACGGGCACGTGTTCTATCGGGTACCAGGGTAAACTAAAACTATAACCTTTTTTTTTATTTTACCAAGTAAATCCCAATGAGCTGTGCAGCTCTTTTTCAGAAGTGACCTGGTCACAAATGATAGCTCAACGAAGCGACCTATCGTCACGTCGAAATATGTTGCAGCCAAATACTCTAAACGCGTGGTGTTCATTCCGAACACTCTCTGGTTCTTTCGGTAAAGTCACGTAGATAGAAAAATAATAAAAGAAAACACGACGTTTCGGTCGCAACACAAGCGGCCGTCTTCAGGTGAGAAAAAAGAGAGTATGGACTCCTGCAGTCACGAAAGCTTAAAATCAAGATTGATTCTGAATGTTGAGGGAAAAGCCGGAGGACCCCGAGAAAAATCCACGCGACCACAGGGGAGAGAGAGAGAGAGACACGCAGACTCCAAACATACAGCGTGCGTCAAGGTCGGGATTGAGCCCACGACCTCCTGCATACCAGGCGAGGCAGTTAATATCTCACCACCGCGGTCCCTGGGCACCACGCGCCGGCGGCAGCTGCCACGTCTGCTGCGAACGCGGTGATGAGACCAGCGGCCCGCACGCGTTTTTTTTTTGTTTCCATAAAGAGAGTTAATTTTCTCTATGCAACGCTTTCGCGAGGTCGTTGCCGTGGCGATCCTCATTAGGAGTAAGGAAGCTTTTGAAATTGTTAAACGGGCTGCGGAGGACGGAGTGAGGTGGCGGGGAGAGAGAAGACAAAAGTGAAAGAAAGGAAAAATATAATTTAGCGGCTCATGAAAATTGCATGTTGTAACCATGGCAACCGCCATTAAGAGAGAACTCGGGGATGAGAGCGGAGGGAGGGAGCTTTGGGCTCTTAAATAAGGAGGGCAACACAGGGGAAAAGTGGATCTGCACACGCACGCACACACACGACGTACATACACTAACACAAATATGTACCGTGCATACATACACATGGAGTGACGTATATTGGGTCACTACGGTGCAGAGCGCCAGTTACTTACAGAGAGGAGAACTGGAGCGTGAGTAGCCCTCTCTGCCAGCAGGGTGTGCCGTGCCATGGTCAATGGTCCCTAAGGAGCATGTTTCTAGCGGCGGCCAGGGAGCATGTGAGGACGTAGCAGCCCGATTGGCTGACAAGGGCACGTGACAGGACAGGGTAGGGATGTGGGCCAAAGGTGACAGAAGGGACACGTGATGTAAGGCCCAGAGTCTTCTAGGGAGTTCTAGAAGAGGGCGTGGCCGAGGCGGAGCCGGGTCACGCTGAGGGGCATAAAAGGGAGGTCCCGATGTCCGAACCGGGCTGTCTTCTGGAATGGAACCCGACATGCGACCTCTCTTCGGTCGTCACGCTCGGCATCGTGGGTCAGGCATTGCGTTAACTGACCTGACCCGGTTATGTAGTTACCCCGTGGTGGTTACCGCTATATAGTTACCCCGTTGTGGTCATAGAATAAATGTGTTGCCTCCACAGTCAAGGGTGTCTCACGCGTGAACCCACGACACGTACATAAAAACACACGCATGCATGCCCCCCCCCCCCCATGCACGTAAACTTGCGAAAAACACACGAGCAATCTACATTCCTCTCACGTAAAAAGACTCGACTCACAACACCAGTTGGGGGTGTTAAGCACATGGGCAATTTACATTTAAAAACAAATTAAAGACACGTGCAACCAACTTACTCAAGAGCCGACAAGGATTCCCCGTAGAGCCTGCAAAGGCTGCTGGGAAAGTTCTACCAGCACGATGGCGAGCACCGTCGCCTGTGTCTACCCGACGCCAAGGTTTGCACGCCACACCTGATAGTAAGTTAAGGCTGAGCATACCTAGACGAGACCCAAGACGGGTTCAGATACTTGCTCGCTTCCGACGACATAGCCATGGCCAGGTTCGTAACCCTGTGCACCAAGCAGTACGCCGCTGCTCCCTTGGCCAATTCATATTCAAAGTGAGAATTTCCATCCCGAGCACATAGCGTATTTTTAGCAGAGCGCGCGCGCGTCATGCAGTCGAGGGTGCATGCATATTTGGGAGCGCGCGCGCTCAACAGACGGCGCAGCGTGCACTGGCGCCTCCGCTAATGAGGCACTCAAAGCTGGGTCATAGGTCACAGGATCACATGGCTGGGTCACACGGTTGGATCACAAGGCGCCGGGCCCTAGCTCGTGGCCGGTGGGCGATGTGCGGTGTGCGGTGTGCGGTGTGCGGTGTGCGGTGAGCGTTGTGCGGTGTGCGGTGAGCGTTGTGCGGTGAGCGGTGAGCGTTGTGCGGTGTGCGGTGAGCGTTGTGCGGTGAGCGGTGAGCGTTGTGCGGTGTGCGGTGAGCGTTGTGCGGTGTGCGGTGTGCGGTGTGCGGTGAGCGTTGTGCGGTGTGCGGTGTGCGGTGAGCGTTGTGCGGTGAGCGTTGTGCGGTGTGCGGTGTGCGGTGTGCGGTGAGCGTTGTGCGGTGTGCGGTGTGCTGTGAGCGGTGTGCTGTGTGCGGTGAGCGGTGTGCGGTGTGCGGTGTGCGGTGTGCGGTGAGCGGTGTGCGGTGTGCGGTGTGCTGTGAGCGGTGTGCTGTGTGCGGTGAGCGGTGTGCGGTGTGCGGTGTGCGGTGTGCGGTGTGCGATGGGCGGTGTGCTGTGAGCGGTGTGCGGTGAGCGGTGTGCGGTGTGCGGTGTGCGGTGTGCGGTGAGCGGTGTGCGGTGTGCGGTGTGCGGTGTGCGGTGAGCGGTGTGCGGTGTGCGGTGTGCGGTGTGCGGTGAGCGGTGAGCGATGAGCGGTGTGCGGTGTGCGGTGTGCGGTGTGCGGTGAGCGGTGTGCGGTGTGCGGTGTGCGGTGAGCGGTGTGCGGTGTGCGGTGTGCGATGGGCGGTGAGCGGTGTGCGGTGTGCGGTGTGCTGTGTGCGGTGTGCGGTGAGCGGTGAGCGATGAGCGGTGTGCGGTGTGCGGTGTGCGGTGAGCGGTGTGCGGTGTGCGGTGAGCGGTGTGCAGTGAGCGGTGTGCGGTGAGCGGTGAGCGGTGTGCGGTGAGCGGTGTGCAGTGAGTGGTGAGTGGTGAGCGGTGAGCAGTGAGCAGTGAGCAATGTGCGGCGTGCGGTGTGCGGTGTGCGGTGAGCGGTGAGCAGTGAGCAATGTGCGGTGAGCGGTGTGCGGTGTGCGGTGTGCGGTGTGTGGTGAGCGGTGTGCGGTGAGCGATGTGCGTTGTCGTTTGGGGCACCTGTCGAGCACGAGCTCCTGCAGGCGGTGCAGCTCGCAGGCGATGGCCTCGAGGGCGGCGTCGGTGATGCGCGGGCACCACGACAGGTCGAGCGCCAGCAGGCCGCTCCCGGCCGCGCCCGCCACGCCGGCCGGGGGGCACGCCACCACCATTTCGACGCCCTCGTCCGTCAGCTTGGAGCAGCCGGAGAGGCTGAGGTGCGTGAGCGCCGGCAAGCCTCGCGCCAGCGTGGCCACGCCCCGGTCCGTCACCTGCTCGCACGGGGAAGTGAGGATCGGTGCCGTGTGTGGGGGGGCGAGGGGTGGGGGCTAGTGGTGGGGGGGGGGCGAGGGGGGATGTGGGGGTCGAGGGGTGGGGGTAGCAGCGGCCGCCCCCTCCCCCCGCCCCCCGCGGTGGCTGTGGACACGAACCTCCCAGCAGGAGTGGAGGCGCAGGCAGCAGAGCTTGGGGAGGCCCGGCCGCGCCGTCAGGTACGCCAGGCCCACGTCCGTCACGTGGTACGCCTGCCGGGGAGACAGCGAGCCGTCACGCCCGCCGGCACCTCCCCCTTCCCGCTTGTCCCGTGCTGCTGCTGCTGCTGCTGCAGCTGCTGCTCCACGACGAAGCCAATTTCCGACTCGTTGCAAAAATGTGCTAAAATCCGCCGAGTGCTAAAACGGCATTTAATTTCGCTTTCATCCTTATTCATTTAAATTGAAACGGCAATCTCGATTGGATTGTGGACACACTTTCTTAGGGGGGGGGGGAGATGGACGTTGACAAAACAATGATGACGACGCGAGTCCATGGGAGTGGAAACAATGACTTCTGAACTTGGTGGGGGGCAAAATTGGCCTTGATGGGCCCCCCAAGGCCCCTCGTGCACCCCCCCCCCCGACCCCAACTTCAACGTCGTTCCCAAGCTTCTCAGCAGGACAGGCCCAAGACGGACGACAATGCACGAGGCGCCCTCTGCAGCGCACCCCGAGACAAATCCAAACCTCGACGCAACAACCACGAGCACTTTGGCAACGGCTTACTCCCTAAACCCGCCGCGTACCCCACCCTCCCCCACCCTCCCCCACTCGGCACGAGCAACGGGTCAGAGGGCGCCACCTGAAGGCTCAGCTCGCAGAGGTCGGGAAGGAGGCGCGCGATGGCGGCGAGGGCGTCGTCCGCCACGTTGATGCAGTCGCTGAGACCCAGCACCTGCAGGCGCCCGTTGAGGCTGGACCAGAGCCCGGCCTCCGTGAAGTCGTTGCAGCCGGACAGCTCGAGTTTCACGAGGCCCTGCATCTGCTCCAGCATCACCTGGACCGTCACCCGCCCACCCCGCCCCCCGCGGTGGCAAGATGTTAACTCCCTCGCCTTGTATGCAGGAGGTCGTGGGTTCGATCCTGACCCTGATGCCTGCTGCTGTATATTTGGAGGTTTGCGTGTCTCTCTCTCATCATCATCATCACGGTGGCTAAGAGATGTTAACTACCTCGCCTTGTATGCAGGAGGTCGTGGGTTCGATCCCAACCCTGACGCCTGCTGTATATTTGGAGTTTTCCTGTCTCTCTATCATCAGCACGGTGGGTAAGAGATGTTTACCTCACCTGGTATACAGCAGGTCGTGGGTTCGATCCCGACCCTGGCGCCTGCTGTATATTTTGAGGTTTGCGTGTCTCTCTCTCATCATCATTATCATGGTGGCTAAGAGATGTTAACTACATCGCTTGGTATACAGGAGATCGTAGGTACGATCCCGACCCTGACGCCTGCTGCTGTATATTTGGAGGTTTGCGTCTCTCTCCCCGTGGTCGCGTGGATTTTTCTCTGAGGTCCTCCGGTTTTTCCCTCCACATTGAGAATCAACATCACCGCATGTTTAAAGTATTTCGCTGCTACACATTTCCACGTGATAAGCCACTTCGTTGAGTTATCATTTGTGGCCAGGGCATTTCTGAAAAAGAGTTACGTAGCTTTACCTGGTAAAATAAAAAAGTTTAATTTCATAGTTTGTAGTTTGCCAACACCGTTCGTGGTGACCGTGATGATGTCACGGTGTTTATGGTGACAGTGATGACGCTGTGGTGTTGACGGTGACCGTGATGATGTCACAGTGTTGACAGTGAGAGTGATGATGTCACGGTGTTGACAGTGACAGTGATGATGTCACGGTGTTGATGGTTACCGTGATGATGTCACGGTGTTGATGGTGATCGTGATGATGTCACGGTGTTGATGGTTACCGTGATGATGTCACGGTGTTTATGGTTACCGTGATGATGTCACGGTGTTGATGGGGACAGTGATGATGTCACGGTGTCGACAGTGTTGACACTGCGGTGTTGACGAGGGCGCCTCACCTCCAGCCCCGCATCGGTGATGGTGGACCTCCGCAGCCCCATGGCGCGCACGCCGGCCTTCGCCAGCGGGTAGTTGTCGATAAACTCGCAGACGTCGAGGTCGGACACGCCGACGAGGCAGAACGAGTCGAACCCTCGCGCCGCGAAGCCCAGCAGACTCACAAACTCCTTGTCGCCGCTGCCGCCCGCTGCATGCGCGCACAAAACAAAGGCAAAGATCCCCCCGTGTAGCCTTAACAGACTGTAGGGGCAAGTGCTGTTAGCGAGCACCGATGAAGGCCGAACGGTACACGAGGGGGTGGGTGGCCAGCAGCACGCCCGACCGCCTTTGTCTCCCCAGTGGCGATGATTACACACCGCACCAGGTCCTCATTTGAGGCTGAGACGACCTAGGGGAGGCCCAGGACCTGTTCAGATAATCGTCACCGGTGTTGGCCGTGAGCGGGAATCGAACACGGGTCGCCGGGTTCGTAGCGCAGCACGCTAACCGCTGTGTGCGTGTGCATGTGCACGCGCACACACACACGCACACGGCACATGAAGGCGGAGGCACGGCGGGTCACAAGGCGCACCGCGAACGCGAAGCGACGGCTCGGGAGGTTTCTCTCGCCGCTCGTGGGATCTCCGGCGAGCTGCCCCACTTTGGGCGACGCGGCGTCGTTTGCTTTCGCCCGTTTGGTGCGACGTTGCCGTAGACTCCCTGCCATGCTTACTTTTTTGTTTCTTCCCGTAACAGAAGTGCGCTACGGCAACGCACGGAAAAGTTCGTCGTATTTTTTTCTCAATATCGAAGCTTCGCTCGTGCTGGACACACAGCCAAGGTGTAGTTAAAGCTAAGAGATGTCTGTTTTTTACCCACCCCAACATCTAACGCTCGAGTTCTATAATTTAAAATTATGAGAAGACTTGCATTTTACATAGCGTCATTCATGCTAACAGCATCCCACAATGCTGTACGTTAATTATATATGAGGACCAAATCCCATGTACAGCCACTGCCAAGCAAGTTAAAATCCTACTACTACTAAGCAAAATCTAAAATGAATACACAAATTAACAAATGGCACCAAAACAAAAAGCACAAACAACAACAAATTTATCATAAATCCCCCATGACCCTGTGCCAGTCAGTGACCCTGCGACCCTGTGCTCCATATCCCCATGCCTCCAGGTCAAGAAGCTCCCCACGTCCACAACAACTCCGTGCTCTCGTCCCATGTCCCCGTGCCTCCGGGTCCCCTGTCACCGCATCCCCGTGTCCCCCACCGCCCCCCACCAGCCGTCAAGGACGGACAAGCCGACGAGACGGAACAGCCAGACGCGCGCGGCGCTCCACGTACGTGCCGCCTCTCCGTTGCCGTTGGCCTCGAGGCTGCGGTAGAGCTCCGCGCAGTGCAGCACCGGCGTGACGCCCTCCCAGAGCCGTGGCTGGTACAGCGCCCGGCGCCAGGTGCGGCACACCTGCTCGCCGCAACCGACGCGCACGAGAGGCACCGGTGAGGTCGCCGGCCGCGGCCGTGGCGAACCGACGGGCGGCCGCGCGCCAACGTCGCGGTTGAAGGGGCGACAACGCGAGCGCGAGCAATCAGCCGTCGAGCAGAGCCCCCTAATGAAATGCACGCGTGGCCTGGCGAGGCGACCAATGCGCGAGACAGTCGGCCGCCACTCATCGGGTTGCTCATAAGGTTTGTCGAGAGTCGATCTGTAACTCGGTTACGAATGATCAGCGCACACGCGGCCCGTAAAAATTACATTACGTAACAAATGGATGGGACGGTGCTCAACATGAACGGTAGTGGGAGGGGGGGGGAAGGGGGAGGCTGTGTTGACAACAGTGTAAGGGCACTGACAGATGCTGGGCAGTGCAGGGGATGGAAGGGGTTCTTGGACTTGGCTCGCACCAGTGGGGAATGGGTGGGTGGGGGAGGGTGGTGCCGGCACCTGTGCCAGGACGCGGCGCTCGGCGATGGTGAAGTAGAGGAAGAGGCGCACCAGCACGCGGTGGTCGAGGAGGGCGTGCGTCTCGGCCCGGCCGCCGTGGCCCGCGCCGGTCGCAACCTCTTCCCCGTCCCAGGGCCCGTCGCCCATCCCTCCGCCGCCGCCGGCGCCCGCCGCGCCGCCGCCGGCACCGTCCGCCGCACCGCCCGGGGGCCCCGGCCAGGAGGCGCCGTGGCGCTCGGGCAGCGCCGCGCACATCACCGCCGCCGCGGCCGCAGGGGAGGACGTGGAGTCGTCGCAGCCCCTGGCGGGCGAGGACAGCGACAGCAGCGAGGAGGGGGAGGAGGGTGACGAGGAGGAGGTGGGGGAAAGGGACGACAGGGAGCACGAGGACACGGGGGGCGTCGGGGGCGCCAGCGACGACGAGGACGACGACGACGACGAGGAGAGCAGCGAAAGCGGCGGCGCCGCCGCCGCCGGGGACAGGGGGGACGAGGTCGGGGAGGACGATGGCGACGAGGAGGAGGAGGAGGAGGATGTGGAGACGCCCGTGGTGATGGACTGCGAGCAGCACGGGCGCGAGGCGCGTGTCACCGGCGTGCCCTTGGTGATGCTCGCTGCCGACGGAGCCCCCCCCGCGTCCTCGGCGGTGGCGGTGACGCCGTTGCTTTGCTTCGGACCCTCCAGCTGGACCGACGAGTGGCCCGGGTTGGCGCTCGACTTCTGCTGCTGCTGCTGCTGCTGCTGCTGCTGCTGCTGCTGCTGCTGCTGCTGCAGCTGCTGCTCAAGACTCTGCACCTGGGCCTGCACCAGGCCTTGGCTTTGGCTCGGAGTCTGGGGCTGCGCTTGGCCCTTTATCTCCGCCTGCGCGAGGCCGTGCGGGCGAGAGCCCTGGGGTTGCTCCAGACCCTGTCCCCAAACCAAAGCGTGCACCTTTGCCGCGGGCTCGCCGCTCGCCGGCAGGAGCGGCGCTTTGTCGGCCGCGCGCACCTGACTCGGAAGAGGATCTTGCGTCTGAGCCTGCTGGGCAGGCCCGAGCGTCTGACCCAGTCGGGACCGGCCCTGTGCCGCGTTCCGGCTCTGGTCTTTGGCCTTGCCGTGTGCCGCGGGCTGCGCCTCAACGTGCGAGTGACCCTGCGGCGACGGGCCCTGCGCGGGGGCCTCACTTTGGCTCTCGGTCTGCGCGGGCGTCTGCGGGGACGGTGGCGCCGCCGCTGTCTGCTTTCCCTGCGTCTGTCCGTTCCCTTGCGTCGGCTGCGCTGGGATCGGCGGGGGCCCCGTGGGCTGCGGGGGCCCGATCCTCAGCAGCCCATTCCTCACGCCGACTCCGCTGCACGAGAGCTTGGCCTCCAGGTCCTCCTGCTCGAACATGGCGCGGCCGCCGCTCAGCGCTCACCTCTCACCTGCACGCGGAGCGGCGCGATTGCCAAGTCGAGTGGGGCGACGATGACGGACGGCCCTGGCGATTGTCAATAAAGAGCATTCAATCCCTCCGAGATTGTATTCCTACCCCAGCCCTATTCCCCAAATCTAATTCACATTCACAAATCCAATTTACATTTCAACACCATCAATTGCCACTGAATTGACTCCTGTAAGACACGACGTGGCGAAAATACTCCTTCCGCGAGACAAAGCACCCCATTTGCGCGCAGGGCAACTGGGGCGAAGGAAAGTAAACGCTGTTTAGGGCTTTAACGGGGGAAGGCAAGTAAATTGAAGACCCGACGACACTGGAATTACCTGGCTTCAGCTTGCGTAGAAGGCAACAGCGGACTGCGCTTAATCGCGCTGGGACAACACATTCCAGGTGCGGCTATTTCCTTCGCATGTGGAAAGTGGTAGAGCAGCCCTGGCCACTGTGAATGTCATGGGGTGCGAATCTGCACATCAGGTAACCGATCATTGCCCATTGTACGCTTGCACAGGAGGCACGATACATCAGGCAACTGCTGATGCCATCAAATGGATCGCCGGACTCATGGCGATCTGTCAGTTGCTTTTCAAGTGACGTACAAAAGAAAGACCAATGGGGGAGTCGAGAGGTCACTGGGCTGGTGGATTCCTGGGAGGTAGCAGGTTGTCCTGAAGACTCCAGTGAACACCAATAACAAAGATCGCCCGTATAGCCTGAACAGACTTTTGGCACAAGGGATTTTAGCGAGCACCTATGAAGGCTGGCACGGGATGAGTGGCCAGCTCCATGCCCGACCGCCTTTGTCTTTCCAGCGGTGATGGGATCACACAGACACACACACACGTGTTCAAACACACACAAGTGTTCACACAGACACACAGACACACAAGTGTTCACACAGCCACACACACAAGTGTTCATACAGATGCACACACACACACAAGTGTTCACACAGACACACACACGTGTTCACACAGACACACACACAAGTGTTCACACAGACGCACACACGCACAAGTGTTTACACAGACACACTGACACACATAAGTGTTCACACAGGCAAGGAACAGACCGGATAGCGTGTGCCTCTGATGGGTAAGACGTTCCTGATCTCCGAGTGCAAGTACCTCTGCACAACCGCGTCCAAGTAAAACCGCACGATCAGCCCCCGATAGCCGTACAGGCTGTCGAGGCTCGGTGCTGTTAGCGAGCAGCCATGAGAGCCGGCATGTCTCATGCCAGGCATACACAAATAAACACACATATGGGTACACACAAAGACAAAGATCCCCCGTATAGCCTGAACAGACTGTTGGGGCAATGTTTACACACCCACCAGGTACACATTTGTGGCTGAATCGACCTAGGGGAGGCCCAGGACCGCTTCAAATAATCGGCACCAGTGTTGGCTGTGAGCGGGAATCGAACTCGGCGCGTTAACCACTACACTACCGCTTCCCACACACACGCACATGCATACAAACACGCACAAGTACACACATGCACACATACATATACACATGGACAGACATGCACACACGGATGCATACTGGACATCTGTGAAGAAGAGCTTTATAGCTTATCGGATTCCTCCAGTATAAATAAATATTCAAATTCTGATGCTGACATACACACAACTACACCCGGGTACACACACATGCATATAAGCATACACATAGGAAGACATGTCGACATACATAAATACATCTTGGTACACAAAAACAAAGATTCCCCCATATAGCTTTAACAGACTATTGGGGCAAGCGCTGTTCGCGAGCACCTATGAAGGCCGTACCGGCACACGAGGGGATGGGTGGCCAGCAGCAGGCCCGACCGCCTTTGTCTCCCCAGTGGCAATGTTTTTTACACACTGCACCAGGTACTCATTTGAGGCTAAGTCGATCTAGAGAGGCCCATGACCGGTAATCGCCACTGGGAAACTCGGATCCCTGGGTTCGTAGCGCAGCGCGCTAACCGCTACACTACCGCTCCATCACAAACACACCCGGGTACACACACACACATTAAAACCATACACATAGGTAGCAGATATGCACACGCGCGTGACTACACACGAACGAACACACTCGGGTACTTGCACACGCATGTCGATGGTAGGGGATGCACGAGTCGTCTTGTAATCACACCGACGACGGTGCAGTGATGACCCGGCGTCTCGGCGTTGGGCCGGGTTTGGGGAGTAGCGTGGCCCAGGTGCCCCCCCCCCTCCACGCCCCCCGACCAATTCGCTAGGCCGGAGAGGGGGAGCGAGGCTCCGACAGCCCGGGCCCTGCTTAACAATCGCGCATTTTGTTTGTCACCAACCTCGCGAGAGAAAAGCCCCCGAGATTAAGAATCCCGCAGAGGCGAGTAGTAGTAAGGCCTACATTCAGGCCAAAGAGCCTGGCATGACTCTTCCACCATACGACGGCTCTTGTGGATATATAAATGACATGACGACAATACATAATTGTACGTGCGTGCGTGTATGGGTGCGTGCGTGCACACGACGAAACAAGACCGTGCGTTACCCGGGAGTGCTGCATGACGCACAGAGAGGACTGACGCACAGGGCAGCGCGCGACGCCGCTGCGCTGCCAATGGCGCGGACTTCAGCACCACGGACAGCGCCAGCTCTCCCCACACCCAACTCCTCCTCCTCCTCCGCCGCTGTTCCCTCTCAGCTCCTCTCCCCACGACTCCCCCACCCCGCACCCCCGTTCCACTCCCCACGGCTCCCCGCTCGTTCACTCCCCGACGAGCTGCCCTGCTCCCAAATCCCCTTCGCTCCTCTCGCCGCAGACAAAACCACAGTCGCAGCGCAGAGCCCCGCCTTACATCTCGACCTATCCTTTTTATCCCTGGGTCCCCTGATCTCCCGCTAGTTCCGGAGGGGATGGCGGGGGGGGGGTCAAGGGTCACTGGGCTCCACGATTCCGCGCTGCGCTCTGCACCGTCCGCGGCGAAGCTCGGACAGGAGGAGGAGGAACGGTGGGGAGAGATGCGGGGAGAGGCGGGATGCGACCGCCTCGATTGCTCCCTCTGGGGTCTCGGCCCAGATTATCCCGTATCGAGGCAGAAGGCAGACACAGAACGGGAGAGAGACTTGAGGGGGCAGAGGGGAAGAGACGACGGAGACGGTGGGTACAGACGACAGATTGGACAAGACGGAGGATATGGATAGGGGAGACTGGACATGCGGGTGGGGGAGATTGGGGGACCAGCCGGTCTTACTACTCCGTAGATAGCCCGTCCACTCTCCCCGAGAGAGAGAATGAATGAATGGGTGGGTGGGTTCCTACCCGAATTCGCCTCGACACGCGGGGAGGAGGAGGAGCGGGGCGGCTGGGCCGATGTGGGGCCAACTCCTCCGGTTCGCTCACAGGCGCCGCCGTCTAATGGCTTCACACAGCGTGCCCCGCGGGCGGGCGGGGAGACACACACACATTACACACACACACACATTACACACACACACATTACACACACACATTACATACACACACACATTACACACACACACATTACACACACACATTACACACACACACACTACACACATTACACACACACTACACACTACACACACACTACACACACACACATTACATACACACACACACATTACACACACACACATTACACACACACACACACACATTACATACACACACACACATTACACACACCACATTACACACACACACATTACACACACACATTACACACACACATACATTACACACATTACACACACATTATACACATTACACACACATTACACACATTACACACACACATACACACATTACACACACACATTACACACACACTACACACACATCACACTACACACACACTACACACACACTACACACACATCACACACACACTACACACACACTACACACACATCACACACACATTACACACACATTCACACATCACAGATTACACACACACACATCACACAGATTACACACACACATACACACATTACACATACACACTACACACATTACACACGCACTACGCACACATTACACACATCACATAGATTACACACATCACACACACACTACACACACACACTACACACATTACATATCACATATATTACACACATCACACACATTCCCATTACACATACACACATCACACACGAACACTCAACGTTTGTTAATATCATTGTGTGGCCTTTAAAGGACTATATAATAGACGTTTCGCGAAATGGCCCTTCTTCATGTCACACACACACGCGCGCGCTTACTTACACATGCATACACACGTACACTCACCGTCGTAAGAACGCTCGTCAACATGTACTGTACATTATTTACAAGCAACATGCACGCAACATGCTGCATGCAGCAGTGAATAAATGTGGAATGAACATTGACACGTTGACGAAGACACTCTTAGCAAGAACCTGTGAAGGCCGGCACGGCGCGCAAATGGAGGGGGTGGGTGGCCAGCACCACGCCCGGCCGCCTTTGTCTCCCCAGTGTTAATGTTTACACACCGACCAACGTACTCATTGAAGGCTGAGTCAACCTAGGAGAGAGCCTGTGATCGGTTCAAATATTCGCCGCTATTATTCGTTCGTGGGTGGGAATCAAACCGGGGTAGTCGGATTCGCAACGCAGTGCGCTAACCACCGCACCACCGCTCCCCCACAACATGGACAGAGACAGTCACGAACCCCCCCCCCCCACTTGATCCTTCCCCCTCCACCCCCGCCCCTCCGGCCCGTACCACCTCCACCCCAAGCCCCTCCCCCCCCCCGGCCCCTCCCCCCTCCACCTCCCTCCCCCCTCCACCCCGCCTCGTCCCACCCCCCGCCTCTTACCCCCTCCCCCCCGCCCCCTCCCCCACTCCACCCCGCCCCCTCCCCCCCTTCACCCCGCCCCCTCCACCCACTCCACCCCGCCCCCTCCCCCACTCACGCCCCGCCCCCTCCCCCCACTCCACCCCGCCCCCTCCCCCACTCCCCCCCGCCCCCCTCTGAACAATGAGCAGCAACAGACGCGGCCGTCTGTGGCTTGCGGCGCGCTCGAGGCAACGGCCGCCCCGTCCCCAGGGGGGTGGGTGGCTGTACGTGGGGGCAAGCCCCGGGGGGCAAGGGGGAGCACCGCCCCCCCCCCCCCGAGGGGACCCCCCGCGGACCCCCGCCGCTCCGAGACCCCCTCTCACCGGGGCTCGCGCCGCGCTCTCGAAAACCCCAGCGCAGACAAGGGCGCCATCGCCGGCGCCCGCGCTTCCGATTCGCTGCGACGGGGCTCCACGTGACGCCGGCGCGAGGCCAATGGGCGGGCGCGAGGCGGCGAGGCGGGTTTATGCGTGCTACGAAATTAAAAAAAAATCCGCCGGTGTGTGTGGGGGGTGGGGGGGGGGGCGGTGACGTCATGACCGGCGTTTGTGACGGTTGCGATGACGTCACGCGTTTTTTAAATGTGCCGTTCGCGATGACGTCACGCGTTTGTGACGGTCGCGGTGACGTCACGCAGTTGTGATTTAAAATATTAGGGTATTCAAATATGCAGGGGAAATTCGAGAAGCTCTTTTCGTCACGGATGTCCAGTCGGGGCGGGTCAGAACGTTACAACAACAAACAATACAACAACACGATAGGAGCGAAAAAAACTGTTTAGGAAAAAAGTAAAATAACTTTAAAATATATACAAATAAAACTAAACTATATTTTGTCTTACCAGGGAAGGCCCACTGAAGTAATAACATCTTTTTCAAAAGCGGCCTGCCCATAAATCACAGCTCAACAAAGTGGTTTATCATGTGGAAATGTCTAGCAGCAAAATAATCTACATCTAAATGCGTGTAGATTAGACTGCCTTTAAAGGAACATTATAAAACATCATTTTACGTAACATTACCTGGCCTCTCAATTTATCAGAAGCTTGCAGGTACGACCCGGGACGTTTCAGCTGATCTGTTGCGAACTGCTACCTCTTATCACTGATCTGCTCACTGGCAGTAACTGTGCTCCAGCCTGGTCTGTTTGATGCACAAATACTATTCATAATAAGGCTACGTGTTAAACTACATAAATACAGTAATGCAATGCACATAATAACCAGAACACTGAAACCCTCGTGGCTAGCAGACCTCGACAAATTGGCATTTAACTCCACCAAACACATTTGCCATGACGCGCAAGCATAGAATATAATCTTGGGATTATAATCTTGGGATTATATTCTACCACGGAAGCCCACCGCAAGGGTGACATCGGCCGCATCTACTCAGTGGCAGAGTAACTCGCTGAGCCGCCCCGACTGGACATCTGCTCATCGGATTTCTCCTGCAGTTTAAATCAAGATTCCGATTCTGTACGATTATTCAGGTGGAAAGTGCTTGTGGTGGATTCGGACGGCTTCGGCTAGAGTCTCCAGTGAAGGACATCTGCCTCCTATAACAGCTGTTCGAGTATTTCTATGTTTTTGCGTATTATGTTATTTTTTTCTATTTTATCAGGTAAGGCCCCATTGAGCTGTGTAGGTCTTTGTCAGAAGCGACCTGGCCACAAGTGATGGCTCAACGAAGTGGCTTATCGCGTGGACATGTGTAGCAGCCAAATACCCGCCCATACTGGACATCCGTGAAAAGAGCTCGGATTTCTCCTGCAGTTTAAATTAAGATTATGACCATAAGCGCATGGTTCTAAGTGCGAAGGAGGAATCCCCGGAGTTTGGCGATGTTCTCGAGGTTTTGATCACTTGTGTTGCGATCGAAACGTCGTGATCTATGAATTTTCTATCTACGTGACTTTACCGAAAGAATCAACGAGTATGGATGGATTCCTGCAGTCACGAAAGCTTCCGATCAAGATGACATTACGTTGTAAATATATAATTAGAATTGATATTGAAACGTCTCGGGTGTAAATTACGTGCAATGTAATTAAAACGTGGTGATGTTTCAATGGTGTGATTAAATGATGTGCATCGTGTGTGAATAGTTTTTTTGAAAAACGATCTTCCTCGTTAGATAAAGAACCCGTATGGTGGAAGCAATACTCGAATAGCACTGCCTTGGCAGGTTCTGGCGAGCTCAACTGTTGTCAAATTAAAATACAACGTATTGAGTGAAGCAATGATTCGAATCGAAGACATCGATATCTCTAAATCAGCTCGAGCCTGCGGTAAATCACGTGACTTTATTTTATTTTGCCAACAATTTCACTTTTATTGTTCATCCCTGTAAAGCACTACGTATTGCATTTTACTGGTAGGAACCTCCTGGTTACACCAGCCCACAGGGGATTATTGTGTCCGTTGTGCAGGGAGGGGCTGGGTGGGAAGGAAGGGGCTGGGTGGGGAGGGGAGGGTGGGGAGGGTGGGGCTGGGTGGGGAGGGGCTGGGTGGGAAGGGTCGGGCTGGGTGGGGGGTGGGAGGGGTGGGGAGGGTGGGGCTGGTTGGGGAGGGGCTGGTGGGGAGGGTGGGGCTGGGTGGGAGGGATGGTGCTGAGTGGGGAGGGGCTGGTCACCCCGTGGTGCCCTTATAAAACTCAACGTTTAACCTACTAACGCCGGCTTGTACCCGCCCTCACAGTCGGGCATATTTGCGGAATACACCACGCCGCCGTTGACCCTGGCCATTGACCGAGCAACCCAACGTTCCTACACCAGCTCCCTCCGCAGGAATGTGTTTTTTGCACGAATCGTGCCATGTAAATAAAGTTTTATTCAAATCAATAAAGTTTGATCGATTAACTCCGATTCCCTCCCCTCTCCCCCGCCCCCTGTGATAACAGACGCCGCTCCGTGTCCCTCGCGTCTTGCCCGCTCCTTCATTCTCCCTCTACTGCACGTCTCAGCAGTGTGCCACGCGTAAACAAAAAAACGCTTTCTTTTAATCAAACAAAGACAGAAGACAACGTATTTGATGCTTCAATACTTTTATTGCCAGAAACCACCCATCGTCACGACGTACATCGATCGGTGTGTCACATTTCCTTTGCCGATTCGGGGGAGGGATTCCGCGCCTAGTACTGGGACTTCAGCAGGATGCTGATGAGGCTCAGCAGCTTCTCCCAGGCTCCCTGAGCCTCGGCAGAGAGGCCCCCGTTCGCAGCAGCCACCTGCTCCAGCACGTTGGCAGACAGCACCTGCAGCGAGAGACACGGGTGTTAGGAAAACCACCGAATCGCAACACCGCAGCGCCCACCCCCGTGGCGCTCTGTCTGCCCGGTCCCTGGATCCTATGGCCCCGATGTTCAGGGCTGGGGCGGTGGCCTGGAGTGCAGCTCTCTTTGAAGAGTCGACAGATAATTGGTGGATTGCAATTAAATAAAAATGCACGAAAAGCCATAGCCCGTAAAGCTGAGTCCAGCCTCACACGCCTGCGCAGGCTGGTAGAGAACCGGTTTGTGCACTGTGCCGAGAACATAATTAAGTGTGAGTATTTGCATGGAAAGGGCACTTAAACGCCTCAATATCTGAAAGCGCCTTACGTGACATCTCATCGAAACCATTCCGTTTGCGCGCAGCAGTCTCGCCAAGTGACAACTGTCCGTACAGGGCACAAGGTGTACACAACAGTGGCTTGCACAATGGGTATAGTCTATATTCTTAGGTTTTTTCGGTAAAGTCACGTAGGTAAAACATCAAAATTAATAAAAAGTAAAATAAAATAAAGATCACGACGTTTCGGAGGCAACACAAGTCTCCGTCATCAGGTGGGACCGTCACAGCCAGATTAGCTGCATCAAGTGAGGCAATGATTTAAGATGTAATCCCTTAAAAGCGAGTTGAGGGGGGAGGAGGGGGGGCTCATCAGAATGTGGTAGCCAATGAATGGAACGTATCGGGAGGGAGGGGGGGCTGGGCCAAAAGGGTGGGCGACGGCGTGGAAGCGATTGTGCGCAAGCAACAAACTACTGCACAACGCCAACGTCTTGGACAGGGAGGGGGGAGGGGGGAGGGGGAGGCCTGATACACATGATAGAAAATAACGAAAATGCCCATGTTTATATCACTGCTGGCTGAACAATGAAGAGATTACTGGGTATAGTCTGCCAGCAGAAGGTGACGTTGCCATGTGCCAGCACCCAGCACGTGTATCCATGTGTGTTTGTAGAACATGAGTAAACTATTTTTTTTATTTTACCAGGTAGAGCCCACTGAGCTATGTAGCTCTTTTTCAGAAGCGACCTGCCTGCAAATGATAGCTCAACGAAGTGGACTCATCACGTAGAAATGTGTACCAGACAATTGCTCTAAATGCACGTTGATTCTAAATGTGGAGGGAAAACCCGGAGGACCCGGAGAAAAATCCACGCGACCACGAGAAGAGAGAGACACGCAAACTCCAAATATACAGCAGGCGTCAGGGTGGGGATCGAACCCACGACCTGCCGTCACCATGATGGTTGAGTATGTGGAGTATACAGAAACCCCAACAGTTGTGGGTCCACTTAGTGATTTGAGAATTGTGACCATTCTTTGGAGGATTGTAGCCCTTGGAAACGGGTATCAAAGAGCTACCACTGAGATCCCTTTAAGTGACCTCTCACCCGTACACTCGGAGGCAGCACTTCTCCATTGACCCCGCGAAACACAGTAGTGCTCCTTTAATGACAGTTAAAGCCAATATTCTTCAGATAATAAAAAAAAAACTTAACTAGAGAACCCGAGCATCCTGTATTCGAACCCAGGATTAACAGCCTGGATTCGAACCCAGGATTAGCATCCTGTTTTCGAACCCAGGATTCAGCCATGCCAGCTTTGCACCCTGACATCTGAGCCACCCGCAGCCACCGCACGTTAAAATATTTTAACGAGATATTTTCACGAGACTGGGTTTCATGTGATGCAGGCTGTACACCACTTCTTGTTTTAAGTTGTAATGTTGAGTTCTCAAATAAATTATCAAATGGCTTTCGCCCCACTTCAGCATTTTCGGGGGTAGTTTGGCTGATAATTTAGACTGCTTTTTGCAATAATGTTCACGTTTAAGACATGGATAAAAGAAGCTTAATATAAAAAATATATAAAAATGCTTACAACAACTATGGTTGCTCAAAAAGTATGCGTCATGTTTTGTTTAGTTTTACTCCAGTACCTTGAAGTACTGGGGGTCCACGTTGAACTCCTGGGCGTGCTTCTTGCTCAGGGCCTTGAGCTTCAGGCTCAGCTTCTCGGGGTCGTCCAGGGCCACCACGGCGTCGTTGACGGCGTTGATGATCCTCTCGGCGTGCCAGCGCACGGCGGCCGACTTGCTCAGCTGCTCGGCCGAGTCGAGCCCCTTGAACTTGGGGAAGAAGTCCTGCACGCCGGCGTTGGACGTGAAGAACCTGGCAGTGGCGGAAAACAGAAGTTAGTTTTGAATTAAAAAAAAATATTTTTGTGATGGCAAACTATTATTTGATTTTTTTAGACGGTGATGCTGCTGCGTTGGCAGTAGTGCACACGCACAATGAACAAAACAACCTAATACATTCGTCAATTTAAAAACAAACTGTGGCCTTTAAATTCAAAATATATAATAGGCAAAGTTTTGGGCAATGGTCCCTCTTCATAGCACGTGCATAGAAAGGCCAGAGAGACTGAGATGGATCATTAGAGCCGGAGACTAAAACGTTACACCATGGGGCCTGATGAGAATTACACATTCATATGCCAATTTAAAAACTGCTCATCAGAAAGCATCAGCACCATCGAGCCTCATGCCCTCTACCAAAAAACAGAAGCCACTCGCCTGAATGTGTTGCTCCCCCCCCCCCCCCCCCCCACACGTTACTCCAATTGTCCTATCGGTGTTATCCCATGAGAGACGACGACAAATAGTCCTGCACACTTGGCTAGAAGTGCAACCACACTGCGTCAGAGAACGGCCCCAGAGTGGGACATCAATCACGAAATGTTGCGAGGCTCCCGTCCCAATGGACATCGAGGAGGCACCATAACCCTGGCGTTCTCCAGCAGAATTCAGTCAGCAAAGTGTGGACTGAATTCACCTGGCCCCTTTTGCGTGCGATCGACTGTTGCACACCCTCGCATGCGTGGATGTAATCAGGCGTGTGCCTGCCGTGGATTCGAACCCAGGATCTTGGCGTTGTTGGCTCAGAAACTCTTGACTCCTGAGCCCACCCGTCTGCCTATCTCTCTCGGGAGTCACTCACTTGATGAGGATGGCCTTGCCCGCAGCCTCGTAGTCGGCGTAGACGACCTTCCAGCTGTCGGCGATGATCGCCTTCTCGGCGGCAGAGAGGGCCCCAGCGCTTCCGGAGTCGACAATAGGCATGGCGGTGGTGGTGAGGCGGCTTCGGGAGGAGGCACAAGAGCAAAGTGGTTGTCCGTTGAGGTGACGTTCGGAAGAGAGATGGAGGTCCTTAAATAGTTGAGCCGGGAGGCCCTCTTGCCCAATGCTGGGAATTCAGCGTGGTTAAGCTGTTTTGTCAGGTTGGGCATGAAGGCGATGGAGCAGTTGTGTTTGGCAACGATCGATTGACAACGATCGATCGAGATTCAACAGCGGGCAGCATAAAACTCAGGATGTTTCCACATTGAACACAGAGGCAGATTTTGGAAGCGATAACCTTTGGCCCCCTTTAATTCTGTCGAGAGAGTGCGACTGACCACTTTGAATTGTAACAAAAGTAAAAAAAAATCCTCATGTCCAACCTGACACGTCTTCATGGCTTTGCCGTCTAAGTTTCCCCCTTGATACCAAAGCAAATAACATTTATTCACCAGCACCGGGACCCTCACAAAGACCACTGCTAATGTACAAAGAATTATAAATGTCCCATTGTTTGCTGGTTGACATCCATACACACGCCCAACAGCACGGTAATTGTTGAAATTTTTTTTTTTATATTGACCACTGAACTGCTACTTAGCTCTTTTTTAGCATCGATTTGTCTATCACAGATGATAGCTCGACCAAGTGGCGTATCGTGTGGACATTCATAGCAGCCAAATATTCTAAACGCGTGATGTTTATTCTAAAGATGGAGGAAAAACCCGGAGGACCCGGAGAAAAATCCACGCGACGGCAGGGAGAGAGACACGTAAACTTCAAATGTACAGCAGGGGTCACGGTCGGGATTGAACCCACGACCTCCTGTACACCATGCGAGGTCGTTAACATCTCCTCGCCACCGTGGCGATGAATTGTACAGCGACTGTGGACGTTTTCCCATGCACGTGCATGCTCACGTGCTCGTTCACAGGGAATGCTCGTAGAATGTGGAATGAATCTTAACTTCGACGGGAAGACCCGTTATTTAAGAGAATGGCCTCCATACGTCCACTACGCATCACCCATGACGTACGACTTCAATTGACTTTTTATAGCTGAAGCGGGAAATTCTTGCCATGCATCCACCTGGCTGTGACACAAACTCTGAACGATATTTTATTGTTTGTATGTGGTGTGCTCAAAGGGGCAGCTCGTTTGGAAAAGAGGAATTAAATTTGCGTACACAAAGTTATGTTTTATTTACAAAAATCTACAGGTGTACGATTACTACGCAGCAATTGTGTCAGGTCGTGGACTTTACTTGACCATTCTTGACCACTATTGTCAGTGCGGGTTGGTGGGGGCGGGCAGCATAGGCGTTGGAACGTGGTACGGTACAACAATAGACTTGGCCTCACTGGTGATTACAACCATGCAAGCACGATGCAGAATCCAACCCTGCTTGAGTTAATGACATTTTGGGCATTGTGTGTTTGATTGGGATACCCGTCTCGAGATGAGTCCCACCTTCACAGGAAGGGCTCTGTGACACGATCTTTTTTCTCTCCGTCTTCCGAGACAACTTCACAAAATGTGGAGATTCGCGCAGCCTTTAAACACAACTTCAAATGCTCATATTTTACGTGTCGCTTTCTTGTCGCTTTGTTTTGTGGGAGATCCATTGTTTATTCATTTTGGGTTATACATGCGAAAGACTTGGGGGGCATACTGTCATACGTAAATGAAGTCAACTTTAGAACATCGGCATCGCAGTCTAATAGTCAACGCATTTGATTAGTATCTTTGACTCTCGAGGAATTGAGTAATACGTTTAATATCTCAGAGCTGTTCGGCTCCGACGATATTCCTAATGGTTGTACGCGTATGCTTCACCAACACAGTTCATTACCATTCCGGATTATTAAACGCAACCTTCATGTAATGCTTACTGTTTTAGTTATTGGGAATCGTACGGACACTTTGTTTGCATTTGCGTCGATATAGGTGTGATGCGCGATTTAAATTGCAGCAGCGCCCCCATCGCGACGTAGTGTAATGATGCACTTGGCACTAAAACTGCGATGAGCACGTTTGGCTACGTACGACGCGAAAGAAGTTCAGCATACATACAAAACACACTCCTCTTTAAATCATGGTCGTGGTAACGACATTTTTTGACTGGAACTTGAAAATGCCATATTTGGATGGACGTATCAATTCAAAGTAGGAGGTGCAACTTTCATCTTTGCTGCTATAAATGCCACACGTGAGTTCTGCAAAATGTTATTTTGTATTCCCTCCTGGATTTCCATTGTACATTTTGCAGGTAGTTTTTTTACACATTTCTGTAGTGTTATTATTTTATTTGCTAGTCATGCGGATACAGGTTTCCTGTTTTTGCTCAAAACATCTCAACTAAACTATTTTTATTTTACCGAGCAATATAGCTATTTTTCGGAAGCGACTTGGCCACAAATGATTGCTCAAACAAGTGGCTTATCGTGTGGAAATGTATAGCAGCCAAATACTCTAAATGCGTGTTGTTTCTAAATGTGGAGGGAAAACCCGGAGGACCTGGAGAAAAATTCACGCGACCACTGGGGAGAATGCGCAAACTCCAAATTTACAGGCTTCAGGGTCGGGATTGGGATCGAACCCACGACCTCCTGCATACCAGGCGAGGTAGATAACATCTCACACGATAAGCCACTTCGTTGAGCTATCATTTGTGGCCACGTCGATTCTGAAAAAGATCTAAAAAGCTCAGTGGACCTTGCCTGGTCAAATGTAAAATAGATAGTTTTCGAATTTTTTTCAACACTGCTTGTGATGTGTGTGCACTAACAATTCGGGACGTGGTGAGTGTTTTTTTTATTTGTGCATCGCTGCTGCTCATTAATTTTCCTATTCGTGTACAGCTTTCCCTCGGTCTACGCAGTAGTAGTAGATGCGTTTCAAAAAGAGGGCGCACAGAGCGATACCTCACAAGGAGAAATCTACCTCCCGAGGAGCGCACACAGTACAAACAGTATACACAAAGTACACACACAGGACACACACAATGTTGTCCCACGTCCGACCGCATAGCCGCATATGAGTGAATTCAAACCGCATAATCGAGTGAAGTGTGGGTATAAATCGGTTAACCGCGTGTACAGCGCGAAGTCGCACGGACCGAACCCGCGGAGAGCGAGGGAAACCTGTATTCACGTGGTCTGATCCAGGAGGTTGCTCTCTATTGGACCGAGGGCTTCCGTGTAGCGTCGCCACGTGGCGTGAAGCGATTCACACCGGCGTGGTGGCGTTGGGGACACCACGAATCCGGCAAAGCTACCTCGTGTACAGACGACGCAACTGTGGGCTATAGGGGCCCATACGCCGGGGTTTGGACAGGACCCACGCCAACTACGCTACGCGACTGGACGCCACGATTTTTACACAATTTGGGGGGGGGGGGGGGTCACCGTTTAATTAGTATTGTCTGTCTCGTTTGTACAATTAGTATGCGTCCGACAAAGTTCTGGCGAACCGACATCGGGTTAGGGAATATACCGCGGCACTAAATATCAAGGCTGCGTCCACGGATATTGAGTCAATTTACCGGGCATTGTAGGAGGAGGGGGAAGAACAGTTAAAGGTGAACTCGGTAGATTTTATTTTGGAGGTCATGTCACGTGTTTGTGTTGGTCACGGTTGCAGCCAGGTGACACGCGTGCGATGGTCGCGCCGTCTCCAGACCCAGGGGATTCCACGCTCCTGTCTGGCACTCGAATTGAGCGCCGGCGAAACCCACCAGTCCCTATCCCCCCCAAATCCCAGATCTAGCTCGCTTCCCTGTCGCAAAAACTGGAGCTCGTGGGTTGCACAACTCGACGTCATTGCTGGCACTTGCTCTTATTTCTTTGTCAGTTTCTAGGAATGTCACAACAGTCGAGGTCACTGGAGACATATTGACCAACAGCAGCCCTTGCCGTTTCAGCTTTCTAATTGGCCCTGCCAGATAGATGACATCTCTTTCAAAACCCCCACGTTGGCAAACGTCGCACTCAAAACGCTTCCCATTTAGAGCCAAAGTAGCAACTGGATGTGTTTTTCGTTTGCCAAAATGTGACATTTTGAAAACGCAGTGGTTCCTGCCGCCGTGCCGCGACACTGAACCGACGACGTCTGGATCGCAGGTCCAGCGCGCCAACCATGACACCACCGTGGCAGCACGCACGCACGCACGCGGCGCGGGACACCAATTTGCGTTTATTCCAACAAAACCCTTTCAAAGAAATTGCAAACAACATTCGAAAGCCTTGCATCAAGGGAAGCTTTATTGCATATTGGTGGGGAAGTTACGTTGGTTTGAATTCCGCCCGAATTGCCATCGCGTGACATTAGAACGACGCTTCATTCCTGATGGCAAACGGGCTTTTTTGTGCAAAAATCACACGCGGCAGGCGTAAGCGGCGAGCGTTCTCGCGGGAGTGGCGGCGCACGCTGGGGCTCAGTAGCTGGACCTGAGATTGATGCAGATCATGCTCATCAGCTTCTCAAGACCGGCATCGCCTGGCAGGACGGTCTCGACAATGACCGCGGCCAGCACCTGGGAAGAGATCGCACACAACAACAGTTGCTTGGGGCTCGGTAGGAGCTGCCTGGCCGATGTCCGGCTCAAAATCGACTCCGCCAACGAGCGCGGCACTGCGTGCGTTTCTCATTGCAATGGTCTCGGCGTTCTTGCCGCGGTGATATTTGCGACGTTGTCTGCGTGTATCGAGGTCATTTGGTCCATCCAATAGCCTCTGTGGTGGTCGGTCCCCAGACCCGGCACGGCATGGGGAGGTGCTTATCCAGGAATGCATTGACAGAGGCTAAAAATTACCACAATGAACACCGTCATTATTTGGCTGTCATACAGCTGCTTCGATGTTATGTACACACAGTGTCTGCTTGTCACATAAAAATATACCTGTGCACGCACACCTCCCATTAGAACGGTTGGCAACGTACGGTGCGAAAGAAGTTCAGCATGCATACATTGTACAATACTTTAACATGGCACGGCGGGACCGGTAGGGCTCAAAATATTGAAATTCTTTCAAATTCGTGCACTCTGCACGAACGTGCTTGGCCTGACGCCTGCTGGCACGAGAGG